AGCGAGTGCTGCCTTCTTCTTACGCTTCCCCTCCTCCTTCTTGAGCTTGCCCTGCTTGACTTGCTCCTCAAGTGCCTTGAGGCGAGCAGCTGCAGATTGTCGTTCGGTCTCAAGATCATCTTGCTGCTCTCTAGCGCTCGCCCTGTGTATTCATTAGCATATGTTCGTCTTCGGTTGTTTTCCAATAGGCTTACTCCAACTCCTTGGTGGCACGCTGTTGCTCCTCGTGCTCCTTGGCGAGACGCTCTTCTTCGGCCTGTTTAGCAGCTTGCTCTTCCTCCGCCTTCCGCGAGGCCTCTCTCTCGGCAGCATCGCTCTTGGCGGCCTTCCTCGATGGCGGCGGGGGAGGCTTCTTGGCAGCCGGGGCCGGAGCGCCCGTCTCCTCGGCGAGCCGGGCTTGACGTTCAGTCTCACGGCGCTCATCCTCCTCCTCAGCCTGGCGCAGCTTAGCGGCGCGCTCGGCTCTCTCGCGCTCCATTCTCTGGGCAGCCGTCTCACCGGGCTTAGTGGGAGCCTTGATGCCCAGGGCAGCAAGTCGCTCAGCCATACGCTGCTCAGCCTGCTGCTTAATGAAAGCAGCACGCTCCTCGGGGGTCTTGTAAGAAGAGTACGAGCCTCCGGGGGTTGTGGTACGCGAGGGGGGCGCAGGGCTCTCGAGGCGGGCGGCGGGGCTGGCCGCAGCAGGCTCTCTTGAGGATGCACGAGCAGCCGAAGGCGAAGACGAGGAAGTAGGGCGACGGTCCTGTGCCCGAACCCGCGCAGCGCGGCTAGATCGCTGAAGATCAAAGATGAAATCTCTGACTTCATCCTCGACGCCCAGAGCATCCTCCCAGCGTCGCTTCTCGTGTTCGTTGGAGGCCGTCGTGGTGCCTTCTTTCAGGTTGTCTTCAATACCGCGAGCAAAGTCACGCACAGAATCTTCCACGTCTCTGACCATGCTCTCGTTGTTCTCCTTCTCGGTCTTGATTTTGTGGTTCTCTTCCTCAAGGCGCTTGGGGCCTTCGTCGTCGAAGCTCGACTCAACCTTCTTACCCGTCAAGGCTGCAGTACGTTGCTGCATCATAGCCTTGGCCCGAGCCTTCAGCCTGTCAGACTCTGTTACGGCACCGCCAGGACCAGTGCCGACAATAGCAGCGGCACTGTTCGGGTGAGCCTTTGCATCCTTGAGCCTGAACAGCTCGAGTCTTGCTTCTGCAATAGCCTTTTCGGTCTTGCGGACGGCAGAGGCCAGTTCAGGGACCTTGTCTGTGAGATTCTGGAGCTGTCGCTTCAAGGATCGTCTCTCAGCTTCCGAGTCTCCTGACGAAAGTGCGGCATCCGGGTTCGCATCAATGTCGTCCTGGATGCGGCGAATGCGACGGTACAGCTCCTCGGCCTCCCGACGGTCACGTCTGTCAAGCAAGTCATCCTCCTCCAAGTTCTTCTCATCAGCAAAATCCATGGCGTCGAGGAGGACTTCCTTCTCCCGGATCTTCTTTCGCAATTGATCAAGTCCGAGGTCATCGTATGCGGTAGAAGATGGCGACTCGGGGCGAGGCGAGTTGTTGCCAACACGGCGACGAGCACTAGACCTATATCCGACCTGTTCATCGTTGTTCTTGAAAACTGTGGCATCCTTACGCCCGGTGCTTTGGCCGCCAGGGGTGCCTCTCAACGAGTGAGTCTTCATATAGCTAACACCAGTCTTCTGAGGAAGCAGAGCTGCACCAGACTTGGAACGGAACTCTGACTCCTGACTCAACATTGACCGGATGGTGCCGATAGACTCATTGAAGTTTCTCGTCGAGGGAGGAACAAGCTCAGGCGGCAGCTGGTTAGGCAGGGGGTAACCATTGAGTTTCCTGTAAATCAAATGCATGGCAACTGCGAATTCGTCCAAGTTCAGGCGACCCTTGTTACCATTGTCAGCAAGGGTCCAGACACGCTCGAGGTCCGGCTTCTCGAGACCACTCTGTCCAAAGATTTCAATGGCGACGTCTCCGCCGATGAAGCCCTTGTGAAGTCCATCCCATGCCTTGAAGAGTGCGTCGTAGCGTTGCTTCTCCTCCTTGGTGATAGCCCAAGGAATGACGGCATTACCCTGCAGACCCTGCGTAGTGAAGCTTCCCTGCTCCCGGCCTTGCTGAGGCATCATTCTAGCCTGAAGAGCATCGATGTTGGGTAGGCCCGTGGAGGGAGCGTTGACGAGACCCCATTGGCCGGGGCGGCCGGTGGGCTGCGCGTTCAGAGGCGCAGCCATTGGACCTCCGCCCGGCGTGAGACTGTTGCCATATCCGGTGGGCATGGGTGGCATGGGTGGTCGTGGCCCGTTGTATCCCGTGGGTTGCGGGTTCATTCCGGTCGGCTGCGCATTAAGGTTGGGGAATCCAGTCTGCTGAGGTTGCAGCCCTTGGGTCTGCCCGAAGCCCTGAGCTTGCTGTCCGGGGAAACCGGTCATCTGTGCCTGCAGAAGCTGGGAGTTGGAGGTTTGAGGCTGAGGCTGATGAATCGTGGGCTCGGTGCTCGACCTGCCGGTAGCAGTGCTGCCAGGTGTATCTCGGCCGGCGTCCTCGGCAATGCTGAAGTTGATAATGTCCACGACGCTGGATACCTCATTCTTGATGTTCTCGGGCAATGTCGAGGGTATGGACTTTCCAGTGAGCTTCAGGTTGCACAAGTACATTGCGAGGGCGAATTCGGGGAAGTGAAGCTCTCCAGATCGTGTCGTGTCGGCAAGAGTCCTGCATATACTCCATTAGCACAATTTACTACAAAGAGAAAGCTAGAAAGGCACTGACCAAATGTGTGAGAGCGAGTCGCCATCCAAGCGTGATCGCATCAACAGGTCTCTCGCCTTGTCTCCGGACATCGTCGTTGCCTGGCCTTCACCAACCGCAGACTTGAAGAGAGTCTCAAACTTGGACTGATCCGGAGCTGTGATGAACGACAGTCGAATGTTTGGAATCTTGTTGGCAGACTTGGGGCGTCGACCAGCTGGCTTCGGCGTGCCTCCGGTTCGGAAAGAAGCAGCCATCTGGCTAAAGCCCGTGGCTTGGGGCTTGATAGGAGTCGGGGCAGCCGTCTGCTGCTGGCTCTGGAAGCCAGTAGGTTGAGGTTGCTGGGCTTGCGGGAACCCAGTCTGCTGGGCTTGCAACTGGCCCGGGAAGCCAGTCTGTTGAGGCTGCTGTTGCTGCTGCTGGCCTGGGAACCCGGTCTGCTGAGGCTGCTGCTGCTGCTGTTGCTGAAATTGCGACTGGTACTGCGAGGGGATCGACGGCATCGGGGGAGCGCCGGTCTGAAAGCTCTGCTGCGGCTGGGCCTGGCCGGGGAAGCCGGTGAACTGGGGCTGGAGCTGTTGAGGAGCTTGCTGCTGCGGTTGCTGTTGCATGCCCGGGTAGCCGGTGAATTGCTGTTGCAACGGCGCTTGACCGAAACCCGTGGGCTGAGGAGCAAAAGGACTCGGCTGCTGCTGCTGCTGCTGCTGGCCCGGCTGCTGGCCGAAAGAGCTTCCACCATATTGCTGCGCGCCGGGCCGTTGGCTATTGCCGCCCAGGAAGGCATTCGAGTTCGAGTACATGATGGGCGGAGATTAGTGCCGACGACGGGGATGTCAGGCTTCGAAAAGAGAGAGGAGACAGAGATGGAGGGACTCCTGATGGAACGGTTAGGAGACTCGGACGATAAGGAGATTGGGAATCGGATGGGACCAACGTCACGAGCGGAGGATCTCCGTCGATCAAGGTTTTGGTTGAGAGAGCTTTTGCCAATTCCTCTTCGTGAGAATTGCAAAAGCAATAGGTAGCGGAGGAGGCGGGGATAGGGAAAAGTAGAAAGTCAGTCGTGGCCGGAGTTGATGGCAACGCTGGATGACGAAGCGCTCACAGGTGTCCAGCTTGACACGGAGGTTTCAGTAGGAAGGTGCGGCGGCTTGAACGGGGGGGCCAGTAAGGTGAAGTGGTTGGTTTGCCCAGTTGGAAACTGGCAAGCCTGGCAGCAGAGCGAAACAGGGATCTGTCAGTGTCCAAATGTGGCTTGGGCTCCAAGTGGGTCTCCTATTGCAGAACATTACGTGATGCCGCATGGACTGGAAGTACGTACAGTTATTAGGTGCATATGTCCTTAGCGGAGCGCCTTTCTCCAGCATCTTCAAGCTTTACAGTACCATTGTGTCCAAGAACCGAATCTGGGCCAGAGCTTCCAACAATTGGTCTGTTTGGGAATTCTTATATAGGATAGGTTCCTGTCAATTGAGGCCGCAAGTTCCTTAACAGAAAGGCAAATAAGTGCAAGGTATCTCGGTTCGAGTCGGCAAGGTAGTGAGCCCAACCTCGCTTCTTACTTCCATTCGCTTAAACGTACGCTCTGTCCTCGTTAAACGCATCGAAGCTTCTCAGGCGTATGCCGTCCAAGTCTAGGTACTCATTGTTCAGAGGCGTCCATGGAACTTCTACTGACAAGTGGGCTCTACCACATTCCATCCTATTACAGACGTATAGAGTAGGACTACTAACATCGTTCCTATGCGAAGCAGACGAACCGCCCAAACAGCCACAGCTTCTACCCCATAATTAATACATTCTCCCTCCTCGTGTCTTGCAGCCTTTGCCCCCCTCCCCGCATCTGCAGCATCAGAGTTTCGACACGTCGGTCCGCGCAAACAAGGAGATGGCAGCCAGTGGTCCCAACGCATCGGCAAATACAAGCCGCCTGCGCGTAGCGTATATGCAGGGATTGCAGCAAGTCTTGGTGGATACTGCTCAAGTGAAACATCTCAGCCTCTACGGATACAGAGTAAGGCGTCGCTGCGCCCTTACTGAGTCCAGACACCATTCCGCCTGATCCGAACATGCGGCCCTCCTCTCCCCCGCAACGCCGGCCAATGGCCAGCAACATCCGGGTCCGGCTGGGCTCCGCATGCAGCGGCCCGAAATCCGGGGTTGGCGATGCGTGTCATGTCGGAGACATCATCAACGTAAGGCGCGGAACTACTGTTAATCTCACTATGAAGCCGACATGATCGAGCCATGTTGAATAATCTCACAATTATGTATTATCGGTGAGAAACTGACTACCCTCCAACCAAAGCATGCTCCATCCTCTGATAGTATTCCTACATTGGGCAAAATCCAAAACAGAGTAAGTATGCTGAGCGAGGAACCGCAACGCCGAAACTGTAAGCCAACCGTGCCCATGGCACGGGATAGAATCCAACACTAATACTAGAGCATTGCTGCGAGTCTGGGTATCAATCCCGCGCGATATTCCAAGAAAACAAAACACCTGTTCCTCCCTTTTATAAACGCCTTGTTAAACAAAAAACACAAAAAATGATGTTGCCGTCGCTAATGTCTAATGATTTGGTAAACGTGGGAGATTGTATGGGGGACACATGAGTTGGTGTCTTTCGTGTTTTTTTCGTTTCGCTTTTCTTTCGTTCCTTTTCGAATGTTTTTGTTCTTCGTTTCGATTGTGTATTTGTTCTTCGTTTCGATTGTGTATTTGATTCATCTGAGTCTCGTGGTCGACACTGAGGGCCCCGCTTTCCTGCCGACGTCCTGGTCCTGGCCTTGCGTCGAATCGTCGAGGTTGAATCCATGTTGTATCATATGTTTGAGAAGAGAAAGGTCGAACTCATTAGCGTTCTCATCGATGATGCGAGGTGCATCGCGAGACGGTGGTGCGCTGGACGCAATTGAGTACTCCTTGACGGGGCTCTCAGCAGGAGCCCATTCGGGAGGGGTCGGAAGACCGGAGGAACCGCTGGCGACCTCTGTCGCGGGACTTTCCATGACTTCCTCGCGAGTGACATGGTGAGGAGCTGCCAAGGCACCAAACTCTTCCATACCCTCCAGAGGCGGGGTATTTGCACCAAAGTATACGCTGCCGCGATAGCCAGGCTGCATAATCTTGCGTCGGGTCTTCATAGCCTTGATGGCAAGGCCTCCGAAGACAGTGCCGAGCTCAAGGGCGATCCAATCCTCCTGGCCTTCCACTTGAGGATCCCACTGCATAATCGCCATCTCCTTTTCAGAACTCAAGGTCCGATTTCTCTCGAGAAGACGTTCAATCTGAGCCGTCTTGACGCTCCACTCGTCCTTCAAGTTCTCCATGAGAGCATTGTTCTTGTCCATTTCCATTGCAAAGTTGTCAAAAGTGGCCTTTGATAGGACCTTGGACGCGCGGCGGGCTCGAGACGAAGTCGGCTGGCTCGTTGGCATGCCGACGTTCTGGACGCTGAACTTGATAGCCCGGCTAAGCTCAGACCGGGAGAACGGGCAAAACTCTTGGATAGAGCTATTGTGGTCAAGAGATCTAACCATGTGGGACAAGTTGGACAGATTGAAGTTGTTCTCCTGTACGTCGAGTGTCGTGAGGGTTTGGTTGAGTTGGATCGCATGTGCCAGATCACCAATGTTCAAGTTCAACTTTTGGTTCCGAATTCGCAGGTGACGCAGCGTCTTGTTCTCGGCGAGTCCAGACAGAGAGCGCGAGAAGCCCAGGCCGAGTTGACCCTCGTCGAGCTTGGCGGAAAAGCCGGAGAAGTCGAGGTATTGAACCGATTTGTTCGTGGCAAAGAACTCTGACACGGCCATGCAGGCGTCCTCGCTGACTTGTCCAGGGGTTGAAGTTCCCACCAGGCTGAGCAGTCGTATCGATTTGTTGACTGAGAGCGCGTTGATGAGCTTGATGTAGTTGTCCTCGTTTTGAAATTCAACCATATCCATGAAGAGGGACGTCGGTCCGAAATTGTCAACAATGGCAGATACCAAATCGTCTGTGCCGTTCTCGAGATAGTTGCCGCTGATAGAGCAAGTAATCACTCTTGCTTCACCCATGCTGCGGAAGAGAGTTGCGATTTGGGAACCGGTCATTGCGCAGTTGTTGAGGTCAAGCCTGCGGAGATAGTCGGCCTGTGAAGACTTCAAGTAGTCGCCCAGAACTTGCAATGTGGCGTCATTGAGCTAGGGTAGAATCAGCAACTGCATGAAAACAAGGTTTACTTGACTTACGTTGATATGTGAGAGATCCAGCTCCTCAAGGCCCCATCCCATGATAGTTTCGTCGAGGAAGATGGTATCCTTGGCCTGAGTGAGGCAGTTTCCTGCGATGCCGAGCTTTCGCAAATTGTAGAAATGAGCCAGGTTTTGCTTCACGGCCATGTGATCCACGTGTCCAATATTGCGAGAAGTATTGAGAGCCTCCATCTTGTATCCCTGGGAGGGTAAAGCATCCCAAACTTCTTCCAAGCTTCTCTCATCGAGATTGCATCTAGAAATGTCGAGCTCCTTGAGAAGATCGGGAATATGGAGGACACCCACTGCGAAACCATTAGCTAATTGAGTTGTGAAAACCCATATAGTCCACTCACCAAGATCGTCAACTTCAGCTGCCGTCAGTGGGTTCCCACCAACTAGCAGAGTATCACAAGGAGTGCTGCGGGTTTTGAGCAAAAGAAGGATAGGGCGAACGACCTCGGGATCCTTCTTGGTCCCGGCACGAGCGCGTGAGACACCAACAATGTTACGCGATGCCAGAACGTTGGTCAAGTCTATCTTACGGACAGAACCAGAGGTGAAGGCAACAGCGTGAATCTCCTGGGATAACAGGGGAGCAGTCTTGATAATATCTCGATGCATGGGATCGATGACAAATCCTACCACGGTTAGCTTGAATGCTTGTTAACGTTCAGGAATCGCCGGCTTACCATCGCGAGAAATGTCAGCTATGGACTCGTCCCATCCCGGAACATCGGTCAGCCCGCACAGGGGCGAGAAATCGACGTCACGGAACGATAGAGCCTTGAAGTAGTCATTGAAGCGGAGGGCCTTGAAGACTGCCAAAAGCTGGAGTGCCGTGTATCCACCTGCTTCCTTTGCAGGGAGAAGTCGAAATTCTGGGCAGTGCTCCCGGCGTTCGCATTTCCAGTTCACAGTCCATTCGGGAGGCTTGCACTGGAACGTCGCACAATACGCCTCGAGGGTGCGCTTAAGTCCACCATAGTCTTGCCCAGTTGGAAGGAGCAATTGAGCGGTGAGACCCCTGATGTCGAAAATGTGCCGTTGCATGTGCTGAGGCCAAGCAGGCTTCACTGCGCGATCTGCCTTCATGAACGTCATGACGATCTCTCTGTACCACCGACTTGCCAGCTCGAGTCGTTTCTCGTTTTCACAAGGGAGTCTTGAACAGGGGTTAGTAACAGTGGTGGGAGCCCACAAAATACACCAGACACATACCGGAATCCAAGAACGAACCGCTCCTCGTGAGGGACCATAGTCGCTTTCAAGCGGACCAGGGATGTCAAGCCAAAAACTACGGTGTTGATTTCGATATCCTGGGGAGCTTTGTATACGGAAGTCCTGGCAACTCGCACAAGATAGCACTTGTTCTGGCCGAGAAGCAAGTAATACGATGATCCGTCACGAGACTTTTTGGCATTTTCAATGTTCTCGGCTTTGGTACTTAGGAGGGTGGTGCGTTGAACGACTGGAAAGATATCCAATGGGCAGCCTCGGCACGCGGGCTCTTGTGTAGCAACAATGTTGTAAATGGCGGACTCGACGTTGGGGGCAATGAGCCCCTTTGGCACAACAGCTGAGCCCACAGACTCACGAATAGCATGGCGAATCTCCGACATCCACTCGTCTCGCTCAGTAGGCATTCCAAAGAACAACTTTGTGCAAGCCCAGGATACCATTGGCGAAGTCTCGGACCACCACACATCCAGTCCAAAGTGAGGGCTTACACCCTCTTCGTTGAAAATGTTGACGATCCTACTCAATGGAATTTCGACCCGACCATCAGAGTGTGACCCATCCTGACTCAAAGTGGAAGACGTCGAAGACCTCTTCAAGCGCTGAGACGGCGGGGCAAGCTCAGCAAAGTTCGCCCTTGCTGACTCGACACTGCTGAATTTGATGAGGTGCCCGTCAGTTAAGACAACATACTCGGCGCGCGATTTCCACAGGCGGCTGTCGGTCTTTAAGGCTCCGTGCTTGAGAATTCTGATAGGAACCGGCGCTGGCGGCTGAGGGCTGAGATAGTTGGGAGTCTCCTCGGACATGTGCGAACTCGCGGAAGAGTCCTTGGAGGCTCGTCGGTTGAGGCGGTAGAAAATGGAGGACGAATTTGAGCCGCCGGATCCGTTGTTCTTGTGAAGAACGCGTTTACTCTTCATTTGGAGGCCGCTCGAGGCCTCCTCAGACATGGACGCAAGGTCAGTTGAGGAGGAACTGCTGCTGACCTTCCGGAAGGTCTTTGCTAAGAAACTACGCCTCTTGCCGCCCAGCGCTGGTGTCGAGACACTCCGGAGCTCTGCAGCGGAGCTTTTAGTTGCGGTGTGCGGCTCTCCATGATGTGTCGTCTGAATGGTGGGCAGCATTGACCGTCGGTTCGCAGCAGCGTCCATGGTCGACAGAATTGACGTGCAGTAATCGGGGGTCCAAGCCCAGCCTATTCCGTCGTCGTGGGAATGCCTCGGCCAAATCGGGCCTTCGAGGCCGTCAAGGTCGAGTAATCGATTATTGGGCCATGTAACGTTATCCAAAGGCAAGTCGTCGAGATGGGTTCAATACTGTGGCGATTGCGCTGTTTACACTCTGTGGGAAGAAGGTGAGAAGGGAGTCAGTTGGGCGGGAGAATAGAGGGCGATGTATCTCCGTCGTCGAGCTAACGAAGCGAAGATTGGAGGATTCGAGATAGTAGAGAAAACGAGGTTGTCAGAAGGCGGGAGTAGGTATCAGAAGAAGAAGAGGGGATCAAAAAGTGTGTGCACATGAAAATGGACGGCGGAGGGGTGTTAATAAGTGACGGTCGAGGGAATAGCTGTTTGAAGAAAGGACCGGAGTGCAGCAAGCCTCCGGCAAGAACCAGGAACCTTGCTGGGAAAGGTAAGGGAAGACTGGAGGCAGCGGCGGTACTTGGTAGGCTAGGTATCCTTACGGTCTTGCGGATAGCGTGGTAGTAACGAGCGAGGGGTGAAATTCGGACGATTAGGGTGAGTGGATGCGGATGGATGTCCCGAGTCTTGGAAGAAGAGGACCTGACCCTGGCCGCTGGGAGAGACAAGGCAGCACGAGTCGGGCAAGGTGTGGTCAGGTCAGGGACTCGGTTGGGCAAGGGGAGGATAAGATGGGATGAGATATGAAGAGTCGGGCGAGTAAGCACGTGTACATTGGCCGGATTCAAGGCGAGCGTGAATGAGGTGAGTGAGTGGTGAGGATAGGTAGCGCCGGGTTTGTGAGGCAGGTATGGGAATGATGGATTTGGGATAAGATGTTGGAGAACAAACACGACCTCAGAGACCAGGGAAGATGGTGTTCGCGGCACGCCGCGCAAGAGAGACACACAGCGAACAAGAGGCAGCGGACTTGGGGGAGCATGACGGGGGTGGGGGGGTGCGTGGATACGAAATGGTACTTGTTCATTCAACTAGGAGGTTTGGAGACGCGAGAGGAAGAGATGAGTCTACGGAGTAAGGTGCACCTCATAGCCTCATACCTAGTAATGGAAGAGAGAGTGACCGAGAGAGTAAGGTAAGGTAGGAGAGGCCAGTGCTGAGTGCCAATGTACGTGTATCCATAGGGGAAAGGCGAAAGACAGCGAATGGAAGCTTGATGCAGCTATGATGTTATCGATGCACATCCTGTTTTTGGCCCCCCGGAAGCGTCGCCCAATGAGACAGGCGCGGGGTTCCTCTGTTGCTGGCGCTGCGATTGCAAAAAAAGTCGATGGGAAAGAGAGAGGGAGAGACACACCAAGAGAGGCAGGCAAGAGCAAGGGCACGTCACCAATGAGAGGGCGTTTCTCGCAGCGGGAAGCCTTGGCCCTGCAGTGGGGTTCCTGCTGTGTGCGGCCCTTTTCCCCCTGCAACTTACAAGGAAGGTACCGAAAATCTGTGTATCCTTACTTTGTACAATCTTCTATGCATTTCTTCCAATACCTACCTACCCGCAAATTCACAGTCAACACAGTCAGTCTACTACCATCGCCTATGTGTTGTTCACAGTTCTCCTCCGCCTCGACATGGGTACGTTGTTCTGCCCACTCCTGGCAGCTGAAAACAAAGTTGATGGAGCTCACTCAGCCGCTGTTTGATGTACAGACAAAACGCACAAAACAAAACACTAGACGACGAGGAGAACTCTGAGCGAAAGATCGAGAAACGAACCTTCAGAGGCCAGAGGGCCGCTCCAACATATCCACGAACATCCACGCGCGAGCAGCGAAACATACGCCAAAGCCCACTCTTACCCACTCCATTATGCACGTTTTACGTGGATCATGTTGCCATGGGTCTGTGGCTCTGGCTCCGTGGCTCCCAGCTTGCCAAGGGGAGGGGTGGGCCATACCGCCCATACCTACGGAGTACGTAGTACATACTTGTCTTTCTCTGGCGTCTTCGGAGACTGCACCTTGTCGGTACCACCAGAATTCGACTGACCAGCTTGCGAGGCCACCGGAAACTGCCTGCATCTTGTCACTCTCATGCATTTTTTGCCATGGAACCACGGCACGCATGGCGCATCCGTACGGCACTCCTCGGCACTCCTCCTCCCCTCACTCGCTGGCCTGGCTGCGTACCAGTCCTCCAGTGCCACCCTGTTGCTGTGCCTCCTCGCCTCAGTTACATGCCGTGAGGCCGGCGATGGCAGATGCAGCTTGCGGCGCCCCGTCTCCGAGCATGTACCACTTCCAAGTCCCAACACGCCTGAATCCACACGAGAAAATGGGTTCTGCATCCACCAAAGCCCGCCGCGCGCAACCAGTGACCAGCAGCCTGGGATGCTGTTGCTACGCTCCCGGTATGTCGACGGCGGCTGCGTACGCAGCAGAATGGCGGTGCAACTTCAGCACGTCAACGCTTACCAAGTCACCATTCGGCATAGTGCAAGCTGTATGTACTGCCCATCCCGTCATCTCCAATACTTGCTCAGTTACGGTGGGCTATCGCAAGTAGTGGCTCCCGGCATCTCGGGACTTACGTCTCATAGCGTGATGTGCTATCCAGGTGTCTTCGTCGTCGCACAGTCGCACTCGCTGAACTCTACCTATCCTTGGCCTTCACACGACCGCCGATTCCGCTACTGCGGTAGCCGCAGATGCCCGACGCCGTAGATGCCGCGCATTGTGCAAAGTTCACTGCCATCCCAGAGTCACCTAAGCCCAAGACGATGGATGCGGGTTAACTTTCAGTAACTCTGAATGGCTCCGTTGGCATGCTCAGTTCGCCCACGCCCATGGCCAAGCCATGCCTGTCTTCTTAATCTTGCCTCTGAGACCCGGTTATCCAGGGTCCAACGGTAAGGTTCTCAAATCGTGATCATCGATTGATTTTCCTGATGCTTCGCTAGCTGCGATTGCCTCCTCGCTCTCCATTTTCTTTTTTTTCTCTCTCAACTAAACTTTCTTCTGCAGCATGAATGATGAGGCTCCTCTCCTTCGCCGTGGAGACGGCGCTAGAGCCGGTCAGACCGAGAGTAAGGGTCGTTTCAAGCCACTATCAATATTCAGCTTAATGGGGGCGCCCCGGCGACTTGAAATATCTCAAGATTGCTTCAAATTTCCCCTTCCTTTCCTTACGCTTCGGCCGCCTCGCCCCCGGCTGCGGCATCTTTCCACGCCGAAATGATTTGCTCAGGGCGCTCTTCTCTTGGCCTCTGGAGACTGGAGGGGTCTTGTCATTCTTGTGCGCGTAAAGCTGCGTCACAGAGCAAGGGGAAACCCTTTCTCGTGTTCTTTGAATAGACTTTTTTTTCGTTTCTAGAAGGAGTCGGGTAAGGTAATTTGTAAATGAACCAAGAGGATTCTGACTGTCAATCCCCTGGCCATGTCAGCCCCATTTTATACGGATACGAGAGAGAGTTGGTCTTGGGACCCTTCGGGTTGTGACTTTGTCCACGGCTGTGTAAGTGCACTACAAAGATCTGTACATGTTCGTGCGTGTGCTGGGCTTCCTCACCCAAGCCTCCTTCCGGTGAATGGTAAAGGATTCAAGCTACTCGTCAACTTGCCGATAGCGAGCACGAACCTCAAAAGGGGGAAACAGAACCAGTCGGCACAAGAGTACACCATTGCGGCGGTTGTGTTCGGGCAGATAATGTTGGTTATCAAGAAATTTGGGGGGTAATGCAGGTAGAGTTGTTGGACGGCCCGCGTCAAGCTCAAAAAGGGTGCCATCGTGCCATGCGGCCGGTTTCAGATGAAGTAGAGACGATGGTAAGGAACGATTTAAAGGTTGCTAAAGACGCCGGGCACATCCCAAGGAAATTTCCCAGGAATGAGACGCTAGGCTGGGCCAACGTGATCATCTGAACGACCCGGCCGAACGAACACCTTTCTGCAGTCAGGCAGTTTGCACCCTAAGGTATTCACCACGGATGCGAAGAATTGTGAAACCGAACCCGCGCCGGCCAAATTTGGGGGGCACGGGGGTCACGTCCAAGGAACAACCGGGCCTTGGGAGCGGGCGGGGAGCCACAACTTGTCAAGGACTCGAGATTGCGACTTGTCTCTGATCGCCGTCAGGACAGGGGCGCTCCTGATATGATTATACGAAGTATTACACCTGTACTCCGTACGGATTTACATATGTGTGAGGATTTGAGAAGGGGGAATACATCGGTAAGCCACTGCCGCACAATTTATGCGCCACTCGCGAGCGCTCAATCCCACCATCATCATCATTACCAAACCGCAAAATCCACCGCGAGTCCTGGGCCAAGGCGCGCCCCCGATATAATCAAGTGAGGCGAATAAAGGTGTCCGTATTTCCTGGAAATGAGCCGGACTTGTGCAGGACTGCAGGTAAACAGTTGCCCTGGACACGGGCCGTGGCCCGTATAACACTGTACTCCAAAGTTTCTCCATCTACCTAGTATATATCCTTGCTTTCGGCCGCAATTTCGATATGTCGTTACGGGTATCAAGACCAAGGCCCTCTCGGATGTTTCTTTCACCACGCGACACGCGACGCTCTTTGCTCAGTCAGTCCAACTTATGGATTCAACGAGCGAGTCGTGCGCGCGACACAAGCGTGATACCGCAACACGGAGGGCACGTTTTTCCCCTTGTCTTTCGCGTCTCCTTGAATTCTTGAACCACCTGGCACGGACCTCCCGCATCCAGTCCGACAGGTGCCTTGGGGACGATGGACCTGACTTTTGGTGTCAAAAGCGGGGAACGGCCGGCAACCCGTTCGACAGTCCGGCCCGTCTCACCCTTTCCTACCACCGTGATCGGTCCAAGTACCCATCCCACGCTGTGTTGCTTCCGTAGGACGCTACCAGCGAGGCTAGGGGACACAATACTCGAAGGGATAAGGTGAGGACTTCGATATTCGATATTCCCGCATACAGGGATCCATCTTCAAGAAAATTCGATTGCATCTGGGGAAAGGGACGCGTTATCATACTTGCGTACGACGAGGCGAAGAAATCCCACTTCCCGACACTTTTTGCGCCAGATGTTTAGGGTGTTGGGAGTTTGCTTACGGTCGATCAGTGAATCTTCTTCCCCCGGAATTTCCCCTCACCAGGCCTGGGCGCTCGTGACGCTTTAGAGACAGCATTCCAGATTGTTCCCAGTCGCTCGGGGGTATGCATCCGTACTCCGTACACGGCCGTCAGAGGAGAGACCTGGATACGGATACATATCTTGTCAATTCCGCTAGTACTTCATTCCAACGATCCTTCGTCTCACTGCCACGCTGCGGCCAGTTTGTAGTGATGTCATACTCTTCACCGATGTCTGTCATGTTGCTCGATCTGCCAAATTCGGCGTACCCAACATATTGTAGGTAGTCGTGCGCTGTCAAGACGACTAGCAAATTGACGGACTGCTCATTTTCCTTCGCGGTAAGGTGGGAATAGCTAGCTGAACTGGAGGAACAGGCCGGATCGTCGCAAGCCAGATGGCGCATTGAAGTTTTGGACCGGAACTAATGATACCTAGCTATCACCTAGCTGTGCAAGCTCCCGCGTATGGTGGCTTTTCAGGAACTGCTCCTGGCGTCATGCTGTTCTCCCACGCCCCTTCTTTGTTAAATTGATCTTTTTTTGGTGGCTTATTGGTGACCTCTTCCCGAAGTTGCCGAAGCCCTCCCTGGTAAGCGTTACCACACGAACCATGCGAGGAATGTCTCTTATCATCCAACGGCAGTTGGGACTTTTAATTGATCTTGTGTATGATTGTCAGTCGATGGAAAAGCGAGAATGATGCCGGCCATTCGCCCGTGCGTAATGACGTTGCCAGCAGTCGTTTTCTGGTTTGAGGAAGATGAAGCGAAGAGAGACTGCGGTTGATCGTAATCATCTGTGCCCAGATTGTCACTGACCTGCAGTCCTGCACCAATGTTTTGGAGCAATCATGTCTCAGATACATGGACCTCAGATGCAAGTGCGACTAAAGCAAGAGAGCTCCTGCAGCTCAGCTCTGTCAGCTGGTTGATCAACGTGTTGATCTTTGACAAGAGGTGCATCTTCCAGCTCTTGTGGCGTTGTGGCTAGAGACTTGGGGTTAAGCCTCAGCCATCTACACTGCCACATGCTGCCCAAGCCACATAGGAAGTTGCAGAACCGACATTCCGACCGACCAACCGACCAACTCACACGTCGAACCTAAATCCCGCCCAAGCAAACCGAGCCCGAGGTCGGGACCTTGCTGCATCTGCCGTCGGATTATTTTGCCGAATTTGGCTCGCTTTCACGTATCCCGCCCCCGGCCTCCGCATACCGACGCACTTCGCAACCGCAAAGCTGCACTTGACCGCCCGCCGTTCGAGGGCTGGCAGAAACTCGGCAACCCAACTCAACAGAAAATTGGAGGGGCTGTCCCACTTTCGCGATCTTACGATATCTGGTTGCACGCTCGCCCTTCCAGCTTCGACATCGTTACCAATTGACTGCGACGGCTTTCCTAATCCCTCCAGCTTCGCGGTTGTCAAGTGAGTAGCACGTGTTTCCTATCCATGACATCGACTGACCTTTTGTCTCTTTTGGCAAATTTTCCAGATTTCCCGAGACCCGTAACGAAAGAGCTAGCAAGCTCCCAGCTACACGTCCAATCCCGCTTTCTGTGGAGAAAAAGAGTCCTCGGACACCATCTTCAAAATGTCCGAATTGACAACCCGCAAATACTTTGACAACATCTACATTCCCGCTGGTCTGATCGTCTTCGGATGCTTCATTACCAAGCGCGAATGGACGCCGTACGCTGTCGCTCTGGCGCTCGCGCTGGCCGCCTACAAGTTCAACGCCATGCGTGAGTTCGGCCCCTCTCGGAATACCTCGGAATTGCCCACTGACGAACCCCCTCATGCAGAGATTAAGAAGGTCCTGAAGCCTGATACCTTCCAGGACTTTGAACTCAAGGAGAAGACCATCATCTCGCACAATGTCGCCATGTAAGTCGTACTCCCAAAGCCTCAAAGCCTGGAATTCCCAGCTGACAAGCGTCCGAAGCTACCGCTTCAACCTCCCCAGCGAGAAGGCCATCCTCGGCCTGCCCATCGGCCAGCACATCTCCATTGGCGCCAACTGCTCCCAGCCTGATGGCACCACCAAGGAGATTGTGCGCTCCTACACTCCCATTTCTGGCGACCACCAGCCCGGCTACTTCGACCTCCTGATCAAGTCCTACCCCACCGGTAACATCTCCAAGTACATGGCGTCGATGAAGGTCGGACAGACGCTCAAGGTCAGGGGTCCCAAGGGCGCCTTCGTCTACACCCCGAACATGGTCCGTCACTTTGGTATGATTGCTGGCGGCACTGGCATCACTCCCATGCTTCAAATCGTCCGCGCTGTCATCCGTGGCCGCCCCACCGGTGACAAGACCGAGATTGACCTCATCTTCGCCAACGTTACCCCTCAGGATATCCTGTTGAAGGAGGACCTGGACGCCCTTGCCAAGGAGGACGCTGGCTTCCGTGTTCACTACGTTCTTGACAAGCCCCCTGCGGGCTGGACCGGCGGCGTCGGTTACGTTACCGGTGACATGATTACCGTAAGGCCTCCCAGTGGATCTCGTATCCTGCGTGCAGAGCTAACATATTTTACAGAAGCTTCTCCCCAAGGCTGCCGACGACGTCAAGCTTCTGCTTTGCGGTCCCCCGCCCATGGTCAGCGGACTGAAGAAGACTGCCGAGACTCTTGGTTTCAAAAAGGCCCGCCCCGTGAGCAAGCTCGAGGACCAAATCTTCGCTTTCTAAGCTTGTCAAAGCTTGAGAGGACTCGGCCTAAACAAACAAACAAAAAACTACATTGCGTGGGAGGAAACGGCGTTTTGCATGTTGGTGGGCACCAGGGGAAGTCGATATAGATGCATTTCCAGAGTTCAAGGTGCTGTTCCATGGGTTCCGTAGATAAGAGCTTCTGCATTCGGATAGCTTTGTTGCGACTGAGCTGTCGTGTAGAAAGCGCGCCCCACCTTACATAATGCCACTACATTCTAATCCCTGCAAGTTGACGTCGCAAAGTGAACCGACCACTACTTTCTGCGAACCACCGTGCCAGGCTACAACCACGAAATTTCTCTTTCTCTCAAAGCAATTCACAACACATGCCTGGCGACACTCAGCGCCATGTCAGACGGTACGAAAGCTCCGAGGATAGCGATCAGTTTCGGCGGCTCCTCGAGCTCAAAAAATAACAAGAGACCCTTGCGCCCAGACCCACCATCATCACTCGGCAAACGGTCAAGAACGAATGCGCTGAACAACTTTGACTCGGACTCGGACGGCGAGCGCGATCATGGCCGCGGACGACACGAAGCGATTACAGAACTCGGCGGCGACTCTGATCGGAAACGAGAGAAGAAGCCCCGCGAGCTGGTGATTGAGAAGCAAAGCAACCGCGACTGGAAGGCGGAGTTGCGCGGGCGCAGGGGAGGCAAGAATCTGCTGCCTGCCGAGGTGCAGGTGCAGCGAGAGCAGGAACGGAACGGCGCGCGGCAAGATGCAGAGAGGGAGCCCGCCGACGCGGAGAAGCAGATACAATGGGGTTTGACCGTCAAGAAGCGCAAGACGAGCGAGGAGGATACCACACCCACAGGTCAGGGTGAAACGGCAGCAGACGACGACAATGACGGTCAGGGCGGCGATCGATCACCGAAGGAGAAACGATTACCTCGCACAGCGGACGAAGACGCCATGGACGCCTTACTCGGGAACAAGCGCCAGGAGGAGGAAGACATTGTCATCCAGGCCACGGAGCAGGATGCCTACCTCTCCGACATCAAGCACGTAGGAGTGGACGCGACGCTCGCAGACTACGACGCGATACCGGACGGCGAGTTCGGCGCGGCGCTGCTGCGTGGCATGGGCTGGGACGGCAAGATGCGCGGGCCCAAGAAGAAGCAGCCGACCGAGAGGCGGCAGAACCAGCTCGGTCTGGGGGCTAAGAAGCTCGAGGGCGCCGAGGACCTGGGGCAGTGGAACCACGGCGGGAAGAAGAAGAGCGGACGGCCGCGGCTGGACGAGTACCGCCGCGAGGAGGAGAAGAGGCGCAGCGAGCGCAAGGAGCGGAGGGGCGAGAGCTATAGGGATGAGAGGGATCGTGAGCGGGAGAGGGACCGAGATCGAGATAGGTATGGGGGTGGGCACCGTGATAGGGAAAGGGAGCGGGATAGGGATAGAGATCGGGATTATTACAGCTCTAGACATCGGAGCGGCGACTCAAGACGATGAAGAATCTGCGGCGGGTTCGGCAAGAGGCTGTTCCCTGTTTCAGGTTGTGGTAGAATTGAATAGTTTGTCCACGGATAAATAGACCAACCGGACATATTATTCACGATGTTTCCAAGAAGAAATTCATCAGCAAGCGCTGTTGTCAGTGGCATCGGTTACGCCCATCAACCTCAGCATACTGGGTTCCAGTTACCATCATGACTTCGGAACACGATACCAGAGTACGACCGGCCCGATTGTACGTGATGGGATACCTTGAAAGCCACATCCTACTCAGGTTGTTTCCCACGTCCAATAAGGCCGAAGACTCGCCGTGACTAGACAGCCTTAATTGATGGCGGCGCTGCCTCCGCATTAACTACTTCGTGTACTTCCACCTGACCGCTGGTTCATTGTGGGGAGGTGGAAACGCCCAACATTTGCAAAGTATGGTACGCAGGTCTTTAGTCAAGTGAGAATCACGGAGGCCGAAGAAACCGTGATGAGAAAGACTTCAAACCCCATGGGGCTTCGCTGCATCCGTCTGGGGATATTCCCCTTAGGCGCATGATCCACGCAGCCACGCAACCCTGAGGGTTGGTTGAAGATACCCAGGTCTCGAAGAATGTGGCGCCTTCTCGTGGGCATCAATAACCACAGTCGTTATCTGTTTAAAGTTTGTCATAGCAATGGTGCCCCCACGAAGGCTTCCCTCTGTCGTATCATGGAGAAGGAGCTCTCGTGTCATGGACCACTTCGACCTTGGAGGGCAGTGACCGCTGTGGGCTATGGGACACCTGCAGTTCGTCCCATCGGTCTTGTTTTTTCCCTTCTCGTCCTCCTTCGCCATCCTACACATATCTCTTCGGCCTTTTCCTTCTCCCCAGATAACATTGCTTCGTTCAACACATTCTGGGTCGAGCATTTCTTCAACTCCATGTTTACAACTCAGCTTCAGCAATATTCCATCGATTGCCCATTTCATCATGTCGTCTATACACGAAAAGCCCGTGTCCTCTGTACAGGAAGTACAAGATAAGGAGATTCCCGATACGATTGCCTCCAACCCGGCGGCCAAGGCTGCCAGAGACTACGAAGAGCATCACAACTACATGCAGACCGTCTCGAAGTACCTCCCCGCGATCAAATGGTCCATATTCTTCGCCATGACCATTGTCGGTGAGGGCTACGACCTCGCTCTTATGGGCAACTTTTTCTCCTTGGATCAGTTCCAGAACCTCTTCGGTTACGCTCCGCAAGAGGGCGCTGTCAAGGAGATCCCAACACTCTGGCAGTCCTTGATCCTTACTTCGAGCCAGGCCGGTCAAGTTGCGGCCATGTACTTCGCCGGTCTGTCCATGGACAGGTTCGGTTACCGAAAGACGATGATGTTCTCTCTCGGATCGATCATGGTACTTCTACTCGTCAACTTCTTCGCGCCGGCGGTCTTGCTCACGGGAGGCTATAAGGCTGGTCTCGGCATGATCTTCGCCGGCGAGTTCCTCTTGGGACTCCCTTGGGGAGCTTTCCAGGCCTGCGTTCTACCCTATGCTTCCGATATCTCGCCCCTCAAGCTTCGTCCGACTCTCACCACTTTCGTCTCCATGTGCTGGATTTTCGGCCAGCTCTTCTCGACGGCGGCAATCAAGGGTGTTGCGAACATTGAATCCAACGATCTCATGGCATACCGCATCCCCGTCGGCATCCAATGGATATGGCCCCTACCTGTTCTCATCTGCGTCTTCCTTGCCCCCGAATCGCCTTGGTGGCTCATGCGCCAGTCTCGTTCCGACCTCGCACGCACTTCCCTTGCAAGACTCAACAAAGATCCGACTTATCCAGTTGACGGCCAGGTCAAGGTCCTCGAGCTCACCAACGAGCAAGAGAAGAACAGCCAGGAAGATTCCAATATCACGTACCTGGAGTGCTTCCGCGGCACCAACCTTCGTCGTACCATGATCGTCGTCACCATGAACTTGACGCAACAGCTCTGCGGTTCGGCTCTTATGTTCTACTCGGCCAAGCTATACCAGAAGGCCGGCATGAGCAGTTCAAAATCATACGACTTTACGCTGATTCAGTACGCGATCGGCATCATCGGCATCGTCTCTTCTTGGCCCCTGATGAACTACGTCGGACGCAGAACCATTTGGCTCTGGGGATTGATGGGCTCCATCATTCTCATGACAGGTGTCGGCGTGCTAGGTTTCCACAGCGACCGGCACCCGGCAGTTCCCTGGGTCATCGCAGTCATGCTCGTGATCTTCACAGGAGTCTACAATCTTTCCATCGGACCTCTCGTGTACGCTATTAACCCCGAGATTCCTTCGACTCGACAAAAAGCCAAGACACTTGTCATCGGCCGAGTAGCCTATCTCATCGCAGGACAATTCAACATGTGGCTTTTGCCAAGGATGCTGGAAAACGCTCCCAACGGATGGGGTCTTGGACCTCGGACGGCGCTGGTGTATGCTGCTATCAACGCCGCCTTCTACGTCTGGGCCTACTTTTGTCTGCCGGAGGTCCGGGACAGAACTCAGGCCGAGATGGATGAGCTTTTCAAGCTCAACATACCTGCTCGAAAGTTCCGTAGTACCGAGCTGACGGCTGAATAAGGTGGTTTGTGTTTGTCAGCTGTTACCCAGCAGTTGTCCAACCTCGTCTGGTGGAAGAGATCAAAGGGAGACGTCTCTACTTCCTTTGTATTAGGCCCAGTTCAGTTTCGCGTGGTTTTGGAGTTCAGTATTGGGATAACGCCTTACATGATAATTATGAAAAGTAAAAGTTTTGGGAATTAATCTTCCTTAACGTATGTCTGAGTAACAGAAGCTACCTCCAAGAAGCATGTCTCGGCACTGCTCTATTATGTGTGCAACATCGGTGATGACATACCCATCCCAATCCGAGCTCTGTTAGTGGCCCAGGGGTTGCCGGCACCAAAAGGTGCAGGATCCTTGGCCCCTGAGTCGCGTTCGTCTGCCCCACCAAAGCTGCCGCTGCGGCTGCTGCCGGAACTTGGTGGACTTCCCAATTTTGAGCTCCTTTCGTCAGTTCGAAACCGTCTCTCCTACATGCTGCGATCCGCAAAGCAGCCACAACACACGAACACGACTCCAAAGCAGGGGCTTGACAGCTTCCTTTAACCCAATGGCCATCGAGTGCCAGCCTTAATATTTTATATCTTTCTTTTCCTTCTTCTTGTTTTTTTTAACACGCTACCAGCTAAGACAAGCCACAATGCCTCAAAAATCTCCCAAACCGAAGGGTCCGCCGCCCACCGACTACAAAGCCATCGCCGAGCAATTCGCCAAATTGAAGCGCCAAAGGGAGATCGAGGAGGCTAGCAGATCCCCCGAGGAGATCAAGGCGGAAAAAGAACGAGCACTCCTTCGCGAGAAGCAGCGCGAGGTGTTTGAAGGCCGGCGCAAGAATGCCTATGAGCGTAGATGGTGGTGGACTGTTGCGTTCTGGGCGTGGATGCTGTGTCTACATGCTATTGGCATCGCCTTCTTCACGAGCGGCTTTCTTCTGACGCGACTGGTCCTTGACGAGAAGTCCAACTGTACGGCACCCCCGCTCGAGCTCTCGTCGAGCTGGAAGGGCCAAGGCACGGTCCAGGGCGGTTGCTGGCACCCAAAGTCGTTTGACAAGGCCGTGGTCGTTATCGTCGATGCGCTGCGGTACGACTTTACGGTTCCTGTGGAGGACCAGGCTCCTTTCCACAACGCGTTGCCTTTCTTGCACGAGACCGCCGTCAAGTCCCCGGAACACGCTTTCCTGCGCCCCTTTATCGCCGACCCGCCGACGACTACTCTCCAGAGGCTGAAGGGTCTGACTACTGGTACACTGCCCACGTTCATCGATGCCGGTAGCAACTTTGCTGGTACCGCTATTGAGGAGGATAACCTTCTCATGCAGCTGAAGGACGCTGGGAAGCGCATCGCGCACCTGGGCGACGATACTTGGATGTCTTTGTTCCCCGGTTATTTCGAGGCCAACGTGAGCAGAGCGTACGACAGCTTCAACGTCTGGGACCTGCATACCGTCGACAACGGGGTTATTGATCACATCTTCCCTCTTCTCAAGCAGGAGCAGAAGGGCAAGTGGGATGTTCTCATCGGTCACCTCCTTGGCGTCGACCACGCCGGCCATCGTTATGGACCAAACCATGCGGCAATGACGGCCAAGCTCCAGCAGATGGATATCTTCATCCGCGATCTTGCCGCTCAGATCGATGACAATACTCTGCTTGTCGTGATGGGAGATCATGGCATGGATAGCAAGGGCGACCATGGCGGCGAGAGCGACGACGAGGTCGAGGCAGCTCTGTGGATGTACTCGAAGCGCCCTTTCTTTGGCCGGACCAAGCCCGAGTTCAAGCAGCCCCCGACCATGGCCAAGGTCAGACCGGTCAACCAGATTGATCTCGTACCAACTCTGGCACTTCTTCTGGGCATCCCGATCCCTTACAATAATCTGGGACGTCCCATTGAGGAAGCTTTCGCTGGCAAGAAGGGCAAAGCCTGGGATAATCTGGCGGCTGTATCACGGTTGACCGCTGCCGGCATCCAGCGATACCAAGACTCGTACTTTGCTGCCCGTGGCATTGATCAGTCCAAGAGCGCCACGGCCGGTCATGTATCGAACCTCTGGAGGAAGGCCGACCGTTCATGGCAGTGGAAGAACCACCAGGAATCCTACGGCTTTTTCAACATGTTCCAGGAGGAAACCCTGCGCATCTGCAAGGACTTGTGGGCCCGTTTCGATGTGCCCAAGATGGTGACGGGTATTGTGGTCATGGCGGTTGGAGTCATTACTCTGCTCGTCTATGCCTCGCGCGACGAAGACGAGGATTTTGCTGTTCTTGACGATCTCGAGCTGGATCAGGCAGAGATGAAGCTGGAACTTCAGGGTGTCCAACCCGATGGAACTGCGTCGTACAAGACTCTCCACGAGAAGATCTTCCTTGCGGCAATTCTCGGCGCTGTACCTGGAGCACTGGTTGGCGCCGGATACTCCGTCTTCACCGGTCCCGAGGATCTGGTCTACGCTGTTGCTGGTGGCGCTGTCACTAGCGCGCTAGGTGTCCTATTCTCGCTTTATGGCTTCGGCAAGACTCTTCGCAATCTTCTGCCCAACAATATCTGGGGTTGGCTCGCAGTTCTCTTCACGGTCAGCCAGTCCATTGGTTTCGCATCAAACTCATACACCATCTGGGAGGATTCGATCCTCCTCTTCTTCATCACGACTTTTGGCGTAGCGAACGTCTTTGCCGCGTTCTCGGTGCCTACGATGCGGGAACGCACCCTCGCGATATACCATTCGGTTCTTTTTGTCATTCTTGGTCGGCTCGCATCATTTTCCAAACTCTGCCGTGAGGAGCAAATGCCCTACTGTACTTCGACCTACTATTCCTCGGCTACCTCCTCAACGTCTTCTACCTGGCAACTGGCCATTCCTTTCGCCGTCGCCCTTATCCTGCCTTCCATCATCCAGTCTTTCCTTCTGCCTACTCGCAATTGGGAGGGGCTCGGGCCAGCATGGATCGGCTATGTCTACCGCATTGGCTTGCTTCTGTCGGCATCGTACTGGGTCCTCGATGCCGCCGACAATGGCGATTGGTTTCCAGACCTGCCGGCCCAGACCCTGAAGAACGCCGGAACCTATATGGCCCAGGTAATTCTCGCCCTGGTTTTCGTAGCGGGCACTACCGCTTTTGTCTGGGCGCCGCCGTTGGTCTCGATCTTCAGAACGCCTACCAACGCCGGTCCCCAGATCACTGTTTTGGGTTATGGCAACACGCACGGCTCGAGATATCTGCTTCTTCCGATGAATATTGTAGGAGCCTGCATCCTCCTATCCAAGCCTATGGGAGGCGGCGCTTTGGCCCTAATGTTTTGGCAGATTCTCTCGCTCGTGGAGATTCTCGACCTTAACTCGTTGACAAACGAGGCGATTGGACCCATTATGCTTGCAATCATTGGCAACTTTGGGTACTTCAAGACGGGCCACCAAGCCACACTCAGCAGTCTCCAATGGGACAGCGCTTTTATCCCGCTATTCACCATCAGATACCCATGGAGTCCTATCGTCATGGCCCTCAACACATTCGCGGGTGAAATCGTTGCAGTCGCGGCCGTTCCTCTCATCGTACTCTGGAAAGTGAGTCCTAAGAGAAAGGGAGTACTTGAGAGCGTCGGCAGAGCGCTGGGCATATTTGTTGCCTACTTCGCCGTTGAGTCTTTGGCAACTATGGCGTGGGCTGGGTGGCTAAGGAGACATCTCATGCTGTACAGAGTGTTCAGCCCCCGCTTCATGATGGCGGCGGCTCTCCTGCTGGTGGTAGACTTGGTTGGACTCGTTATCACGCTCATCGGCGTCAGATCCAACACGATGGCGGTGAGCGAGGTTTTTGGCTGGGTTGAATAAAATTGCCGTTTTGGTCAGTTCGATAGGAAACCGAACAACAATACCACTGTATCATCATAATTGTATAGTCATGGGGAAAGCATCCGGCCGGGGAGCTGATGAAGGCAGTGTGTGAACAAAAGACTGAGGTTTGCTTTGGCGCCTGACAACCGTATTATTAGCTTTGTCCTTTGCCTCGGTAATACCCTGCCACAGCGTGTCGACGTTTGGAGAATGGACGGGCATTACAGGACGATGCGCCTCTTTGAATGAGATCAAAGGACAGCCGGTTATCAGGCAGATATGGAACATGCACCTGACAGAGCATCAAGCGCTCCGCCCATCGGAGCATTGGTCAATGGCAGTTGCCATTCTACGTCTTTGAACCAGTTGCTTCGATGCTGGAGCTGGGGAGCTTGGCCAAGAGCTCCGGGTTTGACGTGCTACGCTGATTATATAAGCCGACATTTCGGTACTTGAGATGGTTTCTGGGGACTTCTAAAATCAAGCAAAGGTTGCCGGGGCCATAAGTATCAGGGAAGCTCCCAGATGTATCAGGATCTGTGCACAGTAAACCCCCACTTGGATCGGTAATCAGCTCCCAGGCCTGGCGCCGCCTGCCGCAGGAGAACCGTGGCCTACCTTAGAGGAGCACAGGGCACGTCGTGGTCTGGCAGCAACAATTGTGTGTTATTTTTTTTTCTTCTTGGTCCCTTTGCCCTTTCCACATCTTCGGATTGCGCCTGTGGTAAGGTAAAGGTACCTACGGTTGGTACCCCCGGGAAGTCCAAAAAAGTGTCCCTCCCTGCTTCTCACGACATTTCGACCGCAAACGAAAATTAGAAAATAGGAAGAAAAAAGAAGACCATCCACATCCACGTCCCACTCTCTCCTCCCACTTCGCAACCCGTTCCGCTCTTCTTCAGAGAAACCCGCCCGCCGCCGCCGCCCCGAACGACCAGATCTGCTGAACTGAACACACACAAAAAACCCACACACACACCCTGAGCCGGTTTTATCCCAGTGTCCCTCTGCCTCTGAACTGTGCACATTCATTTTTCCACCCTTCCCATCGACCATCCCTTCTCTCTTTTGATCTCCGCACATCGCTGCTGCTCTCGTCACGCGTCTCCATCTTCTTCCACCTCAAGCTCCCGCCGCCCCCTCGCATCGTCGTCGAAACCCTTTTTCCGGCGTATCCTCCTCTTCCTCCTCCCGTCTTCCACCCCTCCCGTCCTCGGCTCTCCGTCATCAAACCTCTTTCGAGTCACTTCTGAGCGTTTCCCTCACGGCCCAACACATCTTTCGAGGTACGCTCTTTGGTCATCCATATCGCTCGCTTTGCATCTGCTCTTCCTCCCCTCCGAGCTTAAATCTTCTAATCCTCTACTCTCCGCTCCCATTGGCGCATGTCGTAATCCTAACATTCCATCGTTCAAAGGGTCCTAGCTATCGAATATCCTTCCGCGAAAGAAGAAACCTCCCCGCAAGCAAAAGCGAAAAAGCCCCGCAGAAACCTCGAGCTTTCGCCCTCTCGCGACCTTCCATCGCCGTCTTCCTCCTCCCTTCTACCTTCCTTTCGGTCCGATTGCGCCCAGATATCCAGATTTCACAGAAGCAATCATGGCAACCAACGGTAACTACACACACCCGGACCAGTTCAAGGGCGCTGTCGAGCCAACATCATCAGGTCCCACCTCAACCAACAATGCCGTCTCGGCTGGAAACAGCAACCTCTCTAAGGATGAGGTTGGCTGGTACTTTGTCGAGCAATACTACACAACCCTGAGCAAGAACCCGGATAAGCTTCACGTACGCATCCAACTCGGCCCCCCTTCCGAGATGCTTCTTTGAATACTGACACGTATCCACAGCTCTTCTACGGAAAGCGCTCCCAGTTCGTTTATGGTATGGAGGCAGAGGTCGCAAACGTGTCCGTCGGCAGACAAGTCAGTTCTTCCAACTCTCTCTGTGCTACTTCGATGCCTTTCGAAAAGCTCAATCTTGCTGACCATCGCACTTCCTAGACTATCCAAGAGAGAATTAAGAGCCTCGACTTCCAGAACAGCAAAGTCCGCATCACAAACGTCGACTCCCAGGCCTCTTTCGACAACATCGTCATCCAGGTCATTGGTGAGAGCTCCATCAAGTCCGCCGAACCCAAGAAGTTTGTTCAGACCTTCGTCCTCGCGCCTCAACCCTCCGGCTACTTCGTTGTCAACGACATCCTGAGATATATCAACGACGAGGAAGAGGAAGAGGCCGCTCCTGAGGCTGAAGCGGCCCCTGAGGAGCAAGCCGCTCCCGAGGAGGTTGCCGAGGTCTCTGCTCAGGCAGAGGCTGAGGAGCCCAAGGTCGAGCAGACCCCCGAGGAGGCCACTGGCCCCGCTATCGATGTTGACGAGGTTGAGAAGAAGCTGGAGGAGGTTAGCGCCGCCCCCCAGGACGTCGCCTCCAACAACGGCGATGCCGAGCCCGCGGTTCCCGAGCCCGCAAAGGTTGCTGAGACCAAGGTCGAGGAGCCTGCGGCTGACCCCGAGGCCGCTGCGAAGGAGATTGCTGAGGAGGACGTCACCGAGCCCGAGAAGCCTGCCGACCCCTCTCCCACCCCTGTCGCTCCCACCAAGGCTCCCGCCGCCGCCGCCGAGCCCGAGAAGCCCAAGCCCGCCCCTGCGCCCGTCCCGATGAAGCCCATGTCTTGGGCCAGCCGTGCTGCCGCCGCCGTCGGACCTAAGCCTGTCGTGCCCCTTCCCAAGACCGCCACTCCTCCCGCTGGCCAGGCCAAGGCTCCTGCCCCTGCTGCTCCCGCCGCCGCTCCCGTCAAGGAGGCTGCACCCGCTGCCGATGCCCCCGCTAAGGAGGCTCAGGCCCAGGCCGCCAAGGAGGACTCTCCCTCCGCTGAGTGGCAGTCCGTCGGAGCCGACTCCAAGCGCCAGAACCGCCCCCAGTCCATCTCCCAGGCACCCACCGAGAACTACGGCACCTTGGGATACGTTAAGTACGTGACTGACAAGGTCAAGGCCGAGGACCTTAAGGGTGCTCTGGCTGCCCACGGCGAGCTTACCTACTTCGACATCAACCGCCAGAAGGTAAGATATCAAGTGCCCTGAATGATATTGAGTGGCAGGCTAATGATTGAATAGAACTGCGCGTTTGTCGAGTTCGCCACTGTTGCCGGCTACCAGGCCGCTGCCGCTGCCAACCCCCACACCGTCAACGGCGAGAACATTATCGTCGAGCCTCGTCGCCCCAAGGCCAACGCCTACGGCGGTAGCAGCTACTCCTCCAACACCCCCCGCGGCAACGCCACCGGCGGTGGCCGTGGCCGTGGTGGTTTCGAAGGAGGAAACCGCTCCGGCAGCCAGGGAGGTGGCCGCGGTAACTTCACCGGTGGTCAGGCCCGTGGCCGCGGCAGCGTCCGTGGCCGTGGTGCTTCCCAGACTGCTGCTTAAAGCAGGACAGTCATGTGCTAGCAGCGCCGTTCAGGGTCACATCTACCTAAATGAGCTTTTGACCGGCGATGTCGACACGAAGTATCGATCCTATCATCCACTATCTTGCGTGTAGTTACCACCCCCTACACCACGATATCTATCACCCACGACCACCACGACGTTCAAACTCGAGTTCACTACTTCCCAAACCAACAATATTCTCACGGTCGTCAGACGATCACTGACGAAGGAGAGAAAAGCTACAGTCACCTTGATTTCTTTTGCAAGGAGTTCACAGGGCAAGGGCGTGGATTTACACACCGTTTCCTGTACTTTTACACCCCCCAAAAATCTTTTCATTTCTCATTTCTTGTCTTTTGTTTTCTTCTCGCGCTTGCGTTTTTCCAGCATTTGCATCCGCGCTCGTGGCAAGGCAACTCCTTCTCCCCGGGGATGATTACCTTCGTCCCAGCGCAAACAACGTTTTGAGCTTGCTCTTTCTCACTTCTTCACTACCACAACCAAAAATTTGATGGCGGTCAAGGATGGAGTTCCCTGTACATTTGGGCGAAGTTGGAACGGAATCAAAGGGGAAAGGGGAGCACTTGGGAGGAAAAGGGGGGATCAGCATGAACAAAAGTTTTGGCGTCCCATTGCTTTTACCGAGAGAATTTGTCTTTCTGGGAGAAAAGGAAAGGAAAGGGGGGGAATGGGGAAAGGAGGGAAAGGGAGGGGGAAAGCCTAAGGGGATCGGGGTGATGATGCTGTACCATACCAAGACCGACACACACACACACACACACACACACACACACACACACACTCACAGACACACAACCACTACACCGAAGATCCGTAACCCGGTTCTTTTAATGAGAAACAGACGACAATTACTAATGGGCTTTTGTGGAAGTTTTGCGGTGATATCGGTGATATGTTTGCGTACTGTGGTCCAGCGCCTTTGGACTTCTCTTTGTGTACTCTGCTTCTGTTTAATATGTTTATTCGATTTGCTGCTACACCTAGTCCAAGTTGACTGAAGATGAAGAACAACTAGAAACTTGACACAACTTGAAGCGTACTACTCAAGTAGAGGTGCAGTTTGCTCTCATGTCCAACGACTTTGCGCTTTGGAATATAAAACGGCAAGGTTGGGGTTCCTGCTTCCTTTATGTCTGGATTCCGTCTTGCTTTGTTGTTGATTGCAAACTTGTCCTTTTCTTCCGTGAGACTTTCCGTGAGACTCGAGACGCCCTGGCTATTTTGAGGGTGATGGGATGCGGTAGAATAGCCAACTATCACAGGAACTCGATATTTTGGACGCCCGCGCTGGGAGGAGAAGTTGGAGTTGGTAAACGGGGCGCGAAGACATGCGTTCCATGGGCTCGAGTTTTATATTTGAAGTGTTCAGGCTTGGGGACTGTTATTTTCGTCTCCTTCTTCTTCTTCTTCTTCTTCTTCTTCTTCTTCTTCTTCTTCTTCTTCTTCTTGATTCTCTTTTTTTTAGAAGAAAAAAAACGTGGTTTCATAGCAATACTAGGCGTTGGCATTCCTATCTGTTATTCATATTCTATAGTACATAGGAATTTTGGCCGAGTTGTTGAGAGAGATGTGTGGTTTGCTCCATGTCCGATCTACAACATCCACAAAGATCACCGCGAAGAACCCTCGCAAGCTCGGCAGAACCAAAGAGGATGAATGAAGGCGAAGTCCCCTCCTGATGGTTTATCTTGATATCACGGGATGATGAGTATAATGGCCAAAACCTTGGGGGGCCATAAAGACTGTAAGTCGAGGTTATGTGGTAGTTGAACGGGTGGGATAGAAACATATCTCACTTCAAGAATTCATGTTTGGCCAACGTCTCTCGTCGTAGAGTCGCTATGCCAAGCCGTCCCATCACATACAAGAAACCTGAATTCGTCAGGAATAAAGACGCGTTGTGTATCCGAGCGCAAACATCACAGGCTCGATGGGAAAAGGCATGCAGCTTTCGTTCTCGCACTTCGTTACGAGAACGGACAGTCTATTGGGTCTCGGAGATATGGAAAATAGGTGGAGGGAAAAGTAGTTGATGGTCCCCTCCTCTCAAGGGCAGCGGTAGCAGCTTATGGCAAGCGATTGTGCAGCTCGATTTCAAAATTCGAGCTTCATGGAAAGGCATAGATTTCTCAAAGCCTTTACCACGCCATCTCTTTTTTTACGTGTGCGGAATCCGTTCTTGGAGTATGATTCGTCTGTAGCTGTGGTTTTCCAAGGCAAAGCTACTGCTGGGTTTGGAATTCAGCATCTATGCGAACCTCTTCTCGTCCCGTGTGTTCTTTCTGGACACGATGTGGTTTATGGCCTGCTTTATCTTGAACTCCTATCCTATGAATATTGTGGTTCCTCAGATGGGCCGTGACCAACATTGGAGTGCGTGAGTAGATGGTCTACGAAACCATGTGAGGCAGGGGAGGACGGTAAGGGATATGCCTCGAAGATCGAGTCTCGAACTTTATCAGAGGCTCTTCATCGGGTATGTAGATAAATCCCACCGGCACTATCTTGATCGAAAGCGCACTAGAGAGAATTCCACCTTCCTCTTTACCCGGCTTCGTTCCCATCCATGCTTGGCTGCGATGTGGAAACCGACACCGTCGCCATCTCGTTCACGCTGGCAAGGAGATCAAGTCAGTTCCGCCTAGAGAAGGGGGAACTTTGGGCCCAATCGCTCGCATCTCTAGAGCCTTGTGTTCGACTGTGCTTACTGCGAGTACTACGACGACGTTACTACCATGGGCTTTCTGGTTCCTGTACCACGGCGCATGTCATTCGCGCGCTGTGGGGTGGTGAGGTTATAAACACCCGCAAGAGGAGAGGAGGCACCGCCGAGAGCGACGAGATCGAAGTCCGTCGTCGAGGCTCGCCTCGTTGCGCTTGCTCGTTGCATCCGATATCAACCTCCTCTTCCTCACCTTCTTCCCTCTCGCACCGATTCAGGCTCGGAGACCGCATCACGGTCCTCTGGGCGAAAGCGCGCCCCACGTAGCACTATGAACTACAAAGGTTCCAAGAGAGAGAAATGGCGAAAAGGAAAGAAAGGGCGCAAAGAAGCCATCCTGGCTTGCAAAAGGCGGTCGATAGTCGAGAGAGCTCTAGACCACGTTGTGGTGTCATTGGACTAGACCTACCTGCCCAGCTTGATCGTGTTTTCTCCTGTTTCCAAACATCTCGATTCGATTGTCGAGGCTCAATGGGAGGTGAACTAGCCAAGTCGCTTAGACGGGCTTGAAAAAAAGTTTCCTCTTTACAAAAGAACCTGGGGAAAACAACGTCGTATGAACAAACGAACCCTGTGCGACTCCAGAAAGACCAACCCAAACTATTATTGAAGTCTTGGGGGCTCCATTCAGAAATGGCACCCGGAATTACCTCCCGCCTTTCACCAGGAGTATGGGACGCGCGGGTTGCACGTCTGATAGTTTGTCTTGATGATCGGACCACATGTTGTGCAGGGTCGACTGACAAAGGGACCAATGTGGAAATTTCCAAAAGTTCGTGTGCCCTTTTGTCTGAAACCCCTCGAGTTCAAAACCTCGTCGCCAAGGCCCTGGGAAGCGCTGACCGTAGGCCGTTGGTATGCGAATTTCGTCTCCACAATCGTCGTACAGAGCTGAGAGAAAGTCTCCTTTTTCGCGAGAATGATGTACGTAATAATGCCCTTACTGCCGAGTCCCAAGGCCAGCAGCATGCGTGAGCGACAAGTCGGAGGCTGCCATCCACGCACGCACTCTCATAATGAGCGGATCTCGTGTGTATTTCTATTCTGTCCATCAAGGTACGGCAGCGACTACGATTACTGTATTCAGAGTGGTGTACGGAGGCTTGCAGCTCAAAGTCTTGGCTTGCGGGCTTGGCCGGCCAACTGGGGTAAAGGCTGGGGATTTTTGTGATCTCCCCCTCGCAACCTAGAACGTCAGACTACGAAGTACTCCGTAGGTGACTGGTAGCGATTTGCTGTAGCAGCTGTCAGGTTCGCCGGCTCGGTGAAGGAATCAAAGCCCACTTGAACAAACGGTGCTGCTTTCCCAGCCGGTGATGTTGTGCTCGCTGATGCTCATCTTTCTGTTGGTCTTTTTGCCGGCGAGCTCGGCTCGGATGTTGCGAGGCATGCGGTTGCAGATGTCTTTGCTCTTGCACCCACAGTTCTTTTTTACCCCCTCCCTGTTTGCTTGCGACCTTCTCGATTGAGATGGCGGTCACGTCAACTCTGTGTGGTTGGTCGGTACCTGGACCTCGATTAGAAATGGTCCAGGAGATGCCGTCTTAGCCGTCGACCCCCCAGCTTCCTCGGGCGTCGAGAATCTAAAGAGGGGAAATCTTGCCGTTGGGTTGTATTATTCTCCGGCGCGCGTGTTCTAGGTCGCAGAGCGGCATGCTGTCATCACTGCTTTCAAAGTAGTGCTTTGTACGTCTCCGTGTGGACAATGCTTCCATCCTTGTAGTGGTAGCATACGGAACCCAAAGTGTGAGTGGGCTGGGAATCCGTGAGCAGGTGGCCAGACTTCGCCGCGCTTGTTCTTGCGAGGGGTTGCAACAGTCCGGTAGCCAGCATGCAAACAGTTTTGCTGACCGATGATCACAGAGCCAGGATGAAGATGTTCAAGTGGCAGATAGGGAACTGCCGGCGATAATCAAAGATCAGCACCTTGGAGAGCGGCTAGACAGTGGAGATTATTTGGAGATTTCCGTCGTCGATTCTTGTTTAGGAAAGAATACGTCTTTCGAGTTTGGGTTTCGTCGGTGTTGATGACTGGCGAGCTGTTTCTAGAATATTGCCTGTTCCGAGGTAGAGCGGCATGGGCAAACTTGCGTTAGAATCAACGTCCTGTCTCCTCAATGACAACAAAATATTGACAGAGACATCGTTGACAAACGAAGCCGGCCTAGCAAAACAGGGCAGGGCGAGCATTCAGCGGCAGCCAGCTGGAAGACGGGGCGTGAGCTGTGGTGCGGGAATGGCGTCCACTCAAGCTTTCCAAGAAAATTCCAAGAGATTGGGCGAAGCCGCTAGAAGCAGAAACGGGCGGCTGGGTTCGGGGGGCGTGTGTTGCGTGGTGGTATTGGCCTGGCCTGCAACAGACTAATTACCTCCATACCAGTCCGCCCTCAGTGATACGTGACATTTGCTTGACAGGCCCCAAAAGCACCATGTTCATCTGTGGAAGAAAAAATCGAACGCTGGTATGGAAGGAGGGCGTGACGTTCGAGTCGCGACTGGCGCCCCCATAGTCAAAACCTGACTTCGTGGCGTGCCGGAGGGGATCCGAAGGGCGTTTTCTGGGGAACGGGGGGATCTGGAGGGGGTCCCTATCCCAGCAGGCATGGCATGATGGATGGGGTAGGTATTAAACTGCCACTGTCAACGGCTGGCTCAACGATTGTGCTGATGGGCCGGATGTCGCGGAGAGTGCTCCGTTCTGTAAATTGTGGTGAGGCAGAGCGTACGTATTGCGCATGATAATCGCAATATGAGAAACGGCGCCATTGGGGCACCAGGGCCGAAGCGAAAACTCTGCTCCCAAAGGCAGCAGCACGGTATACGAGGCGCGTCTGCAAAAGTTCGATTTGTTCTACCCAAACTTGCACGGCTGATGCTTGGCTTGAGAAAGTACTGTAGGCTGGCAGGTGGCTGACCAACGACAGGCGATGGACCGGGGGAGATGTTCGAGTTAGTGTTAGCAAAAGGGAACGGCTGAGTGGGATCCGCTCGCAAAAGATCCTTTGGACTTTTGCCAATAATTGGGCGTCCATCCAAACGGACACTCCGCCCTGCGCACTCGCAGACTGCAGTAGGACAAGCGCTCAAGCGAGGAGAGGCGAGAGTGTGTGCGCGAGGGTGGCAGGTGGTTCGGGCCAGCCGCCGCTCTTGGCATTTGCCGTTCCTCGTTTCGTTTATGCACCACTCTTCCCGTCCAAGCCCAAGCCAGCAAACAGCACTGGTGTGTCCCGCCGCCGTCAATGTTTCGGGTGGGCATACGCGGGTATAGTGGGCGGTAAGGTACTGTCACTTTGTTGTAGGTTCAAGGACGCCAGTGGCTGCCTCCGTTTCAGCGGACGATATTCAGGCTGCGGACACAGACAATCGTCTCTCGGCCGATTCGAGAGTCCAAGCCACTTGAGGACGGGATCGCCATGTGCATCGAGCTTGGCCGCGCCCCCGTTCTAGTGCTAGGCGGTGCTAGCCCTCCATTGACGTCCATTAATGATGACTTGCAGTGCAGAGCCAAGGATTCCCGAGCCAGCAAAAACGGTGACGGCGGACGGGCGGCGGCGACGGCGTCGGCGGAAAGAGAGGTATAGTTGATGGAAGGGGAGGCCATGACATTGACAGGCAATTCGAACGTTAGGGGGATAGCATGGCGACATGGATTATGCAGAAATGCTTGATTGTGCGGTCGGAGGGCAAAGAGAACGGTAGAGAGACTGGGGGATGGTCAGTGGACGACGAGGGTAGACTCGGGCACCGTGGCGGATATCTGACCTGTTTCGTCCTGGTCTTGGCCTTTGGTGTTGGTCTGGGTCTCGAGACAAAAAAGTGTGTGTGTGGGTGGGCGGTGTTGGGTACAAAGTATCGGTGCTTGTGCTGTATGTGTGTGTGGTATGGCATGTTTTAGCACTGGCATGTCGACGGCCATGCCCGTTCATCCCATTGTTTGTATTCCCGTACTACGAGGCATCCAATTGAACTCATTAGTAGTTGTTCAGACGATTCTTTTGGGAAGTATGCGAAGTCTCATCGTCTTACCAAGTTCTATTCAATTGTGCGGACTGCGGTTTCCAACCTGAATACAGATACTGAGAGTGAGGAACGTTTGGTTCGCTGGCGTACGGAGTCCTGTAAGTGTACTGTGGAACGTAATGATATCTGGCACCCACGTAGTCGATCCACTTGACATTTACCTTAGAATTTACCTTAAACCAAGGTGGACTCGGTTTACGAAGCTCCAGAGTCCAGAGTCGAGTGCTCCACAAGCAGTCAGCAAGTGGCAGTTGCCGACCAAGTTCCGTCTCTGTCTATATCCGAGGAATCCTAGTTATTGAATGACGCGGACATTGTATGCAAAGGGCCTCCCTAGAGAGCCTACCTTCCTCTGTTGGAAGGCTAGAGAGACGTTGTTGCCGGAGTTGAAGCCGAGTTGCGACGCCTGACCTGGCCTTTACCTTGATGAGCACAGGTGCAATATGACGGATGCTACCTGCCTGCTCCATGGCATAGAGAATTAAGCTACCTAGAGAGAAAGAACAAGTCTCGCTGTTAGTGTTAGTCTGCTAGTGTAAGGTAAGGTAAGGTCGGGTTGCGTCCGACTCAAGCGGTGGGAACTCGAGAACTTTGGAAGGTAATGGGAGACTTCTGACTGAGAATGGAAGTAAGATAGGTACGTAGGGAGGGTCCACGCCAGGCTAGGCCCCCGCCTTTCTGTGCCGTAATGCCGTAATTGGTGCCATTGGGAAAGGCATCCATTCAGCTGACCTTCCGTCGTGGCTTCTATTTGGTACAAAGACTTTGCCGGCAACTCGTCCAAGGGTGAAACGGAGGATGGGATTCGCCAGGTAAGATAGGCACCTGCCTTACGCTCCAACTTTTGCAGACCTTCCTTCGTATGGAGCAAGGTACCTCGATACTTTGCTAAGGCTCAAGCGGGCAGGTTGATATTCGGTAGAATTCAAGCATTTTGCACCCGGGCCTTCTCACGCTGCAACTCTCTCTCCCGTCTTTCCATGGTAAGGTACTTTCACTAGTACGGTAAGGTGCATTGGTACCTTCCATTGGGTCATCATCTTCCTTCCCGTCCAGTCCTTGTTTGCCTGCCCGGCATCAATCTACAACGTTGGAGACGAGGCGCCCTTCCTTGCATCAGATAGATACATTGCGGTTGGAGCTTTGCGTCTTCACCGACCACTTGTTCTTTTCTCTTGCCTTGCCTTACTCTTCTTCTCTCCTCTGTTCTGTTCTTGTTTCTCGTCTGCAGACACTGTTAGACACACTGTTAGACTCGGGCAGTAGTACAAACGCCCGTTATGCTCTGGGGGCCAATCTCCAAGGTTGCAATGCAAATGACAATGCCAGAGGACGTTGACCTACGAGAGACCCAGCCTCTGTCCCTCTCGTCTCCAAATACAAAGATACCCTGCCGTGCTGCTGGGTCTAGGCACAACGGGAGGTAGCATTGCCATTATACCGTCCACCAAAAGGTCAAAAGATGAAAAAGCTGGGTGGTCTACTAGCAGTCTAGCACAGGCCAAGGGGGAAAAAAAGTACCTCGAGTCCGCGCCACCCCGGTCGCCGCATGTCTTTCACCTCCCCAAACGGGTTAGACCTGTCTACAAAAGGCCTCGGTCCACTCGGCGCTGTTCTTGCTTCCACAATCCACCACTCTGACCAGGACGGGGACCACCACGCATTTGCACCAAAGGGCCCTTTTCTATTTTTCCTTCACTGCCACTACCTACCACAGTGCTCCGTACGCAGTATTGTTAGGTTGCCAAACGGATGAACCGCTGGCCACTCACCACTCAGGTTTCAGGAATTACTCGTGGGTGTTCGTCTTGACGATCATCGGCACCGAACTCGCCCTAATTCTTACTCGACCCTGCCTGCCTGCCATTTGCTTCAAGGCCGGTTCCTTGTCCCTATTCTGGACTCACGACCACCCTGCCGCTTTCATCCCCCCCCCCTCGTTCATCTGCCCCTGCTCTGCCGACCTGCCACGCCTGCCTCAACCTCTCAAGCCGACGGCCTGCGTTTCCGTTTGCTAGCCGCCGCTGCTGCTTGCTGCTTGTGCTGCTCACCCTCTGTCTGAATGGAACACCACACTTCACAACTGTACGGTAGAAGCGCCAGACTGCAAATCATCATTCCAAGCAATCCGACAAAGAGTCTGCCCATCTGCCAAATCGCGCCGAGGTACATATCGAGGGTACGCGTACCAAGTACGGATATCGCTGCAGCATCGCATTGAGTCCTGGTACTGCCAACTGGATACTGCCAGCTGGATACGTACCTTCGGATCATTAATTGAATCGCACCTTGGCTGATCGATACACTACGTCCACGCCTACCGCCCGGCCAGAATCCGAGCCTCCATCTCTCCTCTTTACTCTCCAATTCTCCATTATCGAATCACCCAATACCTGCAAAAATCCCGACAGGGACCGATTGTAGCGCGCATTTGGTTCGACCTTTTGAAGTTCGAAAAGAAAGCGGGAAAAGACACACCCGTTCTACTTCGTACCCTTTGCAACCTCAACTTCACTTCTACCAACGGTGAACCCCGTCCATACACAGCACTCCGTACATACGCCGTGCCCCGTTGAACTTCTCTCAACCTTGCTTGGGGTCCTGTTCAACTTCCGCTCGACACACGCCTCCACACCCATCAACCAGGTCCCATCCGTCCATCCATCCTTCTCTGATCACCACAAGTCGCGCGGTGGCCCCCCCAGGAACACACCAATTACCGTACATGGTCTTCACTCGCCTTTGGTTTCTGTTACCATATTCTTTCGCCATATCACGCCGTCCTTGTCAGCTACGCAACCACGTTCCCACCCGCCGCTCTTCAACGAGCCCTGTCCTGGCCTGACCCGACGTCCGATGCGCATGAGATCCGCCCCCAGAGCCAAGTCCCCCTTGCGGCCCTGGTCCTTCAACACAGACGAACTGCCCTTGCTGCGCGGTCCCGGACATCGTCTCCAACCTCTCGCGCCTCTTCTTCGGCCCTGCACGGGAATCGGTTCCCTCATATCCGGCTTGTACTGCTTTCATCATCGGGCTTCCTATTCAGTCCAACCTTGTTAAGCGGCTCTTCTTTGCGCTGGCACCACCCGATGACTCGACGCCTCCCGTTTCGCTTCACTCCTCCCGCCAGCCCGTTGCAACCTTGACCTTCCATCCCATCTCGTCTGCGTCCTCCACAACCACCACTCCTCCTCCCATCTGTGCTTCCTGTGCTTGCTCGTCGTGCTTGTCTCGAACCGCACCTCGCTCGCTCCAGGAACCGGATTCTATTCCTACGCCCGGTCATTGGAACCAGGCCTATTACTTGGACCCGTCGCTCCATTGCCACCGCTTTCTCGCTTCTCGGCACATCACTCCATCCCTCATCCACCTTCTCACCACGACACCTACACATCCACACCACCAAGGTTTCCAGTCCTTTCTCCATACCTACGCATTCGTACCTGACTGGACCTAATCCACTCCCCGATCTCATCTCATCTACCGGTCTCGTCCCAGGACCCCTTTGCATTTGTTTTACGTTACTCTGCCCCGTGCGGCCCTAAGAAAGAGCCGCCGACAAAAGGCCCTCACCATGAAGTTTTGCGGGTCAGCATAACCCCCGGGCCAAGCACATCTCGTGAATCCCTCGTTCCAGGGAATCCGTCCGAGACAGACGCACGGGAACGGGCCTCTGCCTCCGCTGCCACCCGCCGCATGGTGGTCCTGGCCTGACACGACTCGTCTGTTGCCGGCTCACTCGTCTCCTGTCATATAAAACCTCATCTGCCCCATGGATCCCCGCAGCGAGGACAGCGGAAATGGACCATCTAATACCGCTGTGCAGCCGCCGCCTCTCCGGCGGCGACTATCGATGGAGGAGGACTATTTCTACCAGGAAGTCATGACTTCCCCTTTCCGACGACCATCACAGCCGCCACCATATGAGCGGGATGCTAGACCAAGACGACCGGTGGCACCCAGGGTCAACTCCCAACATGGAGTCGGGGAGGATTTGCCAGGCTATTCGTGCGATATCGAGTTGGAGGGCGTGTGGGTGAAGAAGATGGAAATTGAAAACACAACCAAACGGGCAGAGGACAGAAATTGGCACACCACTATCGTACAACTGCGAGGCACTGCATTGAATTTTTACAACGTGAAGAAGGACTGGGGATGGGGCAGGACGAGAGACGGACCGACCATCTCGCCCGACAATCCGCCATGGGTGCGGAAGGCATCTCTCGACAGAGCGTACAGTCTTCAGCACGCCGATATTGGTATTGCTGCCGATTACAAGAAGTAGGTTGCCTCGATTCTCAGCCTCATTCCATGCCAAGACCTGCCAAGAGACTGACTCCCACCTAGGAGGCGATATGTCATTCGTGTCAGGGCCGAGGAGGATCAGTTCCTTCTATCCTGTATAGAATTAAGCACGATGGTTAGGTGGTTGGAGGCTCTCTTCGCCGCCATCGATGTTGCCGCTCCCATCGACGACCGTGACTATCCCCGCGACCAGAGCATCCCCCGCATTCAACGCATCCGCTGGTTCCGTGGCCAGACACCAGCACCGACGAACAACTACCCCGTACCGACGCCAAGACCACTGAGTCCTGAACTCCGCCGCGTGGCTTCTGCCGAGGCACCCGATCCCTTCCCAGCATCTTCGACCATAGAGGGTCTCGTTCACCAGGCCGTCGTCAACGAGCGCGGCGAGACCAACGTACTAGACAGCGAGTCTATTTACGGACCCGGACCTGGGAGGAACGAGTTGATCAGCAGCCGCTTGTCGACAACATCGTATCCCAACGAGGCCATCGATCCAGACACTGGAAAATGGGCACCCGAGCATCAATGGAGTGCGGCCCACGATCTGCTCTATGCCAAGCTTTGCTACTCTGTTCTCCTGTTCAAGAGCCCCCGAAAGTCAAACTACATCATCAGCAAGGGGAAACGATGGTTCGTGGATTGGGCAACAGGTCGCATGGTGCGCGTACTGCCGCCAGCCTACGGCGAGATTGATTTCTTCGGCCCTTGGCAAGTCATCCACACGGAAAACAGGAGGATTTAAGATGGATCGTTGTTTCTCCCTCACTTCTACTGCACATATACATACCCCGTGCCCACGTCAACGACGAGGGCCTTTCTTTCGCATTGACACGAGGAAGAATCGCAAGATTCGAACGATACGGATTTTTACCATACATTACCCAGAGGCTGGGCGGTCGGTCGGTACGGCGGCCAAAACAAAATCGGGCGGGACGGCGCGGCATATGCATTCGGTTGGCTCTTTTCTTTCTTTCTTCCTTCCTACTTCATCTCCATTCCTCTCAACCTGTTCTCAGTCTCCTTTGTCATTCATGGCGGGTGAGAGAGAGAGAGAACGAGAGCATAGCTTTGCGCCAAGCATATCATCATTGGGCGGAGTTGTCAAGGGCAGCGGCAATGCTCGCTGCCCCAAATTTCATTATTGTCCTCTTGCTTTTTCTGTAGCATGGAGTATTCAGCGTTGGCATCGCGAAAGCCTTGGCACCGAACATATTCGTTAACGATGGGGGACCCTGAAGGAAACTTCCCATTGGTCTTGGCCGAGGCGTAGCCTGGTCGACTTGAATATATTAAACGTTAAGAACATGACCTGGAATGAACGTGAAGCTTTGCCCGTTGTGAAGATGCCGTTTGATCCAGGATAGCAAAGAAATATTAAAGGGACTAGGACAATTGTAAGTTCTCGGCTTTATTTCCGGCCAAGCCACGGCCTACATAAATCAAAATGGTATCTCATGCGTAGGGAAGAGCAACCATGTCTACAGCCGTATTCAGACATTATTCGACAACCACATCTCCATGAATCCAACCTTTACCGGTCACGTCCCCTTTTTTTTTCTTTTCCACCCTCGTCTCGATCGCGTATCGCAGTCTGTCCGACCCCTCACATACCCGCCATCTCCACCTCAGAAGCCCGCGCCTCGGCCGCCAGCTCGGGCGCGACGTCCACGAGCAGCGCGTTGGCGCCGTCGATGTCGGCGACCTGGCTCTCGAGCTGGGCTAGGAGGGCGTCGATCTCCGCGCGCTGGGACTGGATGGAGGCGAAGAGGGATTCGTTGGAGGCCTGGGTGTTTTGGAGGCGGGCGTTGAGGGTCGATTGTTGCGGTGCGAGGCGCGGGGCGAGGTGGGCTGTTAGGATCTCGTCGGGGGGGAGGACGTGTGGGCTGTTTGTGACTGGTGTTAGTCCTTGGGAGTTTGGTTTTGGGTGTCTCTGGTGTTACAGAGTATTGAGGCCCGAGAAGGGAGAGAGGGAGAGGAAAAGGGGAGGGGGGGGGGGGAGGAAGAGTGTGACGTACGGGATTGGTTCTTCGACGTCGCTGCCGCCTTCTTGTCTCCTGCGGTCTGCGTCGCTGACGAGGTTTTCTAGCTCGTTTAGTTTGCGGATGACGTCGCGGTCGGCGAGGATTGATTGGAAGTCTTTCTATAGGAGTGAGAAAAATCATTAGTATGCGGTTTCTTTTCTTCTTCGTATCTTTCCCTTCCATGCGGGTTGAACAAGGAATGAGACCCAAAACATACGTTACATCTCTCCTCGAGGTAATCCACCATTTGCTTCTGGACGTTGCGCAGGGTATTCGGCGCGTGGGCGGCGACGGTGGGGAAGCACGAGGCGAAATTGTCGTAGTTTACTTTGCGGAGGGTGCTGGCGAGGGCGCCGTCGTAGAGCTGGATGAAGCGTCCCGCGCGGGGGCCGGGGGTCGCGGGGGTGTGTTTTTGGGGGAGGGGAGGTGAGGCGGGCGGTTGTTGTGGTTGTGTCTCTTGCGCTTGCTGTGATGGTTCTTGTGGTTGCTGTAATGATTGCGCTGTCGTTGCTGAGGTTGCTCCTGGTGCTGGTGTTGTTGTTGATGTTGACGATACGCCGGCGCCGGGATGCGATTCGGTCTCGGGTTGGTGTTGGACGGCGTGGTCTTGCGATTGGATCTGTGATGATGATTCCTTTATCGATTGCGAGGGTTGTGACTGGTCTTGGTCGGGAGCGGACATTTTGTGCGGAGTGGGTGGGCTGATGAGCGGTGGTGGGAGGTGGTTTTTCGTTGCTTGCTTGAGTTCGCGATGCGATGCAATGCGACTGCGGTGATGTTTAAGTGAAGATTAGCGGCTGGGATCCCGGATAGACGTGACGCGTTCTGTGGTTAAGGTCAGGTACGTTGGTGGGGGTGGGCACAGGTCAAAACGGCGCGAAGATGACGGGAAGTTCACGTGCTTTGCTTACCTTACCTTTCTTTAGCTTGGGCCATTTATGTTTTTTTTTTTTTTTTTTTTTCCCCTTGGCGGGTGGGATGAACGCCGCCAAGACAATCCAGATGCGAGCGATCCCGGCCGGCCGGTTGGTTCTGTTCCTGAATCCTGGCAGCTTGGCGTGGGGATTTTTTTGGCGCCGCTCGCCTTTTCTTGCTCTTGTCCGTTTGGGGAAAGTCAATTCGAACCTCTATACGGGTGCCTTATCCATCTTGGTGTATTTGAACGACGAGTGTAGGTGTACGGAGTGTCATTCTCAGGAACGCAAGTCTGCTACTCACTCCGTCGATATGTCTTTGGTTCTCTCTTTGAAACTCGCAAGCTGCTCCACGATTTTTTCTTTCTGCTCACACCAAATGGACCTTGCCCACGTTGTCCCTGCGAAGTTGAGCGCGAGAGAGGTTGAGGCGTGAATCTTGAATGGTGGCCTCTGCCCATTCAACGTCATATCATCGTCACACTAAAATGCGTTAGAAAATCGATCACCAAATCGTAAGTATAGAGTCCTTCATTGCTCGTCATAAGCGAGGCAGTGGTGGGAGACTGAACCTCGTGCACTTAGACTCCAAATACCTCAACGAGCCGTGCATCTGAGAGTCGGCGTTCTTCATCAACGACATCCATGATAAGCAGGCCACAACTTTTAGCAACGTGACGGAAAGTGACAATCACCGACCTGGAATGCGATGCTTAATATAGCAGCACGCCATTCTACGAAACGGTAGCATGAGGGACTAGTTCGTTAACTCCTTGCTATACGAAGAAGCCTCGAAGCGCCCCCCGCGGCCCCCGCCCCGGGCACTTGTCGGAGTAGTACTACCGTCCGAGCAACAACCGCAACTGACACAAAGTATTCTCCGAGGAAACATCACCTCAGTCTAGAGACCAGACCACATTGAACTGGAAACCATCGTGACTGGAACTCGTTTCACTTTGTTGTTATATTCAGCTCCTCGCGCCGTTCAACGCGTTTTCAAACAAATGTTTCAAGAAAGCACCTGAGGCGTGAGAAGCCGACTCTCCTTCGCTAGCCGTGTCATCTGATAGTTGTCTTGATCTACCGGCCCATCAACACGCCCCCCTGTGAAAGCCATCTGCCTCAACTCGTATCATAAAGGCTAAGCATTTCATCTCATGTCCTCCCCTCGGCTCCCCCTGAGTTCGGTATCTCGAGCCGATGTGGAAGTCCGCATGGCGAGCGAAGCAAGTAATTCCAACCGAGAAGCCGCGAGCCAGAAACGAAGGCTGCTTCGCCTCGTTCGGGCCCCTCGGGGCATGACTTCCATCCATCTGCCCTTCCAAAGTCGGTCTAGATCGTCCTTGTGTGACCCGCCCCGAGGAAACCACCATTCTGTAACTTGCGTGCAGTTTGAACAAGCTTCATACAAGCTTCATATAGTACCACACATAGCCTCCATCAAATCAATACAACTCTGCCTATCCTGGCTAGCCGGACCTCGAAGCATACATCAAATACATGTAGATGTTTCCTGATTCGACCAGACACGGTTAGGCAGACACTTCCGGTGGGATTCCTTGTCCTGGAGAGACAGGAAACGGCGTCATGATCAGCCCTCATCATCTGCCAGGCACGGCGGTAGAAGCCCCTTTTGGTATTGTCCTGGAAAGTCGTGATACCCAGGTGGTTTATTTTTAGATGCGGTTAGTATTGTGTTTGGTAAACCTGCATCATGCTCGTGGGTGCGGTAAAATAGTGTCACTTCTCTTTGTCTACATATCTTATATAAGGCCCCGAACAAAGTCTATCTCCAAATGCAGATCCGCCCTTACATTTCTCACAACCTCAGAAACATACAGACCGCCCAGAACTACATACAACTCCATCTCGTTAATCCTACAAACTCCTCAAACGACACACTCAACCCCGTCCCCATCTTCCTAGCCCAACATGCGTTTCTCCTTCGCCGCCCTCCTCGCCATGACGACAGTCGCCTTGGTAAATACCTACCCACATCTCTTGCGTCCATCTTGGCCTTTCCAGCAGAACAAAAGTAAACTAATCATGTCCCTCACTACTAATAGGCCACTACTACTCCCCACGCCAGCACGGCGACGGGCGGCGTCAAAGCCGCTGCCACGAAGAGCAGCTCAGCATCAGCCAAGGCGACTTCGACTACCACTCACAGCAAGAACGCCGGCCCCAGGGAGACCGCGGCAGTTGCCCTCGGCGTCATGCTTGGCGGCATGGGCCTTGTTGTCAACATGTGAGAAGAGAAAAAGGCTGTCAGGTGGCTCGGCTTCAGATACCTTTGATGTCACGAGATGTCTGAGTCTAGTGGATTTTCGGTTTATTTCTTGGGCGGATTAAGGGGGAGAGCATTCGAAGAGGGTGGATTGTGGGTGGCTTGGGAAGTATCCCGATGTCAAACGGGTACAACTGCTCCTGGCGGGTAAATCCAGATCTGGGATTATTTTGTTCGACTGTGTTGTTGTTCTGCTACTAAAATAACATTCTTGAAACAATATTTGGCTCCCCGTGAGAAGAACCCTGAACGTTTGATGTGGCTACAAATCTTTGATTGACTAGAAAAGGGGAGGGGACTCCGAGGTCATTATGACAGCCAACCCACTCGAGTTTGATCGCGTAGAGCTCGAACGAATCTCTATCCTATGAGTCTAAGAAAACAAAAAGCATAACACTATCTGGTCAACCAAGCATTTGACTTGTCGGCCATCTCTGACGCCACCTCCAAATCAATGCCATCGCCCATTCTCAAGGAGACCGTTCTAATTCGCAGTGGCCAGTACTGACATTAAATCCAGACAAAACAAACCGGCACACACTCGCGGATCACTTCCCCGAGTCTTTTTAGAGTCTCATGGGCCATTGAGCATTAGCACAATATGGAACAGTCGAGCTAGTCCGCCGTCCCCCACTCCGTCAAGCCCGCGCATCCACACCTTCGCCAAAACTCCACGAGCCACCACAAAAACTTCAAAAGACATACAACACCAGGTATTCGCTGGTCGTCACCGACCCAACTACTAATCCGGCCCTCATTGGCTTATCTATGGGAGAGCGGACGGGATCCCGAGTTTTCCAATGGGTATGGTCGTATGTGGTGGTTGAAGGCGAGGTTTGGGTTCATGCCGACTGAGTGCTTGGAACCTGAGGGGACGACTAGAGGCCGAAAATGCACGCGGCAGCTTCTCAAGACACTGGATAATGGAAATTTCATAGCTTTCAGCTTCCGGTCTCGTTGATTGTAGGACCGTAAGGTAGGTAAGGCCCCATGAAGGGGGCTCGGACGAGAGGATTGACTTACAGCTTGGCTCAGGCCCCAAGCGTGGAACATCTCGTAGTTGTGATTACTAGAGGTGTACGTAAGACTCGTGAAATGTGATTTTGAAATGTTTTCATACCAAGACTTTCATGCCGAAGAGGCTTTGTATGAACTTGTGTTTCGTGCGGTACTCGCTGGAATTGCCTCGCCTCGGAAAGCCGTTCTCATCAACAACGTGGTCGTCTACTTGTTTTACGACTATCACAAACCGACTCAAGAATTTTTGTACCATGTCAACTATATTCCCTTGTTTATACGCGTAAGAAGGCCCGGGGAGAAGATTCAGTTCAAAGACCTCACCACCGGTATGGCTACATCTCTTGGCGATTAGCATGGCGCTCATGCTATGATCGTACGCGAACTCGAACTCGTAGCCTTCTATGTAGACGCCAAGGTGGAGCCGAATAGAAGAGGGTACATAACGGACCGTGGCCAGGGTACATGGGATGGCTATCATTTGAGAAAAACATGCCGCTAGTGAGCCAGTTCAATCAGTGTTGCCTACAGCTAGTTCTGTCATCCTCTCCAAGCTTATTGTCCGCGCCTCCCTCAAGATCAAAATGATCTGACTCACACAAAACCGGATTGTAGGCATTAAACGGACCGCACAAACTGCATACTTCCGATTCTCAACTTCGCCCCCCCTCCCCCGCCCCCTTCTCTCCTGCTCGTCCGATCCTTCACTGCTTGATTCTGAGCCAAGATACCTATAGAGCTGATACAATTTGATCATCAGACCCCTGGTGTAGCAGACAGCGCGGCTGTTGGAGCTATCACAGTAAGAACAAACGGAGCTCCGACTAGAAGCTGTGAGCTCTCTGATGGTGAAGATGTTGTCTGACTGGGAATTGAGGTTCCACCCATACTAGATGGAGGCAATTTAGGAGTAAGAGAGTTTGTCGGACTGCTGATTGATACTTGCGAGGTAGTCGTTGGAGGGAGCAGGCCGGACGTTGAACCTGGCGACAGAGTGGCGGGTGGGCCCTGTGGTGTGGTACTCGCAAGGCTGAGTGAGCCGCTGAGAGAAGTTGTAGACAAAGGACCGTTCAGAATAGTGCTTGATGAAGTAGCTGGCGATGTTTCGTTTCGCCACATCCCAGTTGATGGGCTAGAACTCGGGGTCAGACTCAAAAGTGACGTCGTAGAAAGGGGGGATGTCGATGGAAGGCTACTCCTCGTGCGAGTCCTTGAAAATCTTGTGTCTGAGGTGCTAGCTGATGAAGATGTCGTGAACATACTGGATGCCGTGAGAGATGGTGTGGTTGTCAAAGGTAGTTCGCTAGTCACGGAGGTAGAACCTCCGGTTCTTGATGTGGACGATATTGTTGAAAGCGAACTCGTTGTGCTCAAGGGAGCCGACGTGGTTAGGGTTGAACTTGGTGATGTTGTCGAACTTGTTGGACTTTGGTCTGTGGTGGTAGTTGACTGTGTTGATATTGTAGAAGGTGTGACAGAAGTAGTGGATGAAACATCAAGGCTTGAAGAGCTGGTAGTACTGCTGGGAGAAGAGCTAGAAGAAGTACTGGAAGAAGTACTAGATGTACTAGAAGTACTAGAAGAGCTGGACGAGCTGGAAGAGCTGGAAGAGCTGGAAGAGCTGGAAGAGCTGGAAGAAGAACTGGAAGAAGAACTGGAAGAAGAGCTGGACGAGGTGCTGGTTGTCGATGTAGTCGTAGCTGTCGCTCCAATAGTAACAGTACCCGAGACAGTCCCTGAAGCCTTGACCGTCGATGTGTACTCCTGTCCGGCGGCAACGATCGAGGTTATGGTGACATAGTCAATCTTGACCACGCGATCACAGTCAACACAGCCGGCAGCATTAAGCAGCAGGGCTGAATCCCATTCACTATCGCTTTGATCGCAAATGGCAAACACCATGGTCTGGGTTCCGGACGCAGGAATGCCCACGAGAAGGGGAGGGGATGACCCTGGGTAGGACGTGACACTGTTCGGCGGCGTGATCACGATTGGTTGTGCAAGGAGATTAGACACTGCCGTAATGCCGTTAGAATACTGTTGACCGCCTAGATAGATGCCGATAGGATCAGCAGATCCACTGGAAGGTGTCAGCAAGCTTGTAATTACACCAGTTCATACTGACTTGGATGTTCACATACCCCTCCTCTTCCGATGCGAGGATGAATTCGACTTGAACGCCGCTGTATCCGAGGTCGATGGCGATATCTACGGTTAGAATAGCGGCATTGAATGTGTTCGGACCGCAGTATGCGACAGAACCGGCCGCGCCGTTGTTCACGTAGTGATCGCCATTGGGAAGAGCTCCAACGGCGGTTCCAGTCGTTAAGATGGCGCCGTTTCCAATGCCACCGAGGCCGGCAATGAAAGTCCCGGAGCTGACGGCCGCACCCGAAAAGATCGCTTGCAGGACAGTTATTCCAGGGCCGTTGAAAATAGCATTGGCGAGGACATTGGCATCGTTGGTTTGAGTGACGCTGAAACTTCCGCACAGGGGCGCAAAAGCTGCAAGGACAGCAAGCAGGATGGACCTCTTGAACGGCATCTCGAAAGATTGATGACGTATGTCAGGACGACAGAAGTTTCAATGAAAAGCAGGATGTTCTCGTAAGGAATGGCAAGAGTAGCGGTGGAATATAAAGACATATCAGCCGCACGCGTCCGACACTTACAACAAGGCGAGGGATCCTCAAGATCAAATACGACATTACGCAACGTGCCTCGAAATGGACGTGAACGCCCCTTTTCACCCTGATCAAATACCGAGACATCATGGCTCGCAGTATCATTGCAGTTACACGGGCAGGTCTAGAGCTGGGGCATGAAGAATGATGAAGCATACTGGTGAAGTGATCACGGCGGATTACTTTGTCACCGTGTATCGTGTCATTTACAACGTAATGACCTATTCTTGATCAAACGATGCCATACTCATCCTGCTATTGCCAACCACGCAAGATTTGGGGGATACGAAAACAAAGCTTCCGTCAATATATGTACTAGGTTGCATGAACTGCATTGATCATTCGATTTCTTCCCGCTGCGATCGTCATTGCAAGAAGTCTAGATAAAACTTCTTTCTCCATTTATATTTCAATACTATATTCAGATATGGTCTAGGCTCTTGGAGGAGAGCTTACCGTCGCACAAGAGGGAACATTGGGTTTTTTGTGACATATCCGCATTCTTCGGCACTCCACAGCTTGCTTTTGAATCAAAAAGTACCGAGACTCTAGATTCCAGCAGAAAGCTTATTTCACATGTCCAGGAATTCTGAACGTTGAAGGACGCCACGGCGAAGAGGCATCCAGGCGGCATCATGAGCGGCGCAATAGCAATGAATGTTACACACAATTTCGTGGGAGACTAAAAGCTCACTGATTCAACAGCTCATGTAATGTCTCTAAAATTAGTGATATTTCAGCCGCTGTAGTGCCTCGTATGCTTCGAATCACGCGAAACATCATACTTTCCCCCCTTCGCCTGTCGGCTAATTCATCATTCCAGGGATCTACTACAGGGTTTGTGAGTCTCATCACTACTTTTGAGAGCCTGGCACGAATGATATGATTCAGGTAGGTCAAATCGTTTGATGAGTACAAGACTGTGGCCCTAGCTTTGTCGACGAGGTTGAGGTTGCAATCGGGGATCGTATAAATATACTTGTCCTTGCTTCTCTAAGGCTTAGTTGGTACAAGTGCATACAAGCCTAAAACTATGCCTGGAGACAGACCTTGAAGCAGATGTTGTCGTCATTCCATTGCTGACCGTACTACGATGCGACGTAGGGTATCCTCATAGTAGCTGCTAGTTCTGGATTGGTGTTACTCTGTCAAAGAGACCTGATGAAGGAAGGATACCTGGTGCTTCCGAACATAATGGAACATCCTGCCTTAGTGGGACTTTATGAGTAGGTGGGCTGGAGAGGCGGTACAAGTCCCAACGGAGCACAACGTAAGGAGAAGACGGCACAAGGGCCGCGTTGGAGGAGATTGAGCGAGCTGTGGGCAGAGCGGGTGGTTCTGGGAGTTGAGTTTCAACTCAAAGGGTGGGCTTTCGACCGCGGAAGACTGGATCAAGAGGATTTGCGACGAAGGGACAGAGGCCTTCGTTGCGCACTTCATCCCAAATCTATGAATTATACGGAGGTTGATGATCGACATGCTTCAACGGGATGACGGGCTCGGCTCACGAGCGCCAAACTTCGATCCTATAGGAGAAGTGCTACGGATTGCTTGCACGCCATCTGAATATCCCTTGGGAGCCACGCAAAGGCTCTTTGGAGTTTGAAATAACGCCTTCAACCCACTGATGCCCTTTCAATTTTCCTGCATCGGACAGCGTTGAAGCAACTGGGAGCGCCTTGGCGGGCGATGACATGTGACTACAAGACACCTTTCCCTCGATTTTTTGGAAGCCTTGTACTTTGGCCAGAAATAGTCTACATTAACGCTTCCCGAGAGGAGGGAGGTGAGTCCGGTTTTGGATCCTTGTCATGTCCCAAACATCAACGCCATACTACATGACGAATGTGTGGATTGGTCTTTGGGAGCCATCTGTAGAGGATGAACGAGCAAAACAAAATGCTAGGAAAAGGTGCTAGCGGATATACGGAGCCTGTGTATTTGCCTTCGAGCTCTGATAGTAGGGGAGGAAATGATCCTATGATACAGTTGTCTCATCGAGAATCTGGTTCATAGTCATAATCATCACTGCTAGATCTGTGCATAAACTATCGAGGAAAGCCATAATTCTGCAACGCCATATAAATTGTCGGTATACACGTCAGCAGAGCAGCCTTTCGGCCGGTACGAGGCCAATAATCGTATATTGACTTCGTATGGGTGGTATGTAGGGATATGGAAGGAGGAAATTGGTGGGCAGAGCCCACGATTCCTCCGTGGGTGCAAGTAGGTGGGAGGGCTCGTTGGCACGGGCCCAGACCGCCTACCTACCTAATCCACCTTTTCTGCCTAGTATTCCAACATAAATAAACAGAAGAAGCCTCCAACTCTTCAATCCTTCTAGCAGGGTCTGAAAGAGTCCCGTAGGAGGGTAGAATTGCAAGCTACCGTGCGCAGCCTCACCTGGCCCGTTCATCGACTTGGTCGCAAGAAGAAGGTAAACATGGCCAAGAGAAAAATAGTTGGCATTCTCGAATAGAAAATGTCTACAATTAATGCGTTGACATGAGGGGTAATCTCGTCCAAGCCCTTCTTTTCAAAGACCCTGGCGAGTCGCCAGGTCCAGGTAGCGGTGGTCAGGAGCAAATTGCCCCACAACCATGATCCTCCCTAGGTGAAGAGAGGTCAGTCATTACTATTCAATTCTGTGATGAAGGAAAAAGAAAGTGTTCTCACCACTGATTGGAAAGGTAGACATAACAGAAGCCCTACGAAGAAGAGCAGGATCTTGATCATGCCATCCGTGGCAAGGTCTTGCGACACAAGACGTACGTCCTCCGCTCCTGGAAGCCCCAAGACATAGTATTGCTTCATAACCGAGATCGAAATTTGGATCCCGACGACGCCTAATGCCATAATCCAACCGAGGGCGTGAGAGGATTGATTTACTATGAACCAGAAGTTTCGTACTTGCTGCCTTTCTCCGGGCTGGCCCCAGAATAGAATGCCGAGTTCTCCAACGAGCAAGAGAACGCCTGCGTGTGCCAGTGAGAGGAAGAACCCATCAATAGACTCGAGGTATTCGTAGGCGTTATAGTATGTTTTCGGCACGTCACACTTCTGTCGAGCTATCCAAAGAATTGAACAAGCCTTGGAGATAGAAACCGCTAGGTCACTGAGAAATCCAGGCAGTGAGCTTGCGATCGATGAATTTGTACTTAGACCACCCCAACTTATGTTTGCTATGCCAATAAAATTACGGTTACTTACATGACTAAGAGACGTTCGAGCGCCCAGAGCATCCGTCTTGCTTGTCTGGTGACTTTCTCCTTCTTCCCTATATTCGTCCAGGATATGTTGAACAGCCTCAAGGCGGACACGGAGAGGAGAATAACGTTCATCGTGATTGTCAAAAGTGGAATCCTTTGATATTGATGCCATAGTTGGGATTTCTCAGCAGCCAACGAGGCGACTTTGCCAGCGGCGCATAGTAACGCTGCGTCGGCATTGGAACTAATAGGCGGATTTGACTTATTCATTCTTGTAGTCTCCCGGGTGTTCGTGTGTTTTTGCTCTTTTCGATTGCTAAAATGAGGGTTTCCGGTTCCGTTAGGTAGTTGTATGCTCTGGCCCCTACGGCCATTTTGCAAGGGTTTCGGCAGTTGACGTCACCTCGCAGTGCCAATGATGACTTGCATCCTGAATCTGCGGACAATATCGCTCTCGTAGAACCCAGGTTGGTCAAGCATGTAAGTTTTCAAGCGGCTTTTCATGCTTGTTGAACGTGGTCTTCATGTATTGGGCGCGGCGACTCGAGGACTGGATGACCTTGCTTCGCGTACAGGTAAGAAAAAGAACGTCGTCAACATACCGTTCTGGACGGAATTGACCAAGCCTTGTTCAAATTGAACTTGAGTCCGACGTGCAAATTCGCCAATGTATACATGCTTAAATGGCTCATTACCTCATCCTATGGCGGACGCCGAGGAAGGCTCACGGTCATGTTCCGACTCGGGAACAAATTTGGGATCATAATCGGAACCGATGTCGATGATAGTTGTAGTTTATAGCTCTGGGTTTGACTCGGGACTCTACATCATTAGCGAATCTACAGAATACTGCTCATAGGATGCTAAAATAGGTGTAAGGCACTCAAGCCCTACGACCTCATCATACGATGGGCTAGGCAAGTCGCGTTTCTCAACACCGCTCCTCACTCTACAGGTTGGATGACCCGGCCGAAGAGACTGAGGACATGGCTTGCCCGTTGGAAGCCTTGCGCACGGAGGCGTAGAGGGCACCGCGTAAGACGGTACTGAAAGCTGTTTCCTGATCCGAATCGGCGTCGTCGTCGGCTAGGGTGGTGTAGACGCGCAGCTTCTCCAAGGCGGCGGCCCGTTGCGGTTCACCGTTATCGGCGGCGTAAGCCGTACTCACTACCACGAAGCCCCGTTCGTGAGTAAGGTCTTGCAACGTGCTGCGAAACTCTGTTAACATCTTTACGAGATGTTTTACTTGTGGTTGCTCCACCATTCCGAGTTTGAGCGGTCACCAGACTTATCTGGGAGAGTAGACTTTTGATCGGCCAGGCAGCGCTTTCAATATTACTTTCGCAAACGAGGTATCAAGTTCATCACTGGGCGCTGGATAGCTGAGGTCGATGCGATGCGAGGGCCGTGGATACAGGCAGTTCGAGATGGACATTGCAATGGATGAGAGCTCGCTGACTGTCTGTCTTATTCATCCACGAGTCCGTACAATCGGCGCGAAACGTGACTCTCGGCGGCGTCAGATGCTACATCCACCGTGGATGAACTTCGACTGCCCGAACCTCCAGATCGCGATGTCCGTCTTGGGAAGCGCAGTCTCGCATTGCAGCGCCGTCATCAACACTGCGGCCCCACCGCGGCGCCGGGTTCGGGCGAGGGGTACGCCGCCGCCTCCGTGGCAATGGGGGCCCCACCCAAGTGATCCCAGCTGTGCATTATGCGTAGATATATTCGTAGGAACTGTGTCTCGTCTTTAATCGCTTTCGAGAGAAACCATGCCTTTGTATCTCATCCAACATAGGGCGGAAAACAAGGACATATTTAGTCCTGAGTTAATCTGTTGAACAAGGAGCGGACTGGCGACATTCTCTAGCCGGTGGCAGAGAAGACCCAACGTTCGATCAAATTGAGTAAGAAGCATAAACTTCGTGCACTTCCTCGGCCTGCATAGTTAAGCTCAAAGTCCTGTTCAGCTTCAAGCGTAAGTGGGAGGCCTGACCCGTTCCCGGGTCATATCCATCTTCATTTACATAAACTTTACTAGGGCTGACAGACGATTTGCTCATCTCATCAGCCATCCTGAGTTTGACTTCACCCTGAATTGTTACTCATCGCTTGGCACAAATTTCGGATGAATAGTAGTTGATGAGAGTATAATTCCAGGAACTGCCTTGTGACGCTTGTCACAACGCAAGAAATCAAACTCCAAAATATGTTCACAAGATTCCACGGGCGGTCCCCAACTGGATTCATTGAGAAGCCCGCCACCCCCGGCTATATTACATCATGAGCGACATTCGAGCTTACTCATTGTATCCCGTACCGCAGCCAGTCTGGTGGAAACGCGGACGGGAGGCACAGCCCGGCGATCAACCTCGAACAATTGACCGAATCGAGCGCTACGAGAAGAGAGAGGGTCCAGAACTCCAGACCCATCTCGCCTTTCGCCATCTTCCAGACTCTCCCCCCTCCGCCAAAACCCCTGCGATGGAACGCTGACCTGCAACTTACAGGGGACGTTTCCCGCCCAAAAGTTCAAGCTCGTTCGCCAAGCCAACCGCATCGCACTCTCGCCCGTATAACTAGCACAGTCGAGACGTCCAATTGGCTGGTTCGCTTCCATGAAGAAATCCCCTTGGATAATGCATACTTGAGAGGGTTGGTAGGCACGTAGGATCGTCTTTTTCTCTTGCTATACCATTTTATTCGTTTTTTCTGTGACATGATTTGGCCCAGCCTTTTCTCTTCAAAACCACTTTGCCTGCAATGCAACAGTTCTCCACCGTTGAGACGACGTTACGATGCCCATTGGCCTCCCAATCTGGCCGCAAATGAGATGCGGAGCGCTGGAGGATCGAAACGTCCAAAGACGAGGGATTCGGGGACGACTTTCATGCCTTCGTTCTCTGCTTCATCTTATCCTGAAAGATAAGGGGATCTCATCGAAAGGAAGGGCGTCTCTTCTCGAACCTCCAAACGCCTGCCAAGCTTCCTTCTCCCCGCGCGCTGGTAGCCCTGTGTGCCCTGTGTGCCCTGTTCTTGACTCTGTCTCTCCACGCTCAGCGCGCGCTTTCCCGGGAGTCGTTAGACCCGTTGTTGGTGGCTGACGAACCGGGCTTAGAAAGGGGAGGCCCGTGGGCGAGTAAACGCCTTGTGAGGTAAAAGGTAAAAAGCATTACCTAGACCGTGGCGGCAGGCAATACTAAATGAGCACCAAAAAAAAAAAAAATAAGTACTCCGTAGTGAGACGGTGAGAAACTAAGTAGGTGAACTAGCAAGCGCGAAACTCCTTCCCACGCGCGCTGACATGATCCGGTCGACTCGGTCGTATCAGTTACCCGTCCCACCAGCTCGGCAATAGGCTATACACGCGAGAACTGAGCACCGAGGAGGAGGAAGAGGAGGGAAAGTGACAAGCTTTCAGCTTCACTGCACGTTGGAGGGCCAGAAATCAGGGTCAGCCTTGATTTTCCCTCTCTCGTCAAAGATACCCGTACAGCGCGTATCGACCGTAGATCATACCCCGTTCTTCATCGATCACACATCCCACCGCCTGCATAAGAAATCCCACCCCTCCTCAGCCCGTACGGATACATACAAGGAGGACCAGCAAGCAGGCCAGCCGATTTGCCAAGCTATCCCGAATGAAGCACAAACCACCGGGGCTGAGAGGAGAGAGAAACCGCGCCAAACTCGTCGTATTAAACTATAAGCTTGCCCCCCGGGCAGGGGGGTTCAGTCCATCAGCGGGACTGTGGACCATAGGCCTGTAAGGTAGTTACTCGCCAGCCCGTTTTTTGCTTTTTCTGGTCTTGCTTACAGTGCTTACCTCCATTGTTCTGGCCTTCCTCCTGGGGTTTAATTTGTATGCCGGCAGCCCTCGCCCGTTCTCGCCTTCACGCTTCTCCCCTTTCGCTCTTCCTGCTTATTTTCCCATCTCCATTCTTCCCTCTCTTCCACACTTCCGTCCTACAATAACATACCCTGGCTCACGCACTTGGCTGGACTCGGTTGTCTTCTCCGCAAACCAAAGGGGGATTCTAACCTATTCGCATTGTACGGGAATATCTCTTGGCGAACACACATCAACAAGCTGTGGGGTTTGTTTCACCAAAGTTCCTTCACTTTGACCTCCAAGAGGGCCACCTACCTCTCGAACTGAGGGATTCAGGCAGACATATTGCAGAAAAGAGCGAGGGAATCTCACACGCAGAAGGAGGCGCAGTAAGCTGGAGCCTGGACGGAGCTAAGAGGGAGACAGAGAGTCTCGGAGGGACACAGAACAACAATAACCCACCATAATAAGTCTCCTCTCTCGAGGACAAGGGGAAATCGGCCATGGAGGGCCCAAGGCCAAGGGCATCCGAGAAGTTTCTCAAAATGACGGCCCCAACAAACACCACAAACACAACCGCAACCTCATCACCCGCCGCAACATCAAACCCACAATACCAGAACCAGCAGGTCTACGAATCCGGCCTCGAAGTAGCCGAGCCAAACGCCTGGAACCGCACAAACCACGACATCCACCTGCCCGAGGTATCTCCCTACAACCACTCGGAAGCCAAGACCACAACCTTCCCCGAGGTCGCGGACGACCCGTTATCGTGGCATCACTACCACAAGCAGAACCCCAACCTCGAGGTCTCGTCGTCGCCGTCCGTCGCTTCTGCGGCGCCGTATTACTATGCCGCCACGGGCCAGCAGCATCCGCCTGGGTATCACAAGCCGCCGCCCGGGTCGCCGGGGTACGGGTCCGGATCTCTCGACGGAGATGGGTCCGGGAAGGGCAAGAAGGCCACAGTATGTGGGATGCGTAGGAAGGTGTGCTATGTAGTCATGGGCGTCGCTATCGTCCTCGTTGTGGCTGCCATCGCCGTCGGTCTTGGGGTAGGGTTGGCGATGAAGAAGAGCGACAACAAGTCTTCGTCAGGGTACGTTTACACTTTTGTCTCTTTACAAATCATCATCCCCTTTCCATCACATTTCCCCCCCTCTGCCGTTTCATTCCATAGTATTCAAATAAGAAACAACGTACCCAAACTAACACCCCAAACCAGCAACTCAACGACAACACCAGCAACATCAACCGCAAACGCAACAATCACCTGCCCCGCCGCAGACAACGTAACCTACAGCTCCCCCGACGCCCCCAAACGCACCTTCCGCATGATCTGCGGCCACGACTTCAACTCGGCCGACGGCGCCACCGACCTCACCTCGGAAAACGCAACCACCATGGCCGCCTGCATCGACCTCTGCGCGTCAAAGGGCGACGACTGCGTCGGGGCCGGGTGGGGCGATTACTACGGCAACCACGTCTGCTGGATGAAGAGTAAGCTGGGGACGATGAACGTTTCGGGAAATTGGTATTTCGCTGTGGATGTGAATAAGACGAGCGTGGCGGCGTGATGAGGCTGCTCCGTAAGGAGGGGGGGCGGGCAGGGGGGAGGAAGTGATCAATTGTCCTCGTCCCGTGTTCGTCCGCCGTCCAGCTCTGCGTCTTGAGGATATTCAGGGGCTTATGGTACATTACCATCGTACTTGAGCCCTTTCTCAACAGACGACACAAACGGACCCAGCGTGGATGAGGTGGTCGTCGGCATATTCCTGGATGAATGCCGGCGAACTCGATGAGGTCTAGCGTCTAACGAAGCGCTTGGTATGCGCTATAGGTTCTGTTTGCAGACAGATGATGTGATGGAATCGGAACCGAGGGAGCTCCCTAACGAACGTAAAGGATCTCACAAAAAAAAAAAAAAAGAGGCCTTGTATAATGAAATGGAAAATTGGCGCCATCGGTACGGCGCTCGAGAAATTTATGGGGTGTTAGTCACAAACAGGGACAAAGGAAGGACCACCACATCACATAGTCACGATACCATTTGCTTTCGAAGGATCGAATACTTTTTCAATCATCAAAACGTTCAAATCTTTTCATTCATTGCTTTTGAGTCTCCTCCACGGCCAACACTCACTTGCAACTCTTCGTCACACGCCAGGCGACGAGACCACGCCTGCCAATCACCCTCGTTAGGGTGTTCCAGATGCCGTCGTCACCAAAGTCAAGATCGTCTAGGTTCAAGTGTTGCCTGTAACGCCATACCTCGCGGAACCGTAGGCCTTTCAGTCCCTTGTTGGGAAGGTAGGGGTCTATCCACGTCGCTGATGCTGGTGCGATCAGATATGTCCCGTTCTTCTCCTTCAAATACTCCGAGTTGCGTCGATCCGCCGGCGTGTCGCAGGTAGCCAACTTGGTCAGCTCCTCAAGGAGTATGTCGCCCTTCATACCCATCACGTCGCGCGTCGTGAGGACCTCATTCTTGCCGTTAAGAAGCCAGATGGGTGGCGTATAGGTCTTCCACCAGACGGCCTGCGTCGCGTCTGGCTGCTTGCTCAGGAATACCTGGCCCGGCACGATACCGCCTTGATGGTAGACACCCATGAGGATACCAAAGATCAAGTTGAAAGCAAGCCACACCCCGATCCACACGCGAACGACAGTCCGATTCTTCGGAAGGTGCACTGATGAGAGGATGAGCGGGACGGTGGGCAGCAGGAATCGTGCTTCCTGGTGCTGGAAGATAGACAGCACGAAGACACCAGAGATGGCCGAGTAGAGTCGTAATGAGAGGTATGGCTGAGTGAAGAGCAACATCGCAGCGGGGCCGATGAGCATGGGAATGTTGACCAGTAGGTGCTGGTACCAGGGGTGCAACCCATGCTGCGCAAGGTTGTCTGTGTCGATGTTGTACATGAGGTTGTTAAGTGGCGTGATGACTGGCCGTGAGATGAGGTCTGCCCATTTGATGGGTTCAGGGAGGTAGAATGCCGTATCCAGGGTGATGGCGACCAAGGTAGTTGTGAGAGCTGCCAACACCATCACGGTGAAGGACATGGGTCTGGTGGGTTGTTAGTGGGCGGTCCCCTGATGTCATGGTGCCTAGGCGGACCTACCTATTGAGAAAATGGGGTATCAAGCGAAGTCCCGGAATCAACAAGAACGCCGGGAAAGTAATTCTATTAAACAATCCAAAGACGGCCACTATGCCGAGAATCGTAGAAGCAAGAAGCGATGATTGTTGCTGTCACAAGCGTTAGTTGGCATTCACATGTTGGTGTCCACAAAATCGTGCCAAGGGGGTCCTTACCGGGCTCTCGACAATGCGCTGAATCAAGACCAAGCACCAAGCAACAACGAGACACTCCACCGAGTTGGAGAACGTGTGCGTCTGGTACGTCCATGTGACATAGGACGAGGCGACCAGGAGCACAGCAACGCGACGGTGTCGTGGAGAGCTGATGAGCTCATGGATGGCCCAATCCTCCAGCACGAAGCTGGTGACGAACATGAGGACGCGAAGGATCCAAAAGACTGCGATTGGGGGGATCTCGCCATCCTTGCCGTTACCGATCCACAGCCATCTCAGCAACATCATGGGCAGGCCGTAGACGGGCCATAAGGGGAAGACGCTTCGTATCGGGTGCTCATTTGTAAATTCCCATGTGTGCCGTACCGGGTAACTAAAGATTTGGCCTGCGCCACGCCGTTAGTCTAGGTCCTGTTGAACGAGAACGAGCGCCTAAACTCAATCCGAGCTATGAGGGAGGAAGCTCCATGGCGCCAAACCGAGAGCTGCGCACGCTCTTACCCAGGCAACGGGATGCAGCAGCTGCAAAACAAGCCAAACGTACCTGCGATGACCTCTGGGCCCTGGAAATTCTCGTCGGGGTGCAGGTAGCTGGGTGACAGGGCGAACCACAGTCTAACCAGCACCAGAAATAGGTACGCTCTCCGCCACATGACTCCAGGTGCTCTCGATTATGATCTGGTGGTAGCTGCTGCGCGTAGCTCGGGCATCGGTTCGTGATCGAAGGCTGGAAGTAGCCAGGTGTCGAGTATTAGGCGGAGCCAGGCTGGCGGGAGGTTCGTTGCGAAAAGGAGGGTATGTCGCAACGTCGCATCATCAGGAGGAGAGGCGCATGTACAGGAGCCAGGTATGCGATGGTTTGCCAGGCGCAGCGGAGGTCAAGGACGGAGAGGTGGGGGTTAAAGTAAGGTAAAGGCAAGAAGAAGGATGGTCACAAAGAAGGGAAAATATTATTATTTGCAAGGTGAGGCCCGGTGAGGGTGGTGGGAGAGAAGCAAAGGGAAAAGAAAAGAGGTGCGCAGGTCGAGGTGCGACTAAAGCAAGGCAAGGCCAGGTAAATAAGTCCAAGGTCAGGTAAGGTCAGGTAGATAGGGTGATGGTCAGGATATTTTTTGCGCGGACTCGGGTCGAGAGAAAGTGACTGAGTGTCGCTCCCACGCTCTGTCAGCCCGCAAGCGCACCCGCACCCGCACCCGCACCGCAGCTCTTTTGGACCTTGGAGGGGACTTTGCAGGGTTATGGAGAAGGGAGAAGAGATAACCTTGCTCTCACAACCTGGTCGGTACGTGTATTTTGTAAGCAGTGTACTCCGTAGGGGCCAGCCAGTTCCCGAGCAATAGGCCCAGAACTATCCATATGAGGGTGTATCCGCAATCTCTGAGACTACTTTAGCGGGCACATGGCCCCTGCTGAGGCTGCTCTTGCTTCTGTTTGGTGCTTAGGGCACTTGTTGTTTGATTTCTTGCCTTTGCAGGTTCCCACCAGAGGAGCCAGGTGAGATGAGATGAGCTCAGGGTGTGACTACCTCACGGAGTGAGGTCTGCTGAGTGCTACGTACCTACCTAACGTTAGGTACCCAGGCAAGGTAAGGTAAAGGTAGTTGGTAAGTGACGGGAGGATGGATGGAAGGACTGAAGGAGGGAGGTGTCAAGGTTGGGAGCTCCAATGACGGGAGAGTCTAAGGACCAGGGAGGTAAGGCGGGTGGCCGATTGTCATTTCCTCCCAGGTTGTTGGCAGTTGCAACTGGCAGCTCCCGCCGTGTGTTTGCTCCTTCCCTTTTCCCAACTGTCTACTAATACTCTATGCGTACCTTCTTACCCGGTATAAGGCAGGTACCGGTATCCGTACGAATAAGGAGGAACCTTCCTGCCATGCCTTGGATAATGGACTGCTTATTCCCCGGCACACCTCAGATACAGGGATCGTCAACCCAACTCCCAACACACAAGCGAAGCGTCACGCACGAGTCCGCGATGTGGTTGCTGGCTGGCAGAAATCAAAAGAAAAGAAAACCGAGCCCGACTTTTGGAGAGTGTGCCCTCCCAAGTCCGCTGCAACGGCCCCCTGTTCCCTGCCAAGCTCTTCTCGCTAGGGCCTTCAGTTGGGAGCGCTAACTCCCAAAACGGGCAAGGCAGACTGCCACCGGCCAGCACCTGGAACTGGGAGGGTGCATGCCACTGCCATCGTGGCTCATAGGGCCATCGCTACACACCCACGACACCTCAACACAGAGGGAAGTGTCTATCCAGTACGTGTATTGTGAGCGAGGTGGCCCCATCCAAAGCTTCTAATTCTGCCGTCCTCTTCATCCACCACTCCAAACCCTCGCCAGGGGACACCACCCCCTTTCCCCGGACAGCCAACCAAATAACACCAACCCAGTCAGCAGGTTTCTCGAACCACGTCTTTCCATCATGTCTTGCTGTCATTATGCATCATTTCCCATCCGTCCAGCATGGGGGGGCTGCCTGTCAACAACATGCCAACTTTTGACTTTTTGCCAGTTGGTGAACGGATACTTGTCTCCAACATATCTCTGGGAGTCGCATCAAACAAAGCCATGCCACCCGTCCCCAACGCTCTGTCCGTTCGTCTGGTGAAAAAGGCCGATATTGATATCAGACGAACGTAATAATGCCAATCCCGGAACGCCATCTGCGCATCCGCGGTCGTAGTCGCGTTCGCCCCTTTGGTCCGTCGACGGAAGCTTCGGGATCGCGGGCCCCATCAACATCCGGCGCTATGAATTGCGAATCATTAAATTTCACGGACGCAGGCGCGCCGCCCACTCCCACTGGCGCGTCCCCATGAAACCGGCCCAGTCATCATTAATACATTCCACGCTTTGCCCTATTCCGAGAGATTGGGTCCTCACGTACGTTAGCAAGCAAAATAACTTACAGAGTGCCATTTGTATCCCGAAGCAGCACACTTCCTCTACACAATCAGAGGACCAGGGATGTTAAACCAAATGCCGCCATCTTCAGTGTCTCGCACCATCAGATTGGCGTTGCCCTGCTCGCGCGTCGCGGGGGTTCAGATCCGTGGAGAAGACAGGCTCCCTAAAGTGCTTGCAGTTCGCTTTCGCCATCGGCCCTGTCTTTCCATGTCCACACCCTGGCCAGCTCCAGATTCTTGTCGGACATTTCCTTCGCTACGAGAGCTTGGTACGAGAGCTTATCCACGACATTTTTCGTATACTTTCAGTTGATGCCATTCTGGTCACCCAGCAGTGAAGGCAAACCTAGTCGCTCACTCCACGAACCGAGACAGAGAAACAAGGAACATCACAAGCAAGGTAGGCACCAGACGCCATTAGCAAGCATCGACCTGGGAGCGTTTTGGACTCAAGGCCATCCGCTGAGAAGCATTTTTTCACGATGCAACCATTGGCAACAGGAGGCAGTGCTCGGTCTCCGCAGATACGGCACTCACAGGAATAGATCCTGACGTTGCCTTACCGGCCGTCTCCGCCGCCCTCGGCTCTGCCTTGCCGGTCTCCTCGGCCGGGCTTTAGCTTAGCGGCGACGAGGTTCTTGTCCGAGTAAGGTATGCCAGCATTAATCGTCTGTCCGGCTCCGAAAACTGGTTTGCCGCTTGCGGAGAGATGCCAAGCAACTGCAGTCTGTTACAAGAAGTCTGTGCCAGGCCGCATTGCATCAAAGTCGGAATCCTGTGACGTTTGGACTTATCACTCGGTGATTTGTGAGCCAGAGATTTGGACTATACTGGTTTCCCTCTCTCTCTGAGTGTAGCAGAGTGGGAGAGCAGAACGATGTTTGGCCGAATCTAGCTTCCTTAATCACGAGACCCTCTCAGCAGGTATCGCCTCAGAGGTCATGGGATGGTATGTAGATCTAGCAGGCCCGCCCTCACCCCGAATACTTCCCAACATTTTCTCCTATTTGAGTTATCTCTAAGATGAACACAATTTATCCTTCAAGTTTGTCTCATTTGACCAGCGTTAAAGTACGGCATCCAGGCTGGCTCCAAATCTCATGTTGAGCTTCGTCTACACAAGGTACCTTGACCGCACAGGCAAAGTTACTGGCTTAGGGTAAAAGCCAGAGGGAACACGGAAAATTGCTACCTTAAGTCCAGCAATATCGAGCTCCCTTTTTCCTTTCTCTAGAGGGAATCTGGCTGCTCATCTGAAGCAATGCCTTTGTAAGAACTCTTTCAATGGGCATCACCTCCGCGGGTGCCTGGGGCCCCCGGAAAATAAGGCATAGGCTGAAGCTTACCTAGGGTAAGGTCTCTGGGTTGTGGTGAATCAGCTCGATGGGAGGGAAGTCCTTCAGGCTGCCTCGGAATTTGCCTGGAGCCAACGAGGAGGATAGGTAAATAGGTAGCAGCACAATCTGCAACACAAAACAATCTGGTATAACTTCTTGATTCATGCTGCTGGTGCCACTTCTGAGTCTTTGCAAGCAGAAATGAGAATCCCTCGTACATCATGCCGAAGGGAAAGAGTGAAGGGGACAACATCTGTACAAGCTTACAACTTCTCTTTGTCTAGGATTACATAAGGGAGCCGGCTGTGCCTCCATCCTCGCTCTGCCGCACAAAGGTGAGTTGCATTCGGCGAAGAGTCACTGAGACTGTGTTCTGCAAGGTAATGGAGTTCATGGAACACCGCCAGGACGCTTCTGCCTCAGGCTCTTCTTGCGTGACACTTTCTTTTCTCTTGCTGTCTTCCAGGTCGGACGAGAGGGAATTGTTCTTTTCCAGGGCATGTCCATTGATGTGCTGTGCCTTTGCGGGTCCATCGACTCCATTGAGGCCTTCTGAAAGGCACCAAAGGGTAGGTACCTCGAGCCATATAAAGTTCTCCAGGCAACAGATGTAGAGTCCCATGAGCACAAACAGGTCCCCGCCACCTTGAACCAATCAAAGCACCTGCCGCCCTTACCTCTGCCTGGTGCTCCCTCAACTTCTACGGGTAAGGTAGCGACGCTCTCTGCCTTCCCACTTCTCCACAACCAACAACCTGGCCGCCCCGACCCTCAAAACCGTCCAACCTAACGTCTGACGCAACAAAAGCCATCTCCGATCACTTATTCACTGCTTCGTTTGTCCGCCTTTCTCCAATCAAACAACTGTCGCCGGTCGCATACAAAATCTTCACCTTCTCATTCTATCTCCGAATCATAAACGTAAGGCCTATATAGTCCCGACTCCCGCTGCTTCCTTCCCCGCCGGCCGACTTCTACTTTCCCCCACCATCCTCCAGAAGCAACTTCAATCCTTCGATCAATCATCACCAGTCAACCATCGCCATCTGCCAACTCCAAGCTGACCGCTCCAAGATATTCTGCATCGCAGTTACCCAAATTACTAGACAAAATGGCCGCCGAGAAGAAGGACGCCAAGATCTGGGTTCAGTCCAACGATAACATCACGATCCCCGTTGGTACGTCAGACCCCTCCTTCCGCCCGCGAGCCCGGTCTTGACCAGACCCTTGCTAACGCAACTCCTCTAGATCGCGTTGTCGCTGAGCGCTCCATGCTCATCAAGAACATGCTCGAGGATGTTGGTGATGATGCCATCAGCCAGGAGAACCCCATCCCCATTCCCAACGTATGTGTCGCCGCCTCTCGCCTCTCGGCCGAATGATCGACAAGCGCTGACATTTTGTCCCAGGTCAACGAGGCGGTCCTCCGCAAGGTCATCGAGTGGTGCGACCACCACCGCGCCGATCCCGTCCAGACCGCCGATGACGAGAACGATGCTCGCAAGAAGACCACCGAGATCGAGGAGTGGGACCAGAAGTTCATGCAGGTCGACCAGGAGATGCTCTTCGAGATCATCCTCGTATGTTACCCGTTACTGTCACATGTCCTTGAAGTAAGCTAATATTTTGACAGGCTTCCAACTACCTGGACATCAAGCCTCTCCTCGACGTCGGCTGCAAGACCGTTGCCAACATGATCAAGGGCAAGTCACCCGAGGAGATCCGCAAGACCTTCAACATCACCAACGACTTCACCCCCGAAGAGGAGGAGCAGATTCGCCGCGAGAACGAGTGGGCCGAGGACCGTTAAATATCACGACAAATGGATTGGTGGAAAAGAACCGGAGTCTGGGTTAACCTACTCTTCGGACATTTCTCTGCGCACCTAATGTGTGATGCATCGTACTCCGGCGTTTTGACGATCGCTCATTGATTCGTTTTTCGGTTACCCTGGAAAGTTTGCGGGTTGCTCCACAGGTCAGGAATTCACGTCCCGTATGGAACGGGACACTTGGTAGATGAGAGGCGCTTGACACAAGGTCATCCATCCCATGCGCAGCAGTTATGCGTGCGTCCCATTTGGTTTTGCTACAAATTCATAGCAAGGCAAAGGAGTTTGATTTCGCGTCTAACGTACTAGACCTGTTCCTTGATGACATTTTTGCGTTTGTGAGCTGGAGGTTGTAACAAAATCAGGTATTGGGATCGACCACATCGCTGGATATACAGCTAATGCCATGCGTCCGGGTGGAGATGGCTTCCATGACAGACATTATGCGACAAGGCTGACAACGAAACCTCACTAAGCACGCTGTACTACAAGGGCCCGTATTTCGTCAACAGTGAGTCATTGGAGACTGGTAAGTCAGATGGCTGTGAACACTCGGCGACCAATTTCACTATGGTATGCTAGAGTAAACCTATTTGAGCCTGCTGCTAGTAGCTGTTGAACCCCAGGGGCGCTACCTTGGTTGATATTGGCGACAATCAAGCCAAGGAAACAGGCGATGGGGGATCTACAAGCCCCAGTTCCCCCTCCATTCGACCCATTGCTATCATGAATACCGCTGACAAGCTAACAGCGACAATTGTCATGGCATAACGCAAAGACTTCTCAGCCGCAAGCACAGGCCTGGGCCGCGGTATCGCAGCGTGGAGGTTCGGATTAGCACCTGTGGGCGAGGTCAAGAAGGGAGTCCTCGATGGCGAGGTGGAATGAATCGCGGTCCTTCAATTATCCCATCACGTACGTACTGAGCGACGGAGAATGATAATCGTGGGGGCCTCATCTCTTCAGAGGCAAATTTTGCATTTCCTTTCCCTATGACCGTAACATGCAATACGTAGAGTCTAGCCGAACCGGGCATCCATTTTGTTTCCCCTCCATTCCTGTTTGTCAAAAAAGACTTCCCCCACGAATTCAGGACTCGAGCCAGTGGGTATTTGAGTCCATTAGGATGAACCCCTCCCGTTTGATGCGAAAGTTTTCCCCCAAGTCGAGCGCGGCGTCGTCGTTCGGTCGGCGGTATCCATGGTTTTGATATGGAAGTCCCGCAGGATAGGGTAAGGGATTTTCTTGAAGAGAGAAGGAGGCGAGGCGTTTAGATGCCGAGACGGGTCTTGCGCCAGTGACGACGCTTCGCGTTGTAGCTGTGATGGAGATGTTAGTATTGTGATGTTTGGTGGGGGGGTGTGTTCCATGTGAAAGACTCTCTTCGCCTTTTGACCCGTTTCCAGATCGAGACTAAAAGAGGAGAGAGGCTTCCGGAGAGGAACAGAGGGAGGGTGTATCGTACCGAATAGTGTTACCGGTGCGAAGGCGAATCCATTGGGGAATGGGGCGGTTCTGCTTCTGCGCCTTGGCGAGCTTCTGCTTCGTGCGGAAAGACTTGTGGCTCTGTATCGCGAGAGATCTTGTCAGCATTCTGCTTTTTTTGTATTGGATTTCCTCGTATGCTTCTCGATCGCCCTCCTCGATGTCGTTGATGATGTTTGCCCCTCACTCCTCCATCGTGAACCCCGTCCACAGGTGACGCATTTTGTCGAATCGCGCGGATGCAATATGTCGGTAGATTCGGTCGAGGGACAACATCATCATCGCGTCGAAGAGGGTCGTTTGAACGAGAGGGCGAAGACGAAGGGGCGTAATATATCAACGTACCGGCATTTTGACGGCTTGTTGGCTGATCAAACTGGTGCGAGTCCTTTGGGGTGGCAGTTGTTCTCCAGATGGGATGGGTTGAATCAATCTCACCACTAGAAATGAGAAATTCTTGTGCACAAGGCGCACTAGGTTAGCGAGCCCGCAGTCGCCTTGATTGGTGGACAGGGCACAAGGTGGAGTCGGTCACGCTTTCGGAGCCTGGTGGGGGAGAGGGGAGGCACGAGAAGGTTACTCGCCTCTTGAGGCTCAGCCGTGTGGCTCGCTCCTGCTTGTTTTTTTTTTTTCTTTTGCTCAGGTGCTGATTAGATAAGACACAGGATCCTGCTGCCTCAGGCATGCGTATCCAGAGTCTGCTTATGTGATAATCCCTGACATGCCGATAGGCTCGAGCGGCCGACGATCCCAGAATTGGCAGCCCGCGGACCCGTTTGGACGCCCAGGTTTCCCATCCATGCATGTCTTAAAAACTGTCAATTAGGGGGGACCCGTTCCGCTACCTTACCTTTACTGTTACGCCTTAGGGGGAAGTCAAGCCATCCGAGATTCTTTTGCAACGGTCCTTTGTCTGCTACTCGTAAAGACAAGAAAGACAGCTCGACGAAACGAAGCCCACGACGAATTAAGCCAAAATCTTGAAAACAGTGAAAAAGGAGAGAAACTAGATACTCCTTCTTAATTTTTATTGCCCCTGAACGCCACGGAACATTTGTCGCCCTTTTCTCTCACACCCCTTTCGTGCTCTCCTATTCTTCACCAACGGTTAAAGGGCCTCCGTTTGTACATAATTCCAGCAAAGCGGGCGGAGCCTTTTCTTTGGTCAGCTTTCGTCATTCTACTCTTGCTGCTGCTGCTGCTCGCCCCTTGGGAAACAAGCCACCTTTTGCTACCACCACCAACCTTACCTTACCTACCTTAAACCTCCGCGACCTTCCTGTCCCGAGGCCAACCGCGTACATTGTGACAGAACACAAGTCGCAGCGCAACCCCCGAACCCGCACACGGCCTTTTGCATCCCTACGAAAGCTCCGAGTTTACACCACGACCACACCTCTTCCCACACCGAGTTCCTGTCGAGAATCGACAAACCATCTTTCAAAATGGGCGCAAGCATGTCATGGCTGTCGGGCCTCGTGTGGTCGAAGAAGGAGATTCGCATCCTGATCTTGGGACTGGTATGCGAACCCTCCCGCTCAGCGTTTCCCTCGTGATGCGTCCGAAACGTGGAGACGCAAGGCTGACAAACCACCGTGTTCTACAGGATAACGCTGGCAAGACGACACTTTTGTACAGACTGAAGGTGAGTTCTGCGGCAGACTTCCCTCTCCGCCGTCGCTCAAGGCGTGCATCTCGTGAAGTGCCTTGGACTAACCTTTTTCTGAACCTTCCAGATCGGTGAGGTTGTCACCACGATCCCCACGATAGGATTCAACGTCGAGTCCGTCACATACAAAAACCTCAATTTCAACGTTTGGGTATGCCACCATTCTCCGATGCACCCCTTCTCTGCAACACCACACGCAAGCGAGAGAGAGAGAAAAAGAGACTGACAGCAGCCATGCGCGCCCGCGACTATAGGATCTAGGTGGTCAAACCAGCATTCGCCCCTACTGGCGGTGTTACTACGCCAACACGGCGGCCGTCATCTTCGTCGTCGACTCGACCGATATCGAGCGTCTGCAGACCGCGGCCGAGGAGCTGGGCGCCATGCTCAACGAGGAGGAGCTCAAGGACGCTTCGCTCCTCGTCTTTGCCAACAAGCAGGACCAGCCCGGCGCCAAGGGCGCGGGCGAGATCTCGGAGGCGCTGCGCCTCGGCGAGCTGCGCGATCGGAACTGGAGCATCATGGCCTGCTCCGCGGTCGACGGCAGCGGTGTCACGGAGGGCATGGACTGGCTTGTCGTACGTGCATACCCTACCGGATCTACTCCTCGAGATCCATTTGAGGAGAAACTTTGAGTTGGGACACGAATGCTGACCTCTTCCACTAGCAAACCGTCAACCAGGAGTCATAAAAACGGAGTCTATGACTTTGCTGACCCTTACACGACCAACCTCTCAAAAACAACCACTTATATATAACGCCCCTCACGATTTATAATACGGCCCATCAATTGGGTAGAGCTGCGCATCGATGTGTGTTTGTCGACGTCTTTTTTTGTTTTGGAGAGAGAGAGGGCATTCGCAAGATCCCCCGTCAACCCTCGGCGTACTGCGAGACCGGCGTTTCAGCATTGGGTAGTGCCGGACTGTAGACCGAATACTGGAAACAGTTAGTCTGCGGTTTTTACTGCCGTGCGCATTTACGAATATCTGGACAACGGGGTCGTTTCGAAATGCGGATGAGTGAACGCGCGTGTTGCGCATACAACGTTTTATGAGGCGACCAGAGGGCCCGAATGGGAGGGGCGGGGGGAGAGAGAGACACACACACAGAAGACAGAGGAAGAGATGAAAGAGAAAGGAAACTCGAGTTGATTCGTCCATTTTATCAGTTTACACGCTTCTAATGCCAGCACGGGGACGTCGTACCGCGTCCCTGGTTTCTGTTCTGACACCTCCTTTGGTCGCCCGTGTGATGGCTAACCCCCTTTCTCAGAGTTCTCGTATGAGGTAGGCGGCGAGATTTGGATAGAAACGGGCTCATGTGTGAGCTTTTAATCATTCTTACACAGTCTTGGAACTTTTCCGAGACGATGGGGAGTCACAGCTCTCACAAAGCACGAAAAGTATACAACGGCCAGTTTGATTGTAAGCTAACTTGCATCGAGAAACTTCACCCATTCAGGCCATCATCATCACAAAACCGACCGCAACGCCGATCGACATGACAACCGCCCACGGCTGACCCATCGCCGCCGGTCCGGATCCCCTAGCGGCACCCGGGACGGAAGTGGCCGAGGTCAGCTCGGTGGGACACGCCGACACTGTCGTTGTTACCTTTTCCCGTTGCCGTCTCTGCACGATGGGCGGGATCTGGAAGACGCACGTCGGACGCTGGGTGCCGGTCGTCGTCGTCGTTGTCGCGGCCGTCAGACTCGGCCTCGTTACGCTTTCTGTGGCCGTAGCGAGGGAGTCGTCGCTTGTTGTAGGGGCAGAGGAGGAGGAAGAGGAAGAGAAAGAGGCTCTTTCCGGTGGGTGGAAGCAGCCTGCGGCTTCGCTTTTGCCGCAGGTATAGCCCTTTTGGCACCACCAGGTCTTGGAGGAGCCGTGGCAGCAGACGCCGTCGGGCGGCATGCAGCCTTCCCAGCAGGGGATCGTGGACCCGGGGCAGACTGTGCCGTCGTCGATGGGTGGTTGGGATGGAGAAGGGGTGGGTGTTGACTGGGAGGTTGCTGCTGCGGTGAAGGCGAGGAAGAGGAAGAGGAGGGATGTAGAGCTTGAGAGGAGCATTTTGGTCAAGTTGTGTGGCGCGTTCTTGGGAGTATCAGGAAGATTTTCAGATGGCGTGAAGGTTTGGGTGATCGAGATGCGTTCTTGTGAGCTTCTCACCGACGGCAAGATTGGCGAGGCTCCCTCTTTATACGGTCTCGAAGGCGGCACGCTGTACAATGAGTAGTGAATCACATCGCGGGAGTTGGCCGGCAGGTGCATGATTCACAACTTGCGTCTCGTCACTCATTCACCCCCCTCGTGATGGCGATTCTCCAGCACGAGAGACAACTCATGTTTGCTTTCCTAAGCTGCGTATGCCTCTCTTGCCTCATAGCGGACAGATTTAGATCTTCGGGTGCGGGGGTGACACAGTCGGAGAGTTTGCCTGGCTTGCTGTCCTCCCGGCTCAGTTCCCCGGTTCAAGCTGGCCATGTCGTCCAAGGTCCTGTGTGCGTACTGTTGACGAGGCATCATAGCTTGGGACACAGCTTTGATGGCTTTCGTTTCGGGTGCTTTTCTTCCACAAAAGGACGCAAATAAAGTGCTCCGGCCACGGCGGCGAGGATGTGTCTGGAATTGTTAGAACATCAAGGCCTCCTCCTGTTCTGGAGGAACGTCAAGATGTTTGTTCAGGCTCTCAATCGCTCGACCGTGTTTAAGCGAGTATTTTTTTCTAAAGATGGCCAGATCTGTTCACTAGTGGATGACTATGTATGTAATGTAGCCAAGGTTGAGTGAGGCCTTTTCCAGGATGATGGAGGTTGGTTGGCTTATTGGCGCTCTCATTTATGACTACGATACTTTACCCATAGGGATGTTTTTTCCTAGGTAGCGTCTCCCAATGGGACGTTGACTATTCATGGGCCTTTGGTATGAAGCCGTTTCCTGACTTTACTCCTACAAGACTATCATTCATGGCGAAGTCGATAGAGCGAATAGCAATGCCGGAAGAGAACGCGTGAATAGGTTTCAACCTAGATCATTCACAGTACGTATTGTGTAACTAGCCGCAGTTTCTGGTGACATCAAACGACGTGATACTGGCGATTGACACCTGAATATGTCACTTGTGAGCTAATTAAGCACTAGCCAATGACATGATATTTGTCGCTCATTTCTGCGGTCCTTTTGCACCCTGACACCGCAGTGGGTGCGCTCGGAACGGCTCCGGAACACGTTCCGCAGTGACTACATTCTCTCTCGAGTCTTGCTCGAGAGGAACTGCGTTTTGCTTGTCTCTATGTTACTCTCAGGTAAATTGAAGAAAAACTCAAGACCTTTTCTCGAGCGAGTGGAGCACATCCCGGAACATGCCTCCTCCCGAGTCCTTGCTATCGGCTCATTCCGATGGCGCCATACTCCTGTTCGCTACCAGTTACGCAATGCGACGCTTCCCAGTCATCAACTTCTGGTCAGAATAGAGCAGAGTCTCTTCAAGTTACTGGACTAGTGCAAATTCTGTTAAGCAGATAGAAAACATCCTTTCTCAGTGCTCAAATGCGGAAAGCCGGACACCTCCGGGCTATCGCCGAGATGCGAGGTCTGGCATCTCGGCGTTCTCGGCGCTTGAGAAATGCAGAGCCCGCGGCGGCGGCCCCCGGAAACGCTACCGACGGCGAGCGGTTCACCACCCGAGTCAACGTGCCAGCCTGCCGCTGCTGCCAGGTACGCGCGCTGAAGCCATGTGACAGCGCGAGACACCAGCTTGACCCGGGCCTCGGCCATGCATGCCGTTAGTGAGGCGCAGAACCACTGCACCACAGCCTCTGGAGGTCTGGTAACGCGACTTTCCCGTGGCATATGTACATACCTACAAGTCCTCAATGCTGCGATCTCGGCGATAGACCTAAGTCTAATGTTCGCTCCACTCGGAGGAGCCCAGGGGAATGCCACCGCGAATGGGCTTCCGCCGGCATGAACTGCCTTTCTGGCCCCAACCAATGATGTCATTTCAGTTCAGCCGTGTTTCCTGAATTGGGAAAAATTCCATTCTCCCGATTTGGGCAAAAGACACGCGGTGAGTAGAGGGCGGGTCTGGGACCGGTGAAGCGGCGTTGCTGAGCCGTGTTGTGGTGTAGTGGCTGATGCTCAACTTTTGAACCCCGAGGCCGGGCTCTGAGAGTTCTCAGAGTTTGATGCTAGACGTTCATCCAAATCCCGACGGGTACCGGACACCCTTCGCATTCCGGCAGGCTTGCTCAGAGGTAAAGTCCAGCTACGGGTACTTGGGAGTGAAGAGCATGGCAGACCTGTCTGAATAAGTAGGAAACAGCATGAACGAGCTTCCGAGGGGCGCAACCCCCGGCGTTTTCTCAAAGCGATCAAAGGCTAGCCTAGCCGTTGAAGTGCATGTAAGTGGCCTGATGGACGCCGTCTTCACCCAGCATATCCCATGCCAGGCCCCATCCTTTTTGCTTGTCAGCGAGTTTTCTCCGCATCGCAGAAAGGCTGGAATCTGACTTGTCCCCCCTCGATGCCGACATTGACGGAATCTAAAGAGTCCCCCGCAACATCTGGGGAGGTAGAGCAAGAGACTGGGTCATGACTGATGTATCCCGGCAAAAGAGACCAGCTGGGCAGTGGTGGTGGAACCCCCGCCGTTGTCGGAGGGGCCAGGAGAGACAATGGACCAATCCGAGAGGCGGAAAACGCGAGTTATGTCTGGGAAAGTTGGCGGTGCTCAGTGTCGGAACGTCGAGTTCACGATAACGCTATTGAAGATTGAAGGTGTCCAACAACGTCACGCTATCCAAGTAGTTAGTACAACAGAGCCTCAAAGTAAGGGTCCAGAATTGGAGTTGCCTCTAGAGCAACACTAGAGACAGCAGATCTACCACTCAAAAAGCAGCAGCAAGATTGATCATTTTGGACCTTTACACCACCTCAGCAACGAGAGGTGGAGAAAACAAGGGGCGACTGAAGGACGCTAGGAAACCGCAAAATGGAGCTTCTCTGTGGACCTCGGCCAACCCAAGCTTGCATTCGTCTGTCTTCCAATTGGCCGTGTGTCCCACCAAAGCTTCAGAAATCATCGAGGAAAGCCACCCTTGCCCGGGCGACTTACGTCGTGCCCTGGGGTTTCTGCTTCGTAACTTGAACGCCCTGAGTGGGAGGACAGAGCTCATGGGGCTCCAGAAGCCGAGGAAACTGGGGCGAACAGGAGGAAGAAGGAGAGAAAGAGAGAGAGAGAGAAGGAGAGGGAGGGGCCGAGGTGTAAGGAGGGTCCCCTCCCACTTATGTTATCGTCCTATTTCTTTTCTGTCTGCCATGGGGCTTTAGATTATTTATGTTTTCGTCTTCCCTCCATTGGATCGCCTCCCCGGAGACCCTCTTTGATCTGTTCTTTTCTTGATCTGACTTACCATCTGCCGCTCCCGTTTGTTGGTGTCTGACAGTAGCAAGCATCCCACGCCATTTCCCCCGAAGCGCAATACACATCTCCCATCTCCGAATCGACGAGAAACGAGAAACCGCTGACAAGATGGGTTCCGAGGACGAGAAGCCTTCTACCTACCGGTATAACGAGAAGCCGACTTACACCACCTCCAATGGCGCCCCCGTCGAGAACCCCCAGGCGTGGCAGCGCATCGGTCCCCAGGGCCCTCTGCTGCTCCAGGACTTCCACCTGATTGACCTGCTGGCCCACTTTGATCGCGAGCGCATTCCCGAGCGTGTCGTCCACGCCAAGGGCGCCGGTGCTTACGGCGAGGTTCGTGAGACGATTCCTTTTGGTTGTGTTATGTTGGAACGGGCGTGGAGCTTGGTGAATTTTGAGAGGATTACGCTGACCAGCGTTCGCGTGCGCGGCTTCACAGTTCGAGGTCACCCATGACATTAGCGATATCTCCTCCATCGACATGCTCAACCAGGTCGGCAAGAAGACCAAGGCTCTTGTCCGTTTCTCGACTGTTGGTGGCGAGAAGGGCTCTGCCGATTCCGCTCGTGATCCCAGAGGTTTCTCTGTCAAGTTCTACACCGAGGAGGGAAACTGGGACTGGGTTTACAACAACACGCCCATTTTCTTCATCCGCGACCCTGTCAAGTTCCCTCCCTTCATTCACACCCAGAAGCGTCACCCGCAGACTAACCTGAAGGATGCTACGATGGTAAGTGTTGAAACCCCCAGAATTCTCATGAGATGGCTTGAGCTAACTTGAACCAGATGGTAAGCGTCAAGATGCAGAAACTCATCACAGATCTCACTCTAACTCAATCTCCCAGTTTGACTACTGGACCAAGAACCAAGAGTGTATCCACCAGCTGATGCACCTGTTCTCCGACCGCGGCACCCCTTACTCTTACAGACACATGAACGGCTACTCGGGTCACACCCACAAGTGGACCAAGCCCGATGGCTCCTTCGTCTACGTCCAGATCCACCTCAAGACGGACCAGGGCAACAAGACCTTCACCAACGAGGAGGCCGGCAAGATGGCGTCCGAGAACCCGGACTGGCACACTCAGGACCTCTTCGAGGCCATCCAGCGCGGCGAGCACCCCAGCTGGACCGTCTACGTCCAGACCCTGACCCCGGAGCAGGCCGAAAAGTTCAAGTGGAACGTCTTTGACCTGACCAAGGTCTGGCCGCAGAGCGAGGTGCCGCTGCGCCAGTTCGGCAAGCTCACCCTCAACCAGAACCCCGAGAACTACTTTGCCGAGATCGAGCAGGCCGCCTTCTCCCCCTCCCACCTGGTCCCCGGCGTCGAGCCCACCGCCGACCCCGTCCTGCAGTCCCGCCTCTTCTCCTACCCGGATACCCACCGCCACCGTCTCGGCGTGAACTACCAGCAGATCCCCGTCAACAAGCCCCTGAATGCCTTCAACCCCCTCCAGAGAGACGGCGCCATGGCCGTCAACGGCAACTACGGCGCGAACCCTGTACGTCACCCCTCAAGCCCCGATCTGCGCACTATACGCATGGTGAGAATGACCGAACTAACTCTTCCCAGAACTACTCCTCAACCTTCCGCCCCCTCGAGTACAAGCCCGTCAAGGCCGTCAACACCCCGCACGAGCAGTGGGCCGGCGCCGTCGTCACGGACCTCTTCGGCCCCGTCAAGCCCGAGGACTACGAGCAGGCCCTCGGCCTCTGGAAGGTCCTCGGCCGCCAGGAGGGCCAGCAGAAGAACTTTGTCAGCAATGTCTCTGGCGCCCTCGCCGGCGCTCACCCCGAGGTCCGCTCGCGCGCGTACGAGATGTTCTCGCGGGTTACCCCCGAGCTCGGCGCCGCTATCATGAAGGAGACGGAGAAGATTGCCGAGTACGTTGTTTTCTTTTTTCCTTCTCGGGGACTGAGAGCCTTGATGATGATACTGTGGATGAGTATACTGACCATTTCTCTCTAGGCCTACCAAGGATGTTCGCTCCAAGTTGTAAAAACATAGACGGGAAAGTTTGATGAGGAAGCATCCGGGTTTGCGTTGAAGAAGTGCGTTCCAAGATCTCGATGTAATACCGGAGCCGGAAGCGTCGACGCTGCACGAGGCGTGCCAACACGAATTCAGTTCAAGGAGAGAAGAACAGGAGATTGTCGAGATACCATGTCAGGATACTGATGAGACAGACAGCTCAGAGTATCCAAAAGCAGAAGAAAAAAAAACTCGTAATTTGTTCAAAAAAAAACAGTTGAAAATCGTACAAAAAAGTGACACTGTCACGGGCATGAAATTCGATGCCCTGGTATATGTTTGCGCCTGAAACCACCGCCTATTCAATCACTCCTTCGTTACGAGCCACCCCTCTGATATCGAACTCTCGTGAATTTCCAACGAGGGTAGTTCAGATCTTGGTCGGTCTACGATACACCCTCCCATCTCGAAACGATATTCGGTCTATACGGAAAGCGGGAAAAACGACGCGCGGAACGTCCACTACTTTGACCATGGTCCGGATGTGTACCTCTGTGGAAACGACACTCCAAAGTGCCATGGACGTTGTGACGTTGCGGTCCGACTTAACAGCAGCAGCAACAGCACTCGCAGCATTCGTAGCAGCAAAGACCGGCGCAGAGACCGCAGCAGACAGCCTACGGAGAAGAGCGTTACACGTTAGCCATTTATGTGCTTCTCAGTGTGCGATCGAAAAGGAAAAAGAATCCCAATCGCGTTTTCCAGCGTTTTATTTCTGATTTCTCGAGTTCTACCAAAATCACAGACGGCGTAGGAATATCGAAGGAAGGGAGGGATTGGGTCGGATTTGTTTCAACTTACTCCGCCATCGCCGCCGCCTCGCAGGTTCGCTGATTGATCCATCGTCATCGGCTGATTCGGGCCCTAATAGAATTCGAAGTCTTCGGTTAGCTCGGGTTTTGGGAGAGGTCTTGTTCCTTTTGCGAGGTTTGGCTGATTCGAATCGATGCGACACCGACAATCACCAGAGAAGAGGGGAAGCCCAAAATCCAACATGGTAAGTATGGAGATGGCTGAAGGGGAGCGAACATACAGGTTGCTGAGAGCTGATCTTGTGCTCCGAGAGCACGGCTGGCGCAGGCTCTCTTGGCATCTGATTGTACTCGATCTGGGACGACATTGCTTCTGCGCGCGCGCGTGTGCGATTAAGGATTACAAAGGCGGAAATGTCGTGTGTACGTCTTCGACCGATAGACTTTGCAAAATTCTGGCGCGAGGTTCTATCCAAAGAAGAATCTCGTTTAACTCGTCCGTGGTTGACAGGAAACGAAGGTCTTGTTGTATGTAGTCTAAGTCGAGTTGACGTTGCCTTGTAGGTGTGTGCAAGAGACGGAAGCAAATCGCACCTTGAACCGAAGCCACAGCCAACGCGCAAAACAGGCGATTGACCGTTTTATTTAAAAAAGGGAACCAACAGAAAAAGAAAAAAAAAAAAGCGACAGGGCACGAGGAAGAAAGTTATCTAGGAACCCGAAGTTTGAGAGGGTGCGTGGCCCACGGTTTTGTCCGGGGGCCACCCCTTCACTTCGGGCTCTCTCTTCCTGCATGATGAAGAGAGGCAGACTTTGGAGGTTGAGGCCGCAGCTTGGCGCTCAGGTGCAAGGCAAAGGGGCGGGGACCAGATTGACGACCGTGGGCTGATAGGCCTTGGGTATCTCTTCCCTCTCATTCTGGTCTCCTTCTACATGGTCACATAGTAATACTCTCTACTCTACAGGTACATACCTTGCCTTGTCTACCTTATGTCCCCGCAGGTTGAGTTTCTGTGTAGACGAGGGAGGGGGGGCCCCTCTGTACCTACGACACCCGGTGTGTAAGAGTCACCTCGAACCGGCACATTGAGTGCGAGAGAGGTTGAGGGCAGTTACAAGGATGGATGAGGCTTAGATCAGGCGGTCCCTCCATCTTGAGGGGGGCTCATGGATGGGGACATCTTCGTTCGGTGTGTTTGGGGTTTTCCTCTCATTTCGACTGAAGGAAGGGTTCAGCTGCCGACCGATCTACGGGATACGTCTCTTCTTTTCTTGCAGTTCTCTCTCACTCTTTCTTGTCTTGGCCCTTCATTCGTTGGTGCGTTGTTCGAGGTGCTGGCAGCGTGATGCGAACTCGGGGTATCCTTTCCAGCAGACTGCGCTGAGACAGGGCTCGCGCCTGACCTTTTTGGCTGTGCTGTGCAACTGCGGTTGAAATGGTGTTGGGGTGTCCCGGGGAGGGGATCCTGGGATGGGGCCAAACGGGGGGTGGAATGACCTCAGTTTGGGGGACGAGATAATCTTCAAAGGGGATTGGAGGGAGGGTGAAAGGGATACCGAATGCGGCTTGCGTTGTTGGTAATGGAGAAGAAGAGTGGTTGAGGCGTCGTCGCACGGTGAAGTGGTATTAGGCAGGCAAGAAAATGGGAAAACTCTCTTTTGCTGACCTTGCATTTCGCGTTTGCGTTGCCTGCGAGTTGGGATGATCTTTTCGGTGTCAAGTCGTCGTCCTTTGGTTGAGAGTCTACGGAGTACTAATGCAATGCGATGTGCGGGTACTGTTGTTCTTCTGCTATGGATCCGAGTCCGTTCACCAACTAGTGTAAGGCTTACTAGTCTTTCGCATTTTCCTTCTTATTTCCTTTTGATTTTTTTTCTTTCCTCATATCCAGAGGCTGCTGCGCTGGCACACCGGGCTTCGGTGACATGCTACCTTACCTACCTGGACATGAAAAGATCCCGGAGGACCCGATCGCGCGGGATCGCGCAACGCTGACTCGTTCGCCAGTTGATGGGGGGGAGCTGCGGGACGGAGTGACGACTGCCATAGCTGGGGCGCCGAACCCGAGCGCGATCTGACGTGGTATCCGTATGTACGGGTTGGTTTGCCATTACTTTAGATAATGCAGGGTTACAGGGTCCATGGACTATTTTCGGGCCTCAGAAATATATACGCGGGAACCATGATCCCCCCCTCCTCAGGCTCTTCCTCCTCTGCCCAATCAACCTCGGCTCGAGCGGTTTCTTGTCCTACCCGTCACTTCAGAGGCCCAGACGAGCAGAACGATTCGGAGAGACATTCTGCTTCTGGCGTCGTAGCGAAGGATGTTTTGGGAACATTCTTGCCGCCGCCGGTGGGGAAAACGTGGGCAAGGGGGGATCATATACCGGGATTTAGGTGGAAGCCTAGAAAAGGGTTTGGTGGGATTCTGTGTCCCCAATTCGAAACGGTGACACTTTAGATGGAGACTCCAATGGGAGAGGTGCAAGGCGTAGCGTGCAGTACGTCTGAGGGTTGGACTGAAGATGCAGCTTGTTTGGATGTTCACTGCCTGCTTGAGCTTCCGCGGCGAGCGTAGGGGGCTGTGTGACCGTACCTTATACCCGTATCAGGTACGAAAAAGGAGTTGCGGCGGTGGAGTTACAACACATATTTCCTTGGGCTGGGATTCATCGGCCTATTGTGCCGATAAATCTCCTTAGTCTGTGGTGAAGAGGACGGATATGTTTCCCGAGATATGCAGGGGATCGGGCAGACTTTGTTGAGGGGCATTCTACGCAAGGCTGACTGCAGAGTCCCTGGCCATCGGACCTTCAAGCGGGCAGAACGGGGCATGTCGAAGTGACGGCCGGGGCTCGGCGGGTTCGGAGCCGGTGCCGGTTAGCGGGTCTCACGGCGCCGGTGTGCCCGAAAACCGAAGGAGACGGGAGTGTCTCGGAAGGAGGCGAATCGCCAGATGGAACCTGAGGTGCCGCTGACATTGCAGGCTAAAAGATCTCCCGGGCCAGCGCTCGCGTATCATCATTCTAACGGCAGCACCTCGAGAATACTTCCTAAATCAGTGAGATCAGTAATGATTTAGCAAAATTGACAACCCCCCTTGTCTCGAAGAACAAGAGCGGTCGGGTCAATAAGCAAAGGGAAATCGCGAGTAGAGGGCAGATCGAGCAGTGACGATCAATTCAACCATTGTAATTCAAATATTGGTGCATACAACTCATAGCCAAAGCCTACAATTGAAACCCTGATTCTCTGTCGCGGATCGGCGTACGCCTTCTAGAACCAACATTTGTAGATTTAGCCCAGCCGCCCGTCATCCCTTGTCAGCGAGTCAATCGGAGGGCGTAGAGTGGGTTCCCCGCCGAGACGACCTTAGTCTCCCCGCCCCGCCCCCGGCCGATCAACAACTTCAAGCTTAAAAGGTGCCGGCAGTAAGCTTTACTCCCAACAGCCTACTACGTCTCTCTTCTCATTTTCTTGTCTGGGGATTGGTAAGGGAACAACTGGGGATCATCCATTCCTTGTTTTCTGAGATACGCGGTGCAGCGAAAAGTCGCCAACCATGTCTACCTCGCAAACGGAGCTCCAATACCTCACCCCGCACACCGGGGCCACGGTCCCGATCCCGGAATCCTCAAAAGCGGCAGCCTCAACGACGACCCGCGACCGGTACACCACCGCCGCAACAGGATCCGGCACCAGCAGAAGAAGCAGCGGCGATGAGAACGGCGTCGCCGCCGATGGTGTCCTCCATGACGCCCACAGCGCGAGCCAGGAGTTCTCCTCCCTCCCGCCCGTCGACGGCGGAAAACAGGCCTGGCTCTTCTTAGCCGCCTGCTTCGCCGTCGAGATGCTCGTCTGGGGGTTTCCCTTTGCCTTTGGCGTTTTTCAGAATTACTACTCCACGAACCCGCCGTTCGCTGGGCAGCCTAATATCGCCGTCATCGGTACCTGTGCCATGGTAACCCCCCCCCCCTCCCCTTCACTTACTCTTCTCGCCGACACTCTCCACACCTCAAAACTCTTGAGCAAGGAGACACACAACCCGGACCAAACTGACATCTCCAAAGGGAATAATGTACCTAGGCGGACCCATCCAAACCGCCCTCCTCCGCCTCTACCCCCGCCAAACCCGCTACGCCCCCATCGCAGGCCTCCTCATCATGTGCGTCGCCCTCGCAACCTCCTCCTTCTCCACCACGGTACCCCACCTCGTCGTAACCCAGGGCATCCTCTACGCCATCGGCGGCGGCATCACGTACATGCCCTGCATAGTCTACATCGACCAGTGGTTCGTCCGCCGCAAGGGCTTCGCCTACGGCATAATGTGGTCCGGCACCGGCCTCGCCGGCGTCCTGCTCCCCCTGCTGATGGAATACCTCCTCGGCACTCTGGGTTTCCGCACAACCCTCCGCCTCTGGTCCGGTTTACTCTTCGCCCTCACCGCGCCGCTGGCCTTCTTCATCAAGCCGCGCGTGCCGGTGTCTTCAACGACAACGACGACGTCGTCTTCAACGGACGCAACCCACGCGCGCCCGTTCAACAACATGCGCTTCCTCCTCTCCCGACCCTTCCTCCTACACCAGGCCGCCAACACAATCGAGGCCCTGGGCTTCTTCCTACCGGGGATCTACCTCCCCTCCTACGCCCAATCCACCCTCGGCGCGTCCCCCTACGCGGCAGCCCTCACCATTCTCCTCATCAACGTCGCCTCCGTCGTCGGCTGCGTGGCGATGGGGACCCTAGTCGACCGCTGGTCCGCGCCGTCGTGCCTGGCCCTCGCCAGCGCCGGCGCCACCGTCGGCACGTTTCTGTTGTGGGGCCTCTCGCTGAACCTGGGGGTGCTGTACCTCTTCTGCGTCGTCTACGGCCTCTTCGCGGGCGCGTATACGTCCGCCTGGCCGGGGATCATGAAGACGGTGACGGAGCACGAGAGGGAGCGCGGGAGGGGCGTTGATCCGATCATGGTGTTCGGCATGTTGGCGGCCGGGCGCGGGGTCGGGAACGTGATTTCGGGACCGTTGAGCGGGGTGTTGGTGCAGGGGAAGCCGTGGGCTGGGGAGGCTGGGTTTGGGTACGGGAGCGGGTATGGGACGTTGATTGTGTTTACGGGGGTGACTGCTTTCGTAGGGGGTGCTACGTTTGTGTGTAAGAGGCTTGGGTGGTTGTGAGGTGGTCATCGAGGTTGGGGGAAATCAAGTAGCTGGGTAGAAGATGATGGATCCAACATTTGTGTTTGTCGGTAGCCAGTGGTGTCTTCAACTTGCAAAATGAAGAGGTCACCGTGAAAGGTGAAAGGAATAACTTGTAGATCTAGCCTTATTGCGATCTCGCATGCGATTCCCGAGGCTGCGGCCTCTAAGGTATGATACAACAGCCAACTCATATCCTTCTTGAGCGGCCCCCTTGCCCCTTTCCCCATTTTATTTTCCGTAGCGGTAAAGTAACCACCTTTTTATCCCCGAGTCTCTTGATTCTTGATCCTGTAATGCGATAGATGCTTTTTCAGTAAAACAATGACCACCAACCCTGATTTTCCGTGTATCAAAGACGCCTTAGATAAAATGATAAAATGGCACAAATGCGATTCTTCAGAAACCAGTAACAAAAAGAAGATGCCCCTCTCAAGAACCGCTCTCACGGGTAAACAGAGTCACCGCGAGCAAGCAGCGGCCGCTGATCCCACTGATCCTCGTCAATGCTCTCATCATCACCCTCCTCTTCGTCGTCGCTCGCGAACTCGTCGGTGCGGTACATGAAGTACTGCGCAAAGATGCCCATATCAAGCAACAACGTCCCCAGACTGCCCGCCAACCAGCTCAGGTTGACAAGCATATACCGGCCGTAAATAGCGCTCGCCTCGCCCGGCGCGCACACGTCATGCTTGCAACGCGGGTCATAGGCAAAGATGCTCAGCACGTACGTCAGGTTGCCGAGGCACGCGAAGAGGAAGAAGAGCATGCTCACGCCCTCGGTGGACTTGCGGCGGTAGTTGAGGAGCAGCTGGGGCAGGCGGGAGCCGAGGTAGAAGACGGCGCAGAGCCAGCCAAAGACCTGGCCGAGGGTGTTGAAGGTCAGGGTGGTGTCGTCGTCGTCGTTGGGCTGGTGGTGGTTGCCCGGTTCCTCGGCGTGCGGGGAGTACTTGCGGCTCAGGAACCAGCCGACGACGCCGGCGGCGCAGACCATGAGGACGGCGGTGGTGTTCCAGGCGACGGCCTGGAGAGCGGTGGAGGGTCGCGGGGGAGGGGCCGGGGCGGCGCTGCCGGCGACACCGCTTTCGGGGCGCATGGGTACGGCGGGGGAGAGGTTGGACCAGTCTGAGCCGCGGCGCTCGCGTTCGACGATGGGGTTGGGGAGGAGGCCGGTGCGCTCGTTCGGTTCGCCGGTGCGGTTGCGCGGCTTCGGGGCCGGGGGCACGACCTCGTCTTTCCAGGTGAAGCCCCTGTAGTAGAAGCACTGGGCCAGGAGGACCATATCGGCAATGGTGTAGTAGATGGCGAGGATGATCTAAGGGGGTAGGAGTCATAGCGTCAGCCGGGGTTCTTGCGTAGTGGTGAAGGTAGGCTGGAGCAGGGACGTTGGGCAAGGGGTTCTCTCTGGTGTAGGTGACTCACCATGGTAGGGAGGACGCCCTGGAGGACGGCGCCCAGGATGTTGAAGACATCGCCGGCGAGCCAGACGATGATGAACTGCAGAGAGAGACCGTCTGCGCTGCCGCGGCGGAAGTTCTCGAGGATCTGGGGGGAGAAGACGACGACCCAGCAGGCGATTGAGATGGAGCTATGCGCATTGAGTGAGCCATTGAGGAATGCAATTAATGGATTTGGAGACGGGGTTGCAAAGGTCATGCTTACCCGCAAATGCCAGATATGGCCTCGACGTCGAGGTTGAGTGGTGCGGTAGGGGGCGCCATGATGCGATTTCGGAGGGGGGGTGGGAAATGCGACGACCAGAGAGGATTAACGAAAGGGGAGGGAGGAGTAGGTATCGGTGGATGCAAGCTATACGAGTTGGAGAGAGATTTTCTAGAAGAAAGAAAGATTAAACGACTAGATGGAGATGAATTCTACAAACAAAATGCCAGGTGAGCGCTCATCCAAGACGCACCGGCAACAATGGGTTCGGGGCAAGGAAAAAAATGGAGGAGAAGTTCTGTCCTCCGAAATCTGACGATGAAAGTAGGAAAGACTTTTTTTTCCGTATGCGTGCCACCTGGAATGAGAGACATCTGCATTCGCGAAAGTCACCACCACCTAATTTGCAGGGCCCTTTTTTTTTTTTCGTCGGTCGCCGCTCGCGCCATCCGAGTCCACGTGCGCTGGCAAGTTTTCTCTCAGCTGGGATTTAGCGACTGGCCACGACGTCACTGACCAAGCCGGAAGAGGGAATCCAAAATGCGGGGGAATCGAGCGCTAACCATGCGCTGAAACGCCCACTTTTTTTCATCGGCAGGTACCTTACGTGCTTACCTAGCTGGCCGTCCTTGGTGTTGCTCAAGCTGTCCGGGTGTGCATTTCAGCTTCGCCTAACTTTCAGGCAGGCCTTCTTCGCACTTTACACCACGTGTACCTAATGTTAAGGGAGTGCCGTCAGCTGAGGCGTCTTACGTTCCCTCCTCATTGCCGAATCTTAACCAGATTTCCTCACAGTGGAAGCTTACCTGGAGTACCTATATCGAAAGACCGTAACTTGATTCGGAGGATTAGTTTCAACCCCGGCGCAAGCTCGGATTTGGACTCGTCTCCACTGGACGGAAGGTCAAAGACAGGCATCTCGTTACCTAATCAGAGGTACGAACCTCCACCATCTCGTTGCTGACCAATTTGGCTGTCGCTGTCTGCACCTTTTCCACCTCAAAACTTGCACGATCACTGGGTACCTACGAGAATGGTGTCTGAATGCAGTCGTTTTGCTAGCTCATCACTGCATATCTTATCACACCCAACCCATGTATTAGGCTATGCGGCTACCTCAGGCCTTGGACTCACTCTCACGAACCCAGTCTCCAACCGTCGTCACATTCTCCACAATCAACGGCCAGATGAGGTTCGTCGCAGCATCCTTCACCTCAGTGCTGAACCCAGCAGTCGCGTCGGATCTGTGTACCTTTTGTCAGCAAAAGAAGAATACTTACACACACAGCAACGCCATGGAGCACTCACAAAAGGGTAACATGGAAGCCACTGCACATCCGTCGAAGCACGCATCGTCAGTCCATATCCTCTCTTCAGATCCCATGTTTTCTTGTGACCGTTATTTACTTACAGCTCTCTCGCGTCCCGCGCCGTGGATTCGAGGCAGGTGTTGGCAATCATGCCCGCCATAACGAGGTGCGTAACACCCCTCTGTCGCAACTGATAGTTCAAATCGGTATTGGCAAATCCGCTGTACCACATCAACACTCGATAAGTCAAACCCCCCACTTCCCGGCACCCCCCTGTTTCTGGCACCCACAAAAACGCGAAAATCCACCACAACGCAATGCCCACCCCCAACCTCCTTTTATCACAACATTTTCAATTCGAGTCCAAATGGGCTCATTTTTTGCACATACCTTCTTCTATATCTAATGCCTCAATATACCGAAGATCAGCTTCGTCAGGCTCTCGAGGACATCTCAAACGGCAAGAGTCAAAAGAGAGCCTCATTGGAGTATGGGATACCACGATCAACCCTCCAACTACGTCTCCAAGGTGGTCAGACTAGGAAAGTGGCTTTTGCTGACTGGCAGAGGCTGTCTCTGACCAGGAGAGTAAGCTGGCACAATGGGTTCGCATTCAGGCTTCGCTGGGCCTCGCACCAACGCACCAACAGGTGAAGGAATTCGCAGAGCGAGTTCTGGCTGCTGCTGGGGATACCAAACCATTAGAAAAGGCTGGATCTATGCCTTCGTGAGAAGGAACCCTATCATTAAGGTTCAGAGAAGTCGTTCCATCGATTCTAGACGCGTTAATGGGGCATCTACTGAGGTCATTAGGAACTGGTTTAAGTTCCTTGCTATCCCTGAGATCAAGGACATCAAACCAGCCAACAGATATAATATGGATGAGACTGGCATCCTCGAGGGTCAGGAGCTAATGGGTTAGTGCTGGGCATGGCTGAGACGACGTCTGTTCGCAAGAAACAACCTGGGTCGAGGGCATGGGTCTCTATCATTGAGTGTATCTCAGCCTTGGGTAGGGCACTTCGTCCTCTTATCATTTTCAAGGAAGACGGTCCAACAACAGTGGTTTCCATTACATCTGGTTCCATACGATGGGTGGAGTTTACAGCAACAGATAATGGCTGGACTACAGACTTAACTGCCATTGAATGGTTAGAGAAGGTGTTTATCCCACAGACTATGCCCGAGGCTGAGGGCGAGGCTCGACTGTTGATTGTGGATGGGCATGGGAGTCATACGACGACAGACTTCATGTGGAATTGCTATATTAACAATATCCATTTACTGTTCTTACCACCACACTCTCATGTCCTCCAGCCACTTGACCAGTCTGTCTTCAGCCCTGTTAAGTCAGCCTATCGGAAGGAGCTCGGTTACTTGTCTCAATGGAACGACTCTACCATTATAGTAAAAGGAACTTCCTGGACTGTTACCAGAAGGCTCGACTTGCTGGTCTATCAGTCTCGAACATCAGAAGTGGGAAGTGGACTGGTCTACACCCTGTAGCGATGGTTAAGCCCCTGATGAACCCTATGGTATTACCTGAGCCTCTGCTAAGCCCACCACACCCAAACCAACCAGTCGGGGCAAAAGCGATGCCATAATGGTCAACAAACTACCCTGTTGAGCCATGGGATTCTGCTTCCTCTGCAGTGGTCTGGTCGACACCCAGGAAGCTGGCAGAGCTCAGCGGTCAACTGCACTTATACACCCAACTCGACAATGATACCAGCACTCAACGGCTGCTGTTCAGGAAGGTGAAAAAAGGCTTCACAGAGCAGGCCTGGCAACTGGCAGCTGCCCAGCAGCAGCTGGCTCACCTGAGGGCTCAAGTTACCAACGCTGCAGTTAGGAAGAGGAAGACTGTTCAGATCGATCCCAACACGAAGTTTGCGAACATCAGGGATATCCATCGGGCTCAAATCGAAGCGGGTGAAAAGGAGGTTATTACGGCTGAATCCAGCGACTCTGAATGCCCTAGTGAGGCTGGCAGTTGTATTGTAGTGGGTGTGGTTGAGGATCAATAGTTAATAGTAATGAGGAGGTTGGGTTGTGATCCCATCGTTTTTGTGGGTGCCAGAAACAGGGGGGTGCCAGGAAGTGGGGGGTTTGACTTACCTTGAATCTCTCCCTGGACCAAGGTCCCCAAAACCCCTCGCAAGTTGCAGCTCACCTGTTATTCCAATGCCGACTCGCAACAACGTCCCCGTTCCCCACCACATCCGGCTCAAGCCCCTCCAAGATCTCCGCGCCCCAGCTGCCCTCCGCGATGCCCTTGGCCGCCGCCAGACCTTTATGCGACGGCGTGAGGTGCGTCCACCCGGCATAGTTTCCCTCCTTCCACGTCTTGTGCAGGGCGTAAAAGATGGGAATCTTCTGCTTGCGCGCCGCGGCGACGAGGGTGCGCAGGTTGTCGTTTGTGCCCGTCGCCTCGAGTGATTCTTTTACGGACGGGTATATTTTGCCCTCGTGGTGGAGGAATTCGTTGTAGGGGTCCACGAGGACGATTGCTGTGGTGGGGGGAGCCATGGTGGTGATGTTATTTGGGATGGATACTTCAGTTTGGGGATTTTGGAAACCTGAATCTAGACTCCTGTGGAATTCAAGAGCATGCTCCAACTTCAAGCATCAGATAAAAACTAATGAGACTCTTTATATGAGATGAGGAAGCAAGAGGGTGGTGACCACCATCCAGCTGCGTCGAACGACGGATGACAAATTTCAGGCTTGGAGTAGGCGCACGGACGCTGGCACAGTGACACACTACAGCCAACAAAACTCCCGCCGATTAGATGAACGTCCCGAGCAGGACCCGTTTAACATCCGCAGTACACCTGCCTCACCCTACGTGAATCGCATTTTCTTATCCCTTCACCCCTCACTCTGACCACGGCAATACGTATACGTGGACGGATCATGCCCAAGAATCGTCTCACACAGGGGTCGTCACAATCACGCTTGCCGCGGGGTAGCAAACTTGGATGACCAATCTCGCAAGACCAAAGCGGGTTCGATCACAACAAACTCCTATCTTGTCTGGACCAGGACCGGGAACGGACTCTCGGTCGGATAGAATACGGCGTGATGCTGCAGGTTGATCCATGGTTCGGGGGTGGGATGAAGAACAAATGGCGTTGACGTAGGAGAGCCCACTCCCCATATTCCTTGGCTTTGTGAAATTGGTCAGCAAAGTGGTGTTGGTATCAGGGGCGGTTTCGGCGTACGCAGCTTCGGCCGGAAACCCCTCGACACAGTGTGCAAGGCACCTCCCAAAGTGCCATCAATGTCATTGCAGGTTCTTTTTTGACTTGCCAGGACTCAACTTCTCGCGTAGGAATCTAGGGCGCGCTCGACATGAACGGTCAAGATCGGTCCCCAAAGTCCCCCATCCACAACCCAGAATCAGGAGCAGACCAACATGGTGGAAATGGTCTGCTTAATTACGAGTTATGAGACACTCCCATATCCATACCCGTACCCATTCTTGGTCTTAACGCCCCAGATATCTGCACACAGGTTTTGATTACAAATTTCGATGACGCATGTCAACCACACGAAAGCATCACACGAACCCCCACGCTTCCCGCCCTACCTCCTACGATATCAACGCCGAAAGCTTCCGCTTCCACTCCTCCAGCGCCCGCTCGCTCTCAACCAGCCTCTCCCGACTCGCCTCCAGCTCGGCGCGCAACGTCCTGTTCTCCGCCCTCAACCCATCCGCCTCGGCAACAGCCTTCTCCCCCAGCGCAGCCTGCGCCCTAAGCTGCTCCATCTCCGACGCCGAGACGCGGCCCACGTCCGCCGCCCGCCTGGCCACCGCGAGCTCGCTGTTGCGCAGGTGTAGCTCCCGCTGCATCTGCGCGACCTGGCCCTCGACGTCGCCGACCTTGTGCCGGAGCTCGTGGGCCGTCTCGAGCTCGGCGTAGAGGAGCCGCAGCGCGGCGTCGACGTCTGTTGGGAGGGTCGTGTAGCGGGATTTGCGCGCCGCTGGTGCCCGTGCTGTGGATGAGCTGGCACGGGGCGGATCCTCCCGTGAGGTTGTTGCTGATGTTGTCGGCGGAGGTAGGGGGGTGATTCCGGTGCGAGTGGTGCTTGATGAAGGGGCTGCGGCTGTTTCCTCCCTCGCAGCGGAATGAGATGCTTTGGCGGTACGAGTCCTCCTGGCGGACGTACTGGGCGTGTCTTTAGACGCCTCGGTTGTCCTATTTGTCTCTTGATTCTGGTGAACTTGGCGAGAATTTGATAGATCTTGCCGACCCGTGTCCATAGTTGAGGGTGTAGCTCCCGTTGCCTCAGCTGTTTCCGAATGGGCCGATGGTAATGAAGAAGCAGCCAAAGGCCGCATCTCCGGCATCAAGAAAGGGGGATCTTTGTGCCAGTTCCGGTGCACGCACACTTCGCAAAAGAAGCAACTATTGCCCTCAACGACAGAGTAAGTGCTCTCCTCGGGCCTGCAAGACTCGTGATACGACCTCTTGCAAGTGATGCAGTACGTGAGACCCTTGGTCTGCCGGCAAATGAAGCAAAATTCATCGTGCTGTGCCCCGGCTTCTTTTTACCCGATGTCATTGTTAGTAGGTAGACTATCAAGGCTCTGGTGCATTTCAACTTCTTACCTTTCCAAGCTTTGTATCGTTCCAGAGCAGCAGGGATAGGAAGCGCTCGTGGGTCAACTGAGCTTTCAGGTTCATGTGCTTGTCGTTCTTTTGGTTGTTGATCGAGTTCGTCCGACTCTTTTCTGGCAGTGTTGGGGTTCACGGAATCGCCACGCGCACCGCGAGACCTCCCGCGACGAGTTGGCTGTGCTGAACGTAGACGTTTCCTCGGCGGCCCCCTGCTTTCGTCACTGTCCATGACTTCGCTAGTTATGTATCCGGATGTGCTGTAGGAGAAAGCAGTATAAGATCCTCTTTGTGGACAGGTGAACTTGTACAGCCACTTCTGGGATATTTGAGAGCGTATGCTAGAACCTGTAGAGGGAAAAGGAATGTGGCTGGGCACTTGGCAGTTTGGTGGTGAGATTGTGCAATGAACGATCGTGCTGACTAATGACGCTGGCGCCGCTACCCCCTGAGCACCAATGCCTTGTGGCCAGCAGACACAATCAAGGATTGAACAAGTGGTAAAGAAACCAAGATAGACGCTGTTACCTGAATAAGTTTCGTCTACAGCCAGGCCAACTCGATTGACACAGTGTTGAAACTCTGGGAAGAGGGGTGCTTTTAGAACTCGAGTACATGTTGTAGCAATCGCGCTATTTGTGACCCAAATTTGTCATCGAAATGCCAGGCAGATTGCTCAAAGGGGAAAGGAATCCCGCAGTCGGCGTGGGTTTCTGCTGACCAATTTGGGCCACAGGAGCGGGTGTTAGTTGCCGGTGAATTATCCTCGGTTCTGAGGGGGAAAGGCACAGTCTACTCCTCTGAGAGGGTTTTCCACATCCCCCGTCGGGTTTTCTAAGATCTTGCCAGACGTGATTATTATTCATTCTGCCTCAAGATCATACACATTGAAATCCGGGGCTCAGAAAAACGACAGCATCAACGAAGAACAATGTCCAACACAACGGTCAGTGGACCGGCCGGATCTGATAACAATGAAAAGAAGCTCGAATCGGGTGACCTCGAGGACCACGGCTTCAAGAGTGAGCTGCAGCTGGAATCGACTGACCCTGACAGCCGGAGGGATTCTACCACGTATAACACATATCATCAGGGCGAGGAGACCACTTTGCCAAACCCGTCAACTAATGGAGTTGATCGTGTGATAAGTCGTATTGCGAGTAGAGTAACCTCACGATCTACCATAACCCCTGGACCACCGCCTGATGGCGGAGTAAGAGCTTGGTTGTGTGGTAAGTCGTATCAAGACCTCAGGTTCTTGCGCCGAGAACGCTCCAATTACTCACCTTTTCCATCTTGAACAGTCTTTGGCACCTTCCTCGTCGTTATGAATACATGGTATGATCCTAGAAACCAAAACCTTTCTCCCCCAAATAACTAAAAAAGAACAATGTCAGGGGCATGATCAACTCCTTTGGCGCCTTCCAGAGCTACTACATCCAAACCCTCGACCGCAGCCCCTCCGACATATCCTGGATCGGCTCCGTCGAGATCTTCCTCCTCTTCTTCATCGGCACATTCACCGGCCGCCTCACGGACGCGGGCTACTTCCGCCCCGTGGCGACAGCCGGCTCCGTCCTCGTCGTCGCGGGCACCCTGGCGGCCTCAGCCTGCACGCGGTACTGGCAGCTGCTGCTCGCCCAGGGGGTCTGCGTCGGCCTGGGCAACGGGTGCCTCTTCTGTCCCACGGTCGCCCTCGTATCGACGTACTTTGCCAAGCGGCGCGCCTTCGCCATCGGGATCACGGCCTGCGGGAGCGGGGCGGGCGGCGTGGTGTTTCTCATTGTCATTCGGGAGATGTTGCCGCGTGCCGGGTTCGGCTGGACGATGAGGACGCTCGGGTTCGTCCAGGCTGCCGCGCTGGGTACCGCCCTGGCGTGTCTGAAGCCGAGGGTGCCGCCTCGTAAGACGGGGAGCTTGGTGGAGTGGGCGGCGTTCAGGGAGTTGGAGTATACCTTCTACGCCGTTGGGGCCTCTTTGGTACGTTATTCTCCTAGAAAGGAGCTTTCGTCTCTTCGTGGTCACCAAAGTAACAAACCCCTGAATACTGACCTCTGTTGGAACTGGACAGTGCTTCTGGGCCTCGTACATCGTCTTCTTCTTCCTCGCGGCCTACGCCCGCGACATCCAAGGCGCCTCTTACGACACCTCCCTCGACCTCCTCATGATCACAAACGGCGTCGGCATCCTCGGCCGCCTCGTCCTCAACAGCCTCGCAGACCGCGTCGGCAACCTGACAATGTTCGTCCCCACGGCCGGCGCCGCCGCAGTGCTGGCGTACTGCTGGGCGGCGCTGCCCATCGCATCCTCCTCCTCCTCCTCCTCCTCCTCGCGGGCGGGTCTCTACGTCTGGGCTGCGTTGAGCGGTATCGCGCTGGGCGGCATCCAGGCGCTCTTCCCCTCCGCGCTGGCGTCGCTGACGGCCGATCCGAGGAAGCAGGGGGCGCGCATCGGCATGGTGTTTACGATTGTGAGCGTGAGCGTGTTGACGGGACCGCCGATTGCGGGTGCGTTGGTGTCTGCTTTGGGGGGTAGGTATTTGGGTGCGCAGATGTTTGCGGGGAGTAGTTTGATGCTGGGGATGGTGTTCATTTTCTTGGCGAGGGAGGCGAAGAGGAAGAGGGTGGGAGGGTCATTTTGGGCAAAGGTTTAGTATGACCTTCTCCCATCTATCTCCTCCATTCACAGCTCGAGATCGAGTATCTTGGATACGTGTCTCGTCTCTTGTTTCACCAGTTTCCTTATCAGAAGCAATGGAGACTCGGTGCGATGTCAGGGTCCAGCGCCCTTAGATGTTACCTTTCTTGATAGAGAGTGACCAAAGAGATAGATCGAATCGGATGGTGATCCACAATGGCGGTTCCAAGTGAGCAGAAACGCCTTCAAAGACGGCATATTGATAAAAATGAAGTCCCGGACGTCTTGCAGTGGTGTCGATGTGACTAGGGTGGCAAGTCTTTCGTGGATCCGACTGTTGTGATGTGTTCTGCCGGCACCTTGGCTGACAATGCCAGACTCATTTGATGGAATACAAACCAATAATCATCGGAAAGCTTGGGGGAGTGGAGGTGATATTGGCAATGTCGCTGATGGGCGGTCAGGATAATTTATTCTATTCGTCGACGGGTACTGTTGAGAAGAGGATGAAAAGATCAATAAAACGTAGACACTAAGTGGCTTTATGTCCTGGCTTATGAAGAGGGAAAACGACTGATAAAATGTGCGTGGAGGATGCCTTTGCTATACCTTGAGTCGACCCTGAATAAAGAAAGCAACCATAATGCAGGAGGCAAGATTGCCATACTGCGCAAACTGGGATCCTATTTCTTCGTGCTCATGTTAGCTGGAGATTATCAGCAAGCAAGATGCTATTTCTGCCAACTTTGGTTATGTTGAGTAGAGTGGATCAAATTCCCAGTCTTGTCCTCGAAGACTCGAATACTTGTCATGTGCGAGGTTTCCAGGAGTATGGCTGTACAGCTCCGTCTCTCATGTCATGTCATGGTGAAAGGAAGTCGATGATGACTAAACATGATCCTTGCACCTCGGCAAGATCTGAACTGCTGGGTGGGCGACTTCGGGGGCCAAGGCGATTGGATAAGCTTAAGTGCATCCATCCTCATCTCACTCTCCCATCCGAGATGTCGCATTGACAGCTGTCCACCGAGCCCCCGTCAGAAGCTCCCCTTCCACCCCATACCCAATGATGATGGAGGTATTCCAATGCAAAGGCCCAGTAGCTCCGAATACCGTGACAAGTCCGGACACTGACACTGACACTGACACTGACCTTTCAGTGACCAGTCGATCTCTCCATCGCACCTGGTGGTGGGGGAGGAGGGATCTGCCGGAGGGGGCTCCATTTATCGGAGCTCAGCGGCGAGTCGTGATTCACCGTGACAAGCTCCAAAGATCCATCGCATTGCGTCTCTGGCGTCCCCCATCTTTCTTTGCCGTCCATCGTCAAACTGATTAATCAGCCGGGCCAGTCCGTTGCCGCCGCCGTCACTGCCGCACGTCTTTCAGATATCTCACGCTTTTAGTCGCCTCCAGTCTCTCTAACATCAACTTATTGTAGAAACTTGCACTCACTGCCTTGTTTGGTTTTGGTACGCAGTATACGTCATACACATCCTACATCGGCGCCCATCCCCCCGAAACCCCCCACGTAACACCCAAGGACCCCGCGATAGCTTCACCGCCCGCTTGAGCCAGAAACCCAGAAAACCTCGGCATGGGTTCTCAAACTTGGAACCTCCCCGCACCAGTCGACGACCCGGACTCCATGCTGTCTCGCAAGTTCGGGCGGGAAACCGTCAACTACTTCGCCGGCAGCGTCCTCAACCGCGTCGGCTGGCTGCGTACCGACCACACCTTTATCCGGTCCGCCTTCCAGTCAAAGGACACCAAGTTCATGCTCCTCAAGGACCTCAGCCCCCTCACCAGCGCCCCGACGAGAGTGCAGTTCGTCTCGTACGACGACGTCAAGCCCCTCACCACTGAGGACCCGTTTGGCCCGTCTGAGGAGGATCTGATCAAGAACTTTGACTCGACGGTCACGAAGCCGCTCATCATCTTCCTGGGCCTCGAGGAGAGCGCAAAGGTGCCGTTTGAGTACAAGGGGCTCAAGGGACGACCGTGGTTTGCTGTTGACGTGACGCCCAAGGGCTCCTACGCCGATGCCGCCAACCAGCTTATCGAGGCTCAGTCGAGCAAGGGGTACAAGTTCCTCGAGGGAATGAGGCCGATGACGCTCGAGCCGGATCATGGTAAGGACTCTCACTCTCACACAAGAATCTGTTCATTTGTAACTTACTAACAAACAACCGTCAGCTGGCATCTACGCCCAGGCCCGTTCCATCGCAGACTGGAACACGCGCAACAAGTTCTGCGCCGGGTGCGGGCAGCCGTCCCTGTCGGGCAACACGGGCTACAAACGCCTGTGCCCGACCACCGACCTCGCCGGCTCCGACACGCCCCGCGAGCGGGCCGAGTGCGCCACCCGCAAGGGCGTCTCCAACATCAGCTTCCCGCGTACGGACCCGACCATGATCGCCGCCGTCGTCTCCTCGGACGGCACCAAGGTGCTCCTGGGCCGGGCCAAGCGGTACCCGCCCAACTGGTACAGCACGCTGGCCGGCTTCATCGAGCCGGGCGAGTCCATCGAGGAGTCTGTCCGACGCGAGGTGCTCGAGGAGGCCGGCGTGCGCGTGGGCCGGGTGGTGATTCACTCGAGCCAGCCGTGGCCGTACCCGGCGAGCTTGATGATTGGGGCCGTCGCGCAGGCGCTACCCGACGGGGAGACGATCGATCTCGGCAACGACCCCGAGCTGGAGGACGCGCAGTGGTTCCCGCTCGAGACAGTGCGGGACGCGCTCAAGTTTGGGGTTAGCGGGCTCGGTGAGCCTGCGCCGGAGGGGTACAAGGAGGGCGGGCTGAGGTTGCCTCCTCCGGCGGCTATTGCCAATCGGTTAATGACTGCTGTTGTTGAGGGTTATGCGACTGCTGCGCCAAAGATGTGAGACGGGTGGTGATGGAGCTGTTCTTGGGGTTGGGTTCACGAATGTGTTTAGATTTCATGATAGACATGAATGAATAGACTTGTCCCCATGTTTGCGTCTTTTATGCGATTTCCAAGTCGAGAGAGTTGACCATGAGCTAAGCGTTAGCAGCACTCTGGGGTCGAGTGAGTGAGCACCTAAGTGACTTCAACATAAGTGCGATAGACGTTGGATATTCGTATATGCAGAAGAGTGTCGAGAGGGGGTTTGTTGTCATCAGAAATTTCTCACTTTCAAGACTTGAAGAATGAAAGGTATCGAAGTATCTGCCTTACACAAACGTCGTGTGACATCAGGGTCCTCAACCCAATATAACTTGGTGACGGTGGAGGAGGCAGTAGGAACCGAGCCGGGCCTGTCCGGGCCCGTAGGGCTGAGGGGCCACTAGCTCGAGGTCCCTGAAACCCCTGTATGACCCTCCACCACCCACGCAGCGGACAGCGTGTCAGCGCTACAGGCTGGAGTACAGGCCAGCACAAGCTCCAACGCAAGTGTGAGCTCCAGCTCGCGTGGACAAGCTCCATCCACTTCCTCCATCCACATCCCGCCAATTGCGCCGCCATCGAAACCCTCCACCTGTCCCGGTCCCCAAACGATCCCCCCAAAACCTCGCTCGTTCAAATCGTCGCAAACCAGGTGCCGCTCTCTCATCGGCCGTTTGCCTGCCATGTATCACCTAGCCAAGGGGTTATACCTCCTAGCTACCAGCAAAGAAGGTACGCGCACGATGAACCACAAACCCATTGTCCACGGCCAGCCTCCATAGCTAATCTTCTCCCCCTTCTACAACAGAGTACTCCGTCATCCTCCTCGGCCTCGACAATGCCGGCAAGACAACCTTCCACGAGCAAGTCAAGCACTTCTTCCTCGAGTCGCATCCGGACCCGAAACTCAAGACGGTGCCAACGGTGGGCCAAAACGTCTCGACGATATCCCTGCCGGACATGTACCTCAAGATCTGGGACGTCGGCGGCCAGCACTCGCTGCGCCGGCTGTGGCAGAGCTACTACGCCTCGGCGCACGCCATCGTCTTCATCATCGACTCGACCGACATTGGCGACGGCAACCTCGAGCACGACAACGGTTCCGGGCGGCTCGACGAGTGCCGCCTCGTGCTCGAGGACGTGCTGCAGCACTCCGAGACCGAGGGCGTGCCCGTCCTGGTGCTGGCCAACAAGCAGGACCGCGAGGACTGCGTCGAGGTCGTGAGGATCAAGGAGGGGCTCGTGAAGAAGGTCTTTGAGGGCGAGAAGGCGAGCAGTATCCGCGACTCGAGGGTGTTGCCTGTTAGTGCGCTGACCGGGACGGGCGTCAAGGAGGCGGTGGAGTGGGTGCGGTCAAGGGTGAAGTGGAATAAGGAGTCCAGGCCGCCGGTCATGCGGTAGACGTCGTCGCTGGCTTGTCGTCATTTACGAGGCATGATGGTACACGGGGAATTTCTTTTTAGACTGGGCGTAGATGGAGTTGGGGGCTCAAAGTCAAGGGACGAACGGGTGAAGCCACGCTGGTCACTTCGCTTCTTCTTGCAGAGCATGGGTCTTTCTGAGAGCGTATCTGGCTGGGTATCATTTTACGTTTTTTTTGGTTAATCTTCCTCTGCTTGACCGGCCGTGTTCTATGCGTCCACCACTCTGTCGTTCTCCGCCGACAGCAGCTCTGATATGAGACCACCCTTGTCCCTCCGCTTCGCATCGTCCGCCAACCTCTCGTCCACTATCGTCGAGAACTCCTTTGCCTTTTGCAACGCCACGTTGCCGCAGTGTAGCAGCGTCACCGCCTCGACGGGGGTGCCTCCGAGCTTGGAAATCTGGCTAATCTCGCCGTGCTTGTTCAGGCTGACCGTCACGCTGCTCGTTCGCAGCTGCTCCTCGAGCCAGTTCGCGTCGACGAGCGTAATCTCCCCCTCGTCGCCGTAGAAGCTAAACGTCACGCAAAAGGGGCTGTGCAGCCAGCTCAGGGGAACGGGTTCGCGCTCGGCGGGCGTGAAGATTGTGAGGCTCTCGCCCTCGTTGGAGGTGTCGGGTTTGCGGAAGTGGCGCAGGGCGGCGACGACGGCGAGGCAGGCCGCGTCGGTGAGGTTGCCGTCGTGGGAGAGGACGTGGACGTCGGCGCGGACGGACCATACCTTTTTTCCGGCGACGAGGCAGAGGGATTCCGTGTCGAGGGCGCCCGAGCGGCGGACCGTCTTCTCGAGGAGACGGGAGAGGAGGACCTCGGCCTCGGTTGGGCGGTTGACCTCGAAGGCCGGGGAGGCCATGGGGCTGAGCTCGGTGGTGATTTGGAAGACGCCCTCAAAGGGGCGGTCTGAGTAGGGGACCGTCACTTCTGCGGAGACTTTGACGAGGACTCTGCGATGGATGTTAGCAAAGATTGGATTTAGTGAGTGTGAGAATAATATGAGTTGACTGACCTCGTCTTGCCGAGTTCGACGTTGGCCACTCCATACTCATCGCCAAAAGTGAGCTGGACTTTTCGATATTGGTCGAATTCCCGGCCATCAAGTCTCAAGTTCTCCTTAAGAGCTTGTGTGACAAAGGCCTTTTCATTCGCTGACGGCTCGGCTTCCCTGGGCATCTTGGCGGTTGAAATTGGTAAAATATGAGAGCAATTTCAAGACCGAGAATCTCATCGACTCAATAGTGACCTGCAAGTGTTCAGTGAGGTCAATCGCATTGGTGGGGCGCTTGCAAAAATTCTGCCGGGCGGTCGACGCCTTAAAGTGTCGCCTCCCCTGCAGCTGGACCCACTCTGCCAGCTGCGCGGCGCCCGTCGCATGCATTTACTGGGGGGACCAAACGTCGATTGTCAATCTGCAGATTAACACCTTCAGCCCCCTTCAACATCCACCAATCTTGAATTCTCACAACCCGTCGCAACCTGCCAAGATGACCACCGCCCATCGTCCCACCTTCGATCCGGTATGTTCTTCATCATGCTTTCCCACTACCATTATTATTTTTTACTAATAATTCATTCTAGGCCAGAGGCAAAGAAGCCCTCCGCGGCCCGGCCTACCACCAACGCCTCCTCCCAGCGCACACCCAACTGAAGTTCCGCCAAGCAGGCCAGGGCGGCAACGCGGACGAAGAATCCCACGACCTCAGAGCCGAGCTCCTCGCCGCCGAGGCCGCCCACTTCGCCAAGAAGAACGGCGGCGCGCCTCCCCCGTCCGCGGACGACGATGCCGACGCGCCATCGGGCGGCGTGAAGCGTGCCCTCGAGGCCGGGTCGCAAGCAGACGCAGAAGAGGACTTTGAAGCGAAGCGGAGGAGGATATTAGAGGAGTCGCGGGATGTTGACGCATCTTCAGACGAGGAAGGCGACGAAGAGGACGATGACGACGACGACGATAGCGATGAGGACAGCGACGACGAGGAGGCGGAGCTGCAGCGCGAGATGGAGAAGATTCGACGCGAGAGGGCGGAGAAGAGGGAGAAGGAAGAGAAGGAGAGGGCCAAGATCGAGGAGGAGGCGCGGGAGAGGGACATTGCGCTGGGTAATCCGCTGTTGAATAAGCCTGATTTCAACATGAAGAGGCGGTGGGACGACGATGTCGTTTTTAAGAACCAGGCGAGGGGAACGGAGGAGAAGGGCAAGGGCAAGGAGTTTGTCAACGTGAGTATTGACCCCCCCTCCGCTCTTGGTCTAAGCACCCCTATAATGGGTGAGCGCAATTGGTGTGATGATGGGATTGCTGACTTGCGTATAGGATCTCCTGCGCTCCGACTTCCACAAGCGGTTCATGAGCAAGTATGTTAGATAGATACCCACCGCCGACTACAGTGGCAAATGCGAGTCTTTTTCTTCTACCCTTTTAATCGTTGGAACCGGTTACGATACGCTACGAAGGCAATGAACCGGACGGTGCTCGAGTTGCCTGACGAGGCCCATTGAGTCCATCCTTGGCCCCAGTATGGACTGGACGCGACAGAGGTTGCTCATTCATAAGCGTCCAGCCGAGAAATTCCGTGTCGCCTCGTCAGGTATGTCACACAGCATCGACCACCGGAGACACCGTCAACATTCTCACTTCAGAGGCCACCATTGCTGGTTATCTGTTTTGACAACCACGCCTAGGCACACAACAGATTTTGCAACTTTTGGTTTAAAGCACGCTTCAGGTATATCCCGCGATCATGTGCCCGATTCCCATCTCAACCACATTGTATCATTTCTAAAGTGTGATGTCTCTCACTTGCGAATTACGTTCAGCGCCAATTGAAATCGCCGGCATTTTGCACATGAAAGGGCCGCAAAAGCGGATCGAGCGCGGCCGGATAGTTGTGAGACTCCGTCCGGTACCCCTGGTCTTGGCTCCGGCGGCGAAGAGTCATCCGGGAAGACTACTAGACCCAGCGTATATAAAAGCGGATCTCGGTTTCGGTTTCCGTGTACAGAGGAGTCCTTTCAATCACTTTCTTCAGTCCAACGATGCCAAGCGGGCAGGGCATCCAGGAGAGCTTTCGGAACGCCTGCTTATCTGATGATGGCTTGGTATAGGACCTCTTCTGGATAGGTCAAATGCGTCGAGACCGTGCATCTAGCTTGAGGCTTATCACTGGAGGCTGGTGAGACGTTGATTCGCAATTCTACTTACTTTCTCTATGCAGAAACATCATTATGAATCATTCGAGCTCATTCCCAAGTATCACGATACTTCTAAATATGAAGAACCTGACACATAAAAGGCGATGAGGTTGTACGAGTATTGCACATTTCTCTCGTCACCACGCTCACATCGCATCATCAAATAGTCCAGCATCATGAACTCCCAGACAGTCGCACTCATCACAGGAGCCAACGGCGGCATCGGCCGCGCCGCTGCCGAAATCCTAGCTTCCGCTCACCACTACCACGTCATCATCGGGTCTCGTAGTCTCAAAGCAGGCCAAGAGGTAGCCGATGCCCTCACGTCTCGCGGCCTCTCCGCGTCCGCCATCCAACTCGATCTCACATCCGACAACGACATCCTCGCAGCGGCCGCCTCCATCTCCGAAACGTTCGGAAAGCTCGACGTCCTCGTCAACAACGCCGGCGCGCACTTTGACATGAACGACAACCTCTCACTGCGGGAGCAGTGGACGTCCACCTTTGCTATCAATGTCGTCGGCACCGCCGTCCTGATCGACGCGCTCCTCCCGCTGCTCCGCAAGGCCCGGTTCCCGCGCATCGTCTTCGTCAGCTCTACCAAGGGGTCCATGGCCGCCGCCCTGGACGGGAGCGCGGGGTTCTACGACGTCGCGGCCAAGGCGTACGACGCCAGCAAGGCTGCGGTCAATATGTTGGTCGTCAGCTATGCCAGGGTGCTGAAGGGCGACGGGGGCGTTGCGAATGCCGTGTGCCCGGGGCTGATTGAGACGAAGCTGACGGCGTTTATGGGGAAGGATCTGTTGGCTAGCCATGGCGCTGCTTCGACTGAGTTGGGGGCGAAGAGGATTGTGGAGATGGCTACGTTGGAGGAGGGGAGTGCTGTTTCGGGAACGTTTTCTGACAGAGATGGGGCTGTTCCCTGGTGAGAGCGGACGTTATCGTTGTGTTGTGTTTGGAGATGTAGTCAAGCTCGCTCACGCAACAGTCATATCTCAAGATTTGAAGGCTCGAGCTAGATGCTAGGCGTGTGACGGCCCGTCCATTCTGACAGAAGTAGCTTAAAGATCTGGCGATTGGAAAGAATACAAGAAAGGCTGGCATGGGACTTTCCATGCCTAACTTACCAAGTGCTTCATCTCTCGCTCCTGCCGCACCAGCTATGTCAAACTACGATGGCCTCATATTGGGAAGGGTCGCGAGTATGCAATGGTCGTTCCTCTGACTTACACGAGGTAGGTAATGCCTACGGTGTTTCCAAAGGTAAGACCACAGGCCGACTGAAAACTTGACCGGCAAGTTCTACTATAGAAATGCCATCTTTATTCCTCGCCCAACATCATCACCCTTTACTGGTTTTCTCTTTGCAACTACCCAGACAACCCAGCCAAGTAATGCCCCTTTCGAGTTACTCAGCAAATACGTTATTCAAACCCATCACATACATACATCATGTCAGTCCCAACCGGCTTTTCCGCGTCCACGCGATCATCGGACACCCGATGGACCCCAGTCGAAAACTAGGAAGTGTACACGATGAGACGTCCACGCGAGGGTACTCGATTCATCATCCGATGCTTGGAACACCGAGAAATTGAATGTGTAGACTGCCCGCAACCCCGCGACGCCCACGCAGCGGAGTACCTCAGATCTCTGAGACCTATGCCCCGGCCGCCGAGGGAAGGACCAAGCGATATCGATCTCGCACGCGCACGACGACCGATCTACTTTTTCTACTCCGGCCGACGTCCAGAACTCGGAGACCCCTATGTGTCTAACAACAATGACGACGCGTTGAGTGACATCGAAGGAGCGCTTGATTTCCCCATGTCAGATGACGATTCATCAGATTGGAGCCTCAACAGCTGTCCGGGACTATCTGATGGCTCCTCTGCCGATCACGAACGCAGTCCCAGAATGCAAATTAGCCCAATACTGGCTTGCCCGAGTATCCAGTATCCGGATTTTGAGTATCCAGAGAGGCCATACCAGTCGGCTGATGGACGACTTGCAACGCGGTTTATAAATATTCATGAACACACAGACTTTCTCATTTATATCCAAGGCCTCTGTCGTCCAGAGACCCGAACCGGCAGCTGGGCCTACCTCTTTAAACCCTACGACCTCGGAGGAGCCGTTACTGGACGCCTGGAGAGACTGGGCCCATACGGCGACCTTCGCACGCCTGTGAGGCACAGAGCTGAGCTTCGCGCAGCCCTCGCGGCACTGTCGATACCCGCCGACTTCAGACACGGCTTCAGATCACTCACGATTGCGACCACCCGCGCCTGGCTTGTAGAAGACGGAGAACTGTTGGTCGAACAGGCATGGGACGAAATGAGTGAAGCAGGATCCAACCCTCTGCCGGGCTGGGCAGAGGCTCGCCACACCCCCGAGTTCGCACACGTATCCGACGGAGACCTTTGGTTCGCCATGAAACGACAGATTCAAACTCTCTATTCGATCGATGACCCTCAAAATTCGGTAACTGTTCAGTTTCGCCTGATCGATTTCGAGTTCAATAGAGATTGCCAAGGGGAGGCCTTGGGGGCTCTCGACAATCCTCGGCGGCCATATCGCTTCAGGGAGCCCAAGCCCAAGCAGGAGTTGTAATAGAATAGCGATCACAAGCAGTTTACAGAGTATACATACTACCGGTGAGATGCGTTGGAAAGCATCGTGGGAATTGAAATAGGGGTGGACGACTGGCACAAGGAGAAGGGGTTTCTTGAGCGGAGCTCGCTATTCCGGTGGCTCCTCGATAGGTAGCTTCAATCAACACCCGATAGATTGCAATACACTTTACGCGTCACTGAAGAGAAGATTCATCATGTCAAAGAGTTGTGTTGAGACTCTAGAACAGCCCATGCCGGCTACTGAAGCGTAATAAGTCTACCTTTTGTGTGGTCCCACAACCCGCCATCGCCCCTTCTTCCCTTTTGCTCTTTTGCTCCTCCATTTCTTCAGAGTGAGCCTTTCCTCGTAACGGAAAAGAGGTTCGCCAATTGAGCCGGGATAATAGTCAGAAGAGCGAACCCCGACTCGCGATACTGGAGTCTTCCCTTCAAGCCTTTAAGCAGGAGTTGACTTCTTCTCCTGGCTCAGTAGTAATCGGCGCGATTATCCGCCCTCCGAGACCTGGTAGGTCGAACATTGTGACGACCAAGCCTGCCAATCGTCTCCTCCGTCGCACGCGAACCGGCAGCACCACCAGCACCAGCACGAGGCCGACCGCCGGGCTTCTAGCCCCAGCGACTGCCCTCGCGCTCAGCTTCCATGCGGCGCATCCGCTCCTCCTCCTCGTCGATGCTAATAGCCTCGCTCCGGCGGCCCTTTCGCCGGCTCCGCTTGCCGTCGTCACCTCCTCCTCCTCCGCTACTCTCATCCCTGCTGCGTTTCGCGCCTGCCAACCCCGCCAGACCAGCCATGCGCTGCGTCTCCTTCAGCAGACGCTCGCGGTTCCGTGCCTCGCGCTCCAGGGCGTGAGCATCTTTCGTAGGGACGCTGGGCGCGGACTTGCTGTTGACCGAGGCCTGGGAGTCTCGGCGTCCGCCGCCGTCCTGTCTGTCGGACGACCTGCCGGACTTTGAGCCCACGCCCTTGATCTCGAGACCGGAACCACCGCTGCGAGGGCCGGTGGGCGGGTTGAACTCCCTGTCGACAGGCGTGGGCGGCTCGGCTGACTGCTTCCGGCTGCTGCGGTGACGGTGTTCCCGGTCCCGGTGCTTGTCGCGCTTGCGATCCTTCTCGCGGTCGCGGTCCTTGCGGTCCCGATCACGATCGTAGTCGCGATCACGTTCGCGTTCCCGATCTCTGTCCCGATCTCCCCGGTCTCGGTCGCGGTCCCTCTCTCTGTGCGAGCGGTGGCTGGACTTTCTGTGGTAGTCGTCGTAGTCGTCGTCCCGGTGCTTGTTGTCCTTCTCCCGATCGCGGCGCTTCTCATCGCGGTCTCTGCGGCTCCTATGGCTAGACCGCTTCGAGTCGCTGGGCGACGCCGACCTGGACCTCTCTTCGTGGCCGTCGTCTCTGGAACGGGACTTGACGTCGTCTTCGTCATTGTGTGAGTTGTGCTTTCTGCTCTTATGCTTCCTGCGACGATACTCATCGTCTCGATCGTCAACGACAGATCTCGATTCCGAACGTCTGCGCCGGCGCCGGTGGCGGTCGCCGCGGTCACGATCCCGATCTCGGTCGCCGCCGCCGCGCTCGCTCTTGCGCTCGCGACTCTGGTCTCTGCTGCGTGAAGGTGAGCGTGAGTAATCTCGTTCTCTTGCGCCGTGATCTCTCTCCGACCTGACGTCAGGTTCTCTCTCACGATCACGACTCGCATCTCGGCGACGGCTCCTGTCCTTATCCTTGGTGCGCGTCGACGAGTTACTTCTGGATCGCTGCTGCTGCTGCTGCTGCTGCTGCTGCTGTTGGTCCACGACGGGACTCTGAATTGCGAGTGCGTCCACCGACGATTGTCGGCCTCTCTCATCAGGGACAACGTATCCTCGCGCTCGCAAGGTGTGCAAACTTGTATTCGGCAAGCCCTGACGCATAGCCTTGGGACCTGTCGGAGCATTTATAGGAACATCAGGAGCTGCAGGCGCGAATCCTTGAGGACCATAACCTCCCGGCATGCCGTTCCCGTTGTACGCAGAGTAGTCACCGGATGCCTGTGCCATGTCTGTATTCATAGCGTTCTCCTGATCCGCCTGGCCCTGCTCGTCCCCGCCTTCGTCCGCGGGTCTGGACCCGTCACCGTTCTCTGCGTTGTCGCCGCCTCCTGCATTGGAGGTCGCGTCTTGGTCATTTGGGCGCTCGCGGCCAAACTCGTCAACATTTCCTGCGGCGCGGGTTCCCTCCTCGGACCCCTGGCCGTACATGTTGTTTCCATACTGTTGTTGCGCGTGGCTTTGGTCACCATAGCCGCCATACTGTTGGTATCCGCCTCGACCATAGCCACCGTTGTAGAAGCCGCGTCCCCTTCCTCGTCCACGGTTGCCGTAATTGTTGCGGCGGTAATCATTGAATTGGTGGCCATAATTACCTTGATTGTACCCTGACTGGAATCCTGAGTTATAGTTGCCATAGTCACCAGATCCCATGCCAGCAGCATTAGCAGAATTGAAATTATCTTGGCCGAAATTCCATGACTGTTGCCCGTTCCAGTTATTGGAGCCTGAGCCGAAACCACCGTTGAAGCCTCCCATGCCCATGCCTTGAGCACCATAGCCGCCGTTCATGTACATGTTCTGCATCGCCATTGGGTCCATACCCATTCCTGGCATACCTGGTGCGGTTAGCTTCAGCCAGTGACGTGGGAAAGTAAAAGAATGGCTTACCCATCATTGGAAAGTTGCCAAACGAGTTGGAGCCCATGCCGTTCTGCATGGCCATCATCATCTGCATTTGATTGAAGTCACCGTTCCCAGTGAAGTTCATATTCTGAAAGTTGCCTCCATTCATTCCGTTGAAATTGGCGTTGCCGCTCGCATTCGCGTCGTCGCCCTCTGCGCCGTCGTTGTCCGCAGCACCCTCCTCCTCCTGAGGTCTCACTAATTTGCTGCCATCGGCCGCGGTCTCATCGCCCGTGATGATGACTGTCTCGTCATCGTCGTCTTCTCCCTTAGAGATGGTAGGCTCTTCGTCGTGGTTAGGCGCATCCTGACCGACTGGTTAGCAAAATGTCATACTGACAGGGTCGTCATCGGAACACCAACGTTTTGGTCTTGTGCCGCGTTGGCGTCTGCATCCGCAACATCGGCCGTGTTGGCATCTTCGATTGGCGCAAGTTGGGCAACGGCGCTCCCTTCGCGCTCGTCAGGGATCGCAGCAGGTTGTGAAGGTGTATCGGCGGCAGGGGTCTCATCGGGGCCAGCGATCTGCGCATTGGGCTTCGCATCAATTGGAGTAGGGGGCGCTGAGTCCTTTGCACTCTTCG